CCTACAGAATGATTTGGGACGTTCTAATCCTCCATCAAGACATCCCTCTCGCCCCGCCAGCCGCAACGCTTTTGATGAAAATGTTGATACATTAGGGTCAGCTGAAGCCGAGCTGGCTCTTTTGCGTCGTGAAGGTTCGAATATTCAGGGATCTTCTGTTTCCCAGAGTCTTGCTTCACCTGCTTCATATTCCTATGCTGCTGCATTGGGCACACCCTTGTCTAGAAGCACTACACCTGATCCTCATCATATAGCTCGGGCTCCAAGTCCTTGCCCAACCCCGATTGGCGAGGGCCGGGCAGGAGCATCGAAAAAGAGTACTGCTGGTCCAAATGCTTTCAATGGCATGTCATCAGGAATGAGCGACTCTTCTGATCTGGTAGCTGCTTTGTCTGGCATGAATCTTAAGACAAATGGTAATCTTGACAATGGAAATCACTTGCCATCACAGATTGAACAAGACAGTTCCGATAACCATAACTACATGTTTAGCATGCCAAGTGGTCATGAGCATGTTAAGCAACATTCATATATGAAGAAGTCTGAATCTGGCCATCTGCATATGCCTACTGCTACTCACTCTGCTGCTAGAGGTAATATGGGTGGCTCTGATTTGAGGAGCCCCCAGGTCGAGCGCCCAAAACCTGGTTTTAATACTGGTGTTCCATACTCCAAGGGATCATCTCCATCCTCTCTAAATGGAGGAGGTTTATCCCCTCATTATACTCAAATGGATGGCGCCGGGTCATCATTTTCAAATTATGGCTTGGGTGGGTTTTCCTTGAATTCACCTGTAATGGGAGGCCAAATTGGGAACTACAATCTGCCTCCATTACTGGAAAATGTTGCTGCAGCTTCGGCAATGGGTGTTCATGGGATGGATTCAAGAGTTATGGCTGGTGGTTTGCCTGGACAGAATATGCCAGCTTCCCCAGATTCTGGTCGTTTAGGGAATCAAATGTCAGGAAATGCTCTGCAGGCTTCTCTTGCAGATGCTATGTATCTCCAGTATCTAAGATCTGCTGAGTATGCTGCACATGTTGCTGCTTTGAGTGATCAGTCTCCCGATAAGTATTATATGGAGTTACTTCAAAAGGCATATATGGGTTCTGTGATGTCGCCTCAGAAGTCACAATATGGGGCTCCTTTGGGAAACAAAACTGGTGGTTCTAATCATGGTTATTATGGGAATCATGCATATGGGGTTGGCATGGGTTACCCTGGAAGTCCATTGACAAGTCCAGTTATTCCGAACTCGCCTGCTGGTCCCGGTAGTCCTATCAGGCACAATGATTTTAACATGCGATATCCTTCTACGATGAGAAACATAGGGGGTGGTGCCATGGGACCTTGGCACGTGGATGGTGCCTTTGGATCCTCACTGTTGGAGGAGTTTAAGACCAATAAGACAAAGTGCTTTGAGCTTTCAGAAATTGCTGGTCATGTTGTGGAATTCAGGTATGTCTGTATGTGTATGTTATGCTAACCTTTGGGTGCAACTTGCCAGTTAGATTTCTAATTATTGTGTTGCGCAAACAGTGCTGATCAGTATGGAAGTCGTTTCATCCAGCAAAAACTTGAAACTGCTTCTACGGAAGAGAAAAATATGGTGTTTGAAGAAATTATTCCTCAAGCCCTTTCTTTAATGACTGATGTGTTTGGGAATTATGTGATTCAGAAGGTAATGTCATTTTTTTTTTTTTTTTTTTTTTTTTAATTTTTTTTTTACCTTTTCCCACTTGTGTAGTATCTCAAAAGGGACTCTTCCCAGTTAGGTACTGATTTGCACAGCTGCATTTGTCTACGATGGAATTGATTTATTACTAATATCTTTATCCACTCTACTCTATGTTTACTGTACTTCATCTGTTGCTCTTTGCAGTTCTTTGAGCATGGAATGGATACTCAAAGAAGAGAACTTGCCATCAAGCTTGATGGTCATGTGTTGAACCTTAGCTTGCAAATGTATGGCTGCCGTGTAATCCAGAAGGTATTGTGATTCGCATGTCATCTTAATTGCTTTGGTTTTGTATTGAGGTGTTTTGTTTTTCAGATTGGGAGTATATTTTCTGCAGGCTTACTGTTTTGGAGATATATTGAAGTTCTAAAGTATCATTTCACACATACTTTTTGTTATTCTATTTGCAATGATTGTTTTAAAACCTAAAGTGCTGCTACCAAGCTGTGTTATATTCCTTTCCCGACAATTGGTTATGAGTGTTATGATAAAGAATTCATATTTGTTTAATCATTCCTTCTTGTTTCTTCATTTTGGTTTTGTATTACTTGGCTAATGGTAACTTTTCTATTGTTATTGTTTAGCTCTTAATATATGTGTCCGCTGCCTTGTTTATGGTGTTAATTGGCTTTTTAAATTAAGCCACCAATGCAGTTATCAATCTCTTTATCAAGTGTTATATATTTGATTACAAACAAGCTGGCTAACTGAAAGGCTCTGACTTTACAAATGGGATGGAGATGTTTTATTTTACAACAATATTAGTTTTCCAAGAATATGAAACATTGTTTATAGCTTGCTTTCTTGTTAATTATTGCATTTTGATCTGGAAGCTTATTATTTACTTAACATTCATATATTCCCTTGTAAAAGTAAAATTGCATTGACAGTTGCTTTACTTTGATCTATTTATTTAATTTCATAAAGTCTATTGAAGACAAATCAGATTCGGTGGTTTTCTTAAGACGTGTTTTACCTATTTTTGTTGGCAGGCCATTGAAGTAGTTGATCTGGATCAGAAGATTAAAATGGTTCAAGAACTTGATGGTCATATTATGCGATGTGTGCGTGATCAAAATGGGAACCATGTAATCCAGAAATGCATTGAATGTGTCCCTGAAGACCATATTCAGTTTATAGTTGAATCATTCTTTGATCAAGTTGTTACTCTTTCAACTCATCCTTATGGGTGCCGTGTGATTCAGGTTACTAGCTCGATGCTCAAGTTGCTAAAGTTATCGCACTTATGTGATTTAGTAAAAAGAAGCAGCTTATTTAATTGGTGTACTTTGTGCTTATAGAGAGTTCTGGAGCACTGCAAAGACCCACACACTCAGAGCAAAGTTATGGATGAGATTCTGGGTTCAGTTAGCATGTTGGCTCAAGATCAGTATGGAAATTATGTGGTTCAGGTGTGTTATCTTTATCTGGAATTTGGAACATGGGTTTGAAATTACATTGTATTTGAGTGTTCGGCTATTATTGGATCTTTAATTAATAAATCAAGTTAACAATAGAAGAAAAATCTTAGAATCACATTAATACCATCACGGCTTTTCATACTTTGATGCTAGAAGGTTTTAATATCTGTTGACTTGTTGGATGTATAGTCACCTTTATGAATGTTTTTCACTTCTGTTGAGCAGCATGTGCTGGAGCATGGGAAGCCACATGAAAGGACAGCTATAATCAAGGAGTTAGCTGGTAACATTGTGCAGATGAGCCAGCAAAAGTTTGCGTCCAATGTTGTCGAAAAATGTCTGAGTTTTGGCAATGCTGAAGAACGAGAGATTCTGGTAAATGAGATGCTTGGAACCACTGACGAAAATGAGCCTCTCCAGGTAAATGAGATGCTTGAAATCGGCTTGAATCACGTATCCATGTTTTTCTTAATGCCTTCTTTCAAATTCTTTGAGCACTAACTTCATGATTTCTAGGATTTTCCTTCATCTTTTTTTCTTTTATGAATGAAAAAAAAAAATATTTGTAGTGAAACTTTATAACTTCCACTGCAATCATGCCTAAAAATTTATTGATCATTCTCTTTCTTATTTTGTTCAGGCAATGATGAAAGACCAATTCGCTAATTATGTTGTTCAGAAGGTGTTGGAAACCTGCAGTGATCAGAAGAGGGAGCATATCTTATCACGAATTAAGGTTCATTTGAATGCATTGAAGAAATACACATATGGGAAGCATATTGTTGCACGTGTAGAAAAACTTGTTGCTGCAGGAGGTACACTCTATGATCTTCTTTCTCATGTCCGTTGTTCAGTCCTATAGTTTTTTGCATATTCTGCTGAATTTGCTGTACTTTTATGGGGTTGACAACTTTGGATAGTGCAATTAGTCCGTTGATGTTTTCATTTCATTTTCTGTCATATGTCTAACTCTTTAGAGTTGTGATCGATTAGATTTGTTAAGTGTTTTGACCAAGTATACCTGTGTTTAGATAGCAAAATTTACGCATGCTGATGTTTGTCTTTTTTTTACTTTATTTATCTGATTTTCTGTGCTAATGTTGCAAATTGCTTTTCTTTCCTATGCAGAAAGGAGAATTGCCGGGCAGTCTCCACAGCCTGTGTAGGTGGGATAGTGAACCAGTGTTTGTACAGCTGACTGAAGCTACTGTGCTTCATCTTTTTTCAGTCTTTTCTTTTTTCTTTCGTTTAAGATTTAGTCATTGCTCCGCCACTCCTTCGAAGGCTTGGTTAGGGAGCCCAGGAATAAAGGTTGTTGCTTTTGTACTTGGGAAATTGTACATTTTGTAGTTTTAAGGCTATACATAGAATCGAGCAAGCTGCACTGCAGATGTGATATATGCTTTTGCTCCTGCAGAGATAAAAGTGAGCATACAGGGGTGTAAAAAAAATCATTGAATGGTGAAGGGTAGGTTTTTTTCTAGTGATCGTGACTGTACAAATGTGGCCATGTCGAGAGCTGTTGATGTTCTAGGAAGCTCAGAAATTTTCCTTGTATGGTATCGATGTTCTTTCTATTTCCCAGAAGAAAAAAAGAAGAAAGTACAATCTTGTTCAGCTAATGCTTGCTTACTCCCCTAACCCTGATTTTTCGCATTCAGTAATCATTTTTACATCAGCATTTGCCATATATTATGAGATTGGAAGAGTATCTGCTGTGTTACAAAGTGTGATACTCATTTGTTTGAGAGGATATTAGGGAAATTTCCCTTCATATACTAAGACGATGTAATATAAGAAATACAGCAAGTTTTTTACCAAATAAAAAGGCATACAGTCCATGATGAGCAATTTCAGCAGTTTCTTGTTCATAAGCAACCTAAAATAAAACTGAACATTTCTTGAGTAGGTATGTGACAAACAACTTCTGGGAAAATTAGTGTGTCTAGTAGACTAGTAGAATCATAACATACCAAGTTACCAACCATCAATTTGCAAGAACTCGAGAATGAGATTAATTTCTATTGATTCAATCATCCACTAATGCAATACAATTAGGCAAAAATGAACCAAAATGAAACAAAATATTATAGCTAATCATCTTCAAAATCATCATCAATCTTCTTCTGACCAAAACCTCTAGGACCAGCTCTAGCCTTCACTTTACCCTTCTTTCCAACTTTCTTACTCTTTTTAGCTTCCTCTTCTTTCTCAAACTTCTCTCTCTCTCTTTTTGTCAGAAATTCTGTCACTGCAATATATATAACCTGCTCCCAAATCATTCATTCATTCATTCAACAAAAAATTAAAATCAAATTTGGTTTTGGATTGAAGAAAGCACTAAATTAGACAAGAAATGAAGAGGTGACTTACTCCAATGGTGAGGATTGAGAGGGCAACAAAGGCAATGAACAAAAGAATTGAAATAATAATGGAAACACCATCATCCCCAGAAGTTGTAGCAGAGACTATTTCCTGGGTTGTTTCTGATGGAATTACTGCAGCATCTTCAGAAGAAACAGCAGATAATGCACTTAAATTTCTGGGTTTTTGAGTGGAATAATGGAGGTGTTTATGTTTGGATAAGGTGAGAGATGAAATGAGTGGTTGAGATTTGTTGTTGAAGATGGAAGTAGAAACAATGTTGTTTTTCTGATTAATTTGATGCTGTTGATGATGAATTGGTGCTGAGAAAGGGAAGAGAGATGATGCTGTAGATGTTGCCATGATTCATTTGATAGTTTTTTGGCTCATCAATTAAAGCTTTTTTTTTTTTTTTTTTTTTTTGACTAAATAGTTTTGAAAAATTGATTTTTGAACACAGGCTTGGGCTTACAGACATTTTATTAGTGTGTCATTTTGGGAATAATAAAGCCATATAGTATCCTTTAAATTGCTGGGCCTTGAGTGTATGTACATTTTTCCTTCTGTTTGACTGTTTGTACACTTGACAAAAACTTCAGGTTTTTGACAGTCTGGTCCATATCTATCTGAGTGGCTGGGTACCCTCTGTGTTCCTGGCCATTTTTAAGATATGATTATGGGGTGGACCAAGACATGAATCAGTAGATGGTTCCGTACTTCCGTGAAATAAGTGGACCTCTTAAGTTTATTTGGAAAGCATCTTGATATCTAACCTTATCGAGTTTGAAAATGTTATTCAAAAGCTAAATTTGAAGGCAATTACGCGTAAAATCCTACCTTTTGCAAATATATTAAGACTCGAAGTTTTATAGTTAAGAGGTAAAATGAATAATTCCAAGTTCTGACCATCCAAATGGCCTCCCAAGGAAAAAAATCGAAATTTTTCTAAATTTAAAGATTATATCTATGCATTTGGATTTAATTTCGGGAATTTTTTTTCAAAATTGAAATGAATGTGAGACAATGAATGTTAGTCATATCTCCCGAGTTCATATTATAGATGTGTATGAGGTATTATGTGTCGGTCAAACATTAACACTTCAAAAAAAAAAAAAAAAAAAAAAAAAAAAAAAAAATCTTAACCACTCACACGTGCGGAAACCTCACACTGCACGTGAAAAATCAGCTGTTAACAGTTAACGTCATTAAAACGTCACTCTTTAAGATCAAAATTGCGGCCTTCCTTTGCTCAATTACGAATATTTACGAAGCACCCTCCATCACGGTTAGATTCATTCTTTAATTTTCTCTCTCCTTATCCAACGGTCAATATTATGTCACTCTCTACAATGACAGCTGTACACAAAAGCACTCTCTCCTCATTGGTCTGTCTTTTAGCAAAAGTCACGCTATTATGGCCGGTGTGTGTTGCTCCACTTTACATGAATTCCCTAAAATACCCTTTTCAATTAAAATCCAACACAGCTTAAAAAGTGCACCATATTTCCACGCTGTCGCTGCCTGATTCGCTAGCCGGTAAGTGATTTTTACTTTTTGTCGTTCCGGATAATCACATGTCAGCTTCAACCCAGGGTTATTTACTTCGCACTTTTTCCCAACAAAAATAAAACCAATTTTTCTTAAAAATAATCCCTATGTCCCATAATGTAGTTACTATTGTATTTTTCACAGTATTTAAGAAATGAAAAGAGAAGAAGAAAAAGGTACATTAAAAGTGGAAAAAAGCTAGATAAAAGTTAGACAAAAGTATAAAGCAAGTGCATAATTTAAGGGGAAAAAGGTAAAAAGTACAATTATAAACAAAAATTAGAGAGAGAAAATGGAAAAAAGTACAAGGCAAGTGGATAATTTAATGATAAATTAGTAAGTTCAATGAATAAAGTTAAAAAAAAAAATGAGAGTATAATGGTTTTTACATACTATCCAAAAATAGAAATAGGAACAACATTTTGGGTCTCCAAAATAGGAAAACAAAAACTATATTGTGGGACAGAGGGAGTATATTTTTTAATTTTTTTACAAATTTGAGTAATTTTTACAATGAAAAAAAATCCAAGCAAAGCTAGAATGCCTGATTTTGAAAATACCAACCTAAAAGTAAAATTAGCTTAATATGAGTAATGTGACTATGTGAGTAAAGAATACAAAGAGTTAAAAAAAATGTCAACTACTTCGTATCAAGTAATTGTAGCCATAATCCTATGGTGGCAATTGGGAATAAAAGTTTACTACAATAGTTACCTAATTTAATTAGCTACTGAAATTCACAAAATATAGTAACTTAACTTTCTAATAATGGTTTTTATAATGAAAAAACAAATCTAAAGTGTTGATCTATAGGCCTAGTAAAAAAGGTTTTCTGAATATAAGGCGATTGCCACGTAATTATGGTACAATTGTACAGTAATAAGCACCCAACTCCTTAGGTAAAACTTCAAGTAATTACAATATATGATCTTAAATTAATAATAATAATAATAATAATAATCATCATTATTATTCTTCTCCGTACTTTAAAAAGAAAAAAAAAATGCCCTAAACTAATGGAATAAGTTCAACAAAAATTGTATTTACATACAAGTACAAAGTAAAAAAGGCTACGGAGTAATTAATACGAGCAATAGTAAAACCTGACTAATGGTAACAATAAATAAACAACTTTACTTTTAGTTGACATCAAGCATCAAGCAAAAAAGTGAATTAAAAAAGCGACGGCAACAATTACCTAATGTTGTAAATGGAAAGTTTGTTAAAAAAAAAACCCATAATAATATTTAAAAATGAATATGACAAATCGTCCTAGTTTAACTTATTCAATTTTAAAAAAATAAGTTTAAATAAAATAAATTTGGAGAAAAAGTTCAAAAAAAAAGTTTACATCAACTAAAATAAAAAATAAAAAAAAAAGTTTTAAAAAAATTAATATAAGTTCAAATAAATTTAATTCAAACAAAATTAGAGATACTAATGAGTGCCATAATTTTATTTTATTTTTAAATATCAAATGGTGAATATAATTTCCTACAATGTTTTTTTTTTTTTACAAATTTTTTTTTTATAGATATTTCCATTTTTCCAAGAGTGGATTATTGGGATATAATGTAATACCCCACAATTTTAAATATTATTTTCTTAATTATTTTAATTTAGGAAGGGTATTTTAGTAATGTTATGTTATTTGAATATAAGAGCCAAATTAAGTTTTCAAATTTAGGCGCCAAAATATTGGAGTAGATATGAATATTTTATCACTTTTGAATTTTAAAGTCTTTTTTTTTTTTTTTTTTGAAGAGTTGAATTTTAAAGTCTTATTTAGTTATATTTGGATTTTAATGTCTAGTTTTATAATTAATCACATAATAATATTCCAAAATTTATTTAACTAAACTATGTAATTTAGGGCTTGTTTGGCATCATTTTTTGTTTTATGTTTCTTTGAAAACAAAAAATCAAATACAGAAAACAAGAAAAAGGTGTTTCCACTTTTTGTTGTCAATTTTCAAAATTACCATGAGTTTAATAAATTTGACTAATTTTTTTATTCATTATATGACATATATCATACGATTTTAAAAAACAAAAAACCAAAAAACACAAAACCACAGTGATGCCAAACAAACCCTTAGTTTAGTGTTTTATGAATTTATTTTCAGATTTTATTTATTTAATTTAGGATTTATAGATTAATTATATATAATTATTAATTATTATCTTAAAAATTCTGAAAAGTAATGATTAATTATGGAAATTAATTTTCTGATTTTCAAAGTGATTTTATCTTTCGAAATCAATCTTTAACTAATTATTTTGAAATATCTTGAGCTTTTTACAATATTTTTACCGTGCAAGTCAAAATTAATCATTTTCGGTTTATAAACTTATCTAGCTTCAAATTCTTGGTCATGAAAATTATTAAATGATATCATATTTATCCTAAATTTTCAGATTTTTAATTAATTAATTATTGAATTTCCGAATTGATTATATATATATATATATATATATATATATATATATATATATATACATACATATATATATATATATATATATATATATATATATATGATTTTCTTATTTCTTTTCACACTCTAAATTCTATCCTTTGCTATTCATAAAACCCTAATTTTATACTCCCTAAACACTATATATAAATACCCCTCCTCACCTCTCATTTTCTTCACACCAAAACTTAATTCTCTTCTTCTCCCTTAATTTACTTTCCCTAAACCTTTTCTTACTTTTCTTAACCTTTTTCGTAGAATAATCAGCCCGTATACATTTAAAGCTAGTTTTCGGGCGGAGTTATATTTCAGGAGTTATGACGTTTGCAAGTTCTGGCTATAATTTCCAACGCGAATTCAATCTATTAGTCCTATTCCTTTAATTCTTCTATGGTTAGTTTTCTAAAATATATATTTCTTTTCAAAGTTATAACTTTATGAAGTCTTGATCCTTAAAACATAATTATAATGTTTGTTTAGGAGATCGTTTGTGATTGTAATTGGTGGGATACTAATTCTTGAAGGATGAGGTATGTATAGATGGCTAGACCTTTGATAAAGGTTTATATATATATATGTTTGAATAAATTGTTTAAAGGATTGATTTTGAAATTACGTTTGAATTAAATTGAATTTATTTATGATCAAAGGAATTGAATTAAATTTGCAGCTTATTATGGGCCTGAGTATTTAATATTTATTATTGTCCCTCTATCCGGGACTGGTTAAGTAAGACCATGAACTTTGTATGATCTGTTCTTTCCTCGAGTATAGTCTTACTTGCTTGGGGGGTATGCACACTTAAGAGAGAAATTGATTTTTTTGGAAAGTTCTATCTTTAAATAATTTTTGTTGGAAGCCTATATTTGGAAAGTATAATTTTGGAAAGTGACGAATTTTGGAAAAGTCATATTTTAGCGTTTGAATTAATGTAATTATTTCGAAAGCATGTTTGCCTAATAAAAGAATTTGACATGTCTTGCATTTATATGTATTTAACATTTTTGCTAACACGTATTCCTATTTATTTTGATTCGCCTTGTTTACCAATTTTGATAAGCAGTCGTGATTTCAGGTGGAGTCTATGTGCTGCATCATACATCGGGAGTTTGGGATTGATCACCTGGTTAAGAGTTTATTTTGAAGTTTCATAATGAGTTTGTACTCACCAACTTTGGTCAAGTGTTTAATAATATAAAGTTAGTTTTGATTTCCGCTGCTAAGTCAGTTGGTTTGAGTTAACCTTATGTTTTCACGTGGCGGTAATCGCCCAAATCTATCTCTACTCTATTTTATCCGTATTATTCTAGTATTTTGTAGAGGGAGATTTGGGGCCTTTACATATAAGGGCAAAGCGATTCAAAAATATCTTAGCTAAACCGTCCACATAAGCACCCGATTTTTAAGTACCGTAGATATTTATTTATTATACGTACACTTTTTGCCCATCTTCTCTTTCCTTTCTCACTTCTCTATTTCCCCTTTCATCCAAACACCCCTTTACTTTCTCTCTCTAAAAATTAAATAAATATTTTAAAAATTAATCAATCATCCTTTTTTTCCTATTTTAATTTTAATTTAATTTAATTTTTTTTTCTTTTTTTTTACCATGGGAGAAGTTAACGGCGACTACGACGGCAGACTGTACATCGCCGGCGAAGAAGAAGAAGACGACGAAAAAGTTCACGAGTGGGAATTAGGTTTACCTAACTTTGCCGACATAGCGCCGTTAACTCAAGGCTTAATTCCAATCGAACTTTTATCGGCGTCTAACATCAAGCCGGAACCTTACCGGACCTCCGGCGAAGTCACCCAAGCTTCCGAGGACACTCTCTCCATCCTCTGCGGCGCGAATTACAAGGATTTATGTGAGGAAAATAACGACGATGAGTCAGGGACGAAGAAGCAACGGAGGACTGATTCGCCGGATGATGCTGATTCTGCGGCGGCGGAGGTTGCGGCGGATGCGGCCATGTGAGGCGGCGGAGGCGGCGGCGGAGAGAAGGCGATGAAGAGGTCGAGGTTGGTGTGGACGCCGCAATTGCATAAGAGATTTGTTGATGTGGTTGGACACTTAGGGATTAAGAATGCGGTGCCGAAGACGATTATGCAGCTGATGAATGTAGAAGGTTTGACTAGAGAGAATGTTGCGAGTCATTTACAGAAGTATCGGCTTTATTTGAAGAGGATGCGAGGTGATTCGATTGACGGCGGGTCGAATTCGTCTTCGGAGAACGGGAATGGGAAATCGGGTTTGGTACCGGTGATGGGAATGGGGATGACAGGGATGGGGAATTACAATGGATTTGAGCAGAATCAGAATAATCATAATTATAGTCATAATCAAAATCATAGTAATAGTAATAATCATTATAATTATAATCAGTTTAGTAATGGTGGGAATGGAATGATGATGCAGTCAGGGAATAACTATGGTTCAATGGTTTTTTATCATCAATCTCCTACTGTTGGTCCTGGTAATAATTGAAGATGGAGCTGATCTTGGATCTTCTCTGTTATATTTTTATGACAAAGGTATAAAATTTTCTGATTTCATTAATTTTGAGCAAATGATGATTTTGATTTTGTTTTTGTGTGAAAGTTTTGAATTGTTTGGTTATTGACTTGAATTGTGAAATTTGATTGTTTGATTTATTCTGATTCTTGGGTAGTTGGTTTTTTGTGCTAGATTGTTGTGTAGAATTGGAACTAGCTTTGAAATCTTAAACTTGATCTGCTAATTAGGATGTGTTAAATTTAGAAAGGAAAAGGGTCTACCTTTGAAAGTTCTATTTTTCCTGCTTTCATTATTTGATAGCTTGATTGTCAGTTTTCCATGTATTTGGATGGAGAGTTTAAGAATGGTCGGGCTGTTAATTTGATGTATGTTATCTCGATCTTTCGGAAATATTGTCAGTAAGATAGTGCAAGTTAGTCTGAAATAGTAATGAAATCTAACACTTTCACAACTAAATTTGGAAATAGGTGGGTATCTATCTGTTTTGGTTTGGTATTCGTTTATGTAGTAAGTTTATACTTGTTGCACATGGAGGCTTTTATATTGATCAAGAAATTGATGTGGTTGAATTGAGGATGGGGATTAACTTCAGTATCAGTGGTCTTGCGTGTTTTGTTTCGAAATGTCGCATGTATTAGAAATCATTAGGGTTGTATGATGTTGATCTGAAAGTATATATCATGCAGCATGATTGTCCATCTTATTTTTGCTATTGAATAGGTTATTTTCCTTGTGCTAACGAGAGGGACACAGCCCCAAAACAAACAGTTTTTGATTAGATTATGCTTTGTATCTTATAGATTGAGTGACTGAACATTCCAACATTGGGAAGGCACTTCAGAAAACAGAAGTGCTTCACATAAGTGACATGAAAGAAATTCAAGGGAATCAAATGCCTCCAATGTATGGACGACTCGTGTTCAAGTCTGAAGAAGTTAACACTCCTGTCTGGTGTATATCTTTCCGGTGTCAGTCTTGTCACCATGTCTAGAGGAAAGATTCTCTCATGGTTCATGTAGGTTATATATATATATATATATCACAGTCTCAAGGATATGATCTAACGTGTTTTTGGGATTGATGTACAATTGATTTTAGCATAACATTGTATCTTTCTTTTCAGTTGTGAAGCTGAAGCAACACAAGAAAGAGAACTACATATTAACTAATAACAAATCTAACTGCTCTGTTGTCTTTGATAACCAAGCAACACCGTCTCAAGAATTTGTTTCTAATGTATTTTTGAGATCACATTTGGTTTAAGCATATATAACGTTGTATCTTCTTTTTCAGTTGTCAAGCTGAAGCAACACAAGAAAGATGAACAACAGATTAGCTAACAACTTTGCTTTTTTTTTGCCTGTTCGGCATACAAGTGCATTGAGTATTTCTCTCTCATTTTCATTTGCTCCCTTTACCGACATATTTTTCCCTCCCTCTTTCCTTTTACTTCTTACCGAGAAGTAAGGTAAGGGTGCCAAGGGGGTGGGGGATGAGCATCATCGTATATACATATATGTCTTTGTGCTTACAGAAGTTGAAGGCCAATCTTAGGGTTAAGATTATGGGAGTTCTTTGGGGGTGGCTTGCCTAATTTATAACTATGATATGCTTATAGGGGACATGTTTGGGTTATTTGGAGTTGTTAGATGCAATATTTTTATCTCACATTTTCTAATCTGGGAGTTTCTTCTTTCTTAGGATAGATAGCTGAGTCAATGCTTCCAGTTTATGTTCTCTGAAGATGTTGATTGGATTCAAATGGGTATGTTAGAGGGTGGGTGGTGGCAGGAGGGGTGATGCTTTACCAATTCAGGGTAGTATGAAAGTGGAATTGGAGGTACGATCATGAGTTAGAGGGTTGTTTGCGACAAATATCAACAGAGGTATCAATCGGGCAAATATGACGCACTTTGCTTTAAAAGTTTAGATTGAGTAGAACCTGGAAAGTAAGAAGTGTGATATACGTTTCTTGGACAAAAATCACTGAAAATCTAAAGGTGGAGGCCGAGGGTGACACTTATCTTTTATGGGATTCTTATAAGCTTAACTCTTGATCAGAAATTTAGGATTTTCCAAGGCCTGCTTTTTAGATAACCCTCAAGTGGTTGGTGGTCCATTTTTTTGAGCTTCAAGTGTTGATCGATTAAATCTTTATGAGCTGTATTGGTGGTTAAAACACCCCTACCCCTTGCAAAAATATATACGTATTAAAAAAACACAGCTTGTGTAAATTAACTGAGGGTATGTTCAGGAAAAACAAGTTTGTAAAAATTAAATCTAGATAATTTAAATTCAAGTCTAATAAACGATACTTAAGTTCAATTTACATCTACGAAAAGGGTATTTAGGTTTATTTATTGTTAATTTCTCTTTCTATTTGTTTTATGATTATCATAACAATCAAACTTTTTATACTTATAACATTATCTTACCTTAGCTGTCATTGCAATATTTTTTATACAACAGTGAAGTTGTATACATTTAACTATTTAAGTGATGCAGAGAGTGAGGGATAACTCAAGTGGTTAGAGCTTTTTCTCCGGTTCGAGGAGATTTTGAGATCGATTCTCACCCCGTCCTTGTGGTTCTCAAAACAACAAAAAAAAAAAAAAAAAAAAAATTTAAGTGATGCAAAGCTTTGTCCTTTGGTCCCTTTGTACATATAGAGCTTTTGTGCAATGGTTGATTGATTGTGTGGCTACGCTAAGATGGTTAATCTATATGTAATGATTAACTAGCTTCTTGTGTATGTATCAATAATTCAAAATTAGAAAATATTGTGAGGATTCTATTTTTAGGAATAAATTTATGGTCTATTAGACGTTTACCAACTCTTGTAAAAAAATAGAAGAGTGAAAAGTAAAAAAGGTCATAAAGTACTTTCAAATGTATTATTGAGCAATCACTATGAAAGGATTGTAACTATCAAGGTCAATGTATCTATGTTGGTTATTTTATTATTCGAGTAATTAATATACTCTGTAGAAAAGATTTGGTTAATTACCAATTTACCAATTCCGTGTAAAAGATTAAGATCGTGAAAGTTTAATGCATCAGTGATAAATTACAAATTTACAACTAGGGTCGAAGGTTGTTGAGTGTCATGTGTCAAAGTCAATGAGGTTATTTTCTTACGACATGCCATTTGCATAAAAAATAAGTTTAGGGGTCATTAAAAACTCATGAAACATGACCTTGTCAAGAACCTAAAACACCATTTTCATTTGCCAACAGCCCAACAGATCGATCTGGAAGGGACCACCATATCTTCTTCTTGCAACTTGCTGTAATTAAAAATCTTATCCATAATAAAATATGATTTCTTTTTTTTTTTTTGAAGGAAAATAAAATATGATTCCTTGAATAATACTACTATAGTACTTCGTATTAAATAATTTGATAAAGCAAGAACGACCAAACTTCCCAATTACAAATTTAATGGCAAATTGCGGTTTAGAGATGATGTAAGAGTTTTAACTCCAAAGTGGAAAGGATTAATTAATAAAAACGAAACAAACCCAAAAATGACACAATTCCAAAAAACAGTGTTGCTTTTTGTTAGGAAATTTGCACAAAAATAAAGTACTTGCTCATCAGAGTCATTACCCTACTAACTTAAATTATTTTCTAAGTGGATAAACTGACCTTTTGAGTTGTCAAAGGTGACATTCTAGATAATGATGATGTAAAAATACACTTAGGTACAAAATCTAAACAACAGAAATTGTTTCCATTTAGGCACAATATAAGGATGTCTTGTTCACCCCCTCTTAGGGAAGCTGTTGTGTATCAGGCAGCCTCTATCCAGCTGCACCCGGGAAAATTTTTCGATCTCTTCTTCTTCATCAGCTTCTTTAGTCTTGCGGCGTTTCCCCAACTTCCTGCTCCAGCATATAAATTTGACAATAAACTTGTCCCAGAACCCTTAGGTTCGAGTTCTGACAGGTGTTTTGCTGCTACTTCTGCTAGCTCTATGTTACCATGCTGTCTACAGGCTCCTAATAATGCTCCCCATACGAACAAATCAGGTTGAATAGGCATTGCGTTGATTAAATCATAAGCCTCGGTTAGTTTCCCTGCTCTACCAAGAAGATCTACCATACATGCATAATGCTCAAGTCTCGGCTTAATGTTATAATTCTCTTGCATTGATTCATAGAGGCTTCTTCCGAGGTCTATCATCCCACCGTGACTGCAGGCTGTTAGCACTGCAGTGAATGTCAAGTGACTGAGCTTCCCTGCATCCTCAATTTCCATCCTCTTGAAAAGTTCTATTGCTTCCTTACAATAACCGTGGTTAGCATATCCAAAGATCATCGAGTTCCATGTAGGGGTATTCCTTCTAGTCATGTTATGAAACAAAGTTGATGCCTGAGATATACATCCACATTTAGCATACATGTCTATAAGCGCGCTCTGCACATATATATCCCGCTCTAGTTCAACCCCCAAAGCAAAACCATGAATCTCCTTCCCCCTTGACACATTTGCTACATTAGCACAAGCAGATAACAGAGTGCTGACAGTATTTGTATTCGGAAAACATCCAGAATCCATCATTTTTTGGAATGTGACAAAGGCTTCGTCATTTTTAAAATTCTTCACCAACCCTGATATGATAGAAGTCCATGACACCACATCTGGCTCAATCTTGTTATCTCGCATCACTTGGAAAAGCTCATCTACCATTAAACTATCCCCTGCTTGCGAAAATCCTGCAATCAAAGTATTCCATGTCACCACATTAGGCCTCAATTTCATCACTTGCACATTCTCTACAAAACTCAATGCCTCTTTCACTAACCCTACATGAACATACCCTGCAACCATAGCATTCAGAGCAACCAAATCCTTCTCAATCATGTTGTCGAAAACCTTCCTTGCTTTATCAACAAACCCACATTTCGAGTACATATCTATAAGAGCACTACCAACAAACACATCATTATGAAACGACCTCCTTAAACTGAATCCGTGTATCTCCTCTCCGGTCCGCCTTTCTAACAGATGTCCACAAGCTTTAAGAGCACTAGGAAGCACAAAATTGTTGGGTTTTACACCTTCTGCAACCATTTCACATAAAAAATCCAATGCTTGCCTGTAAAACCCACATTTGGCATATGCCCCAATAAGGGCTATCCATCGTCGATAATTACACTCGGGCATTTCATCGAACACTTGGTGTGCAATACCCAATTCCCGACATTCGACATACATTGCAATGAGCTTGGAAGCAATATGACTTAAATTAGCTAAGCCATTGATGATCAAATGAGCATGTAACGCTTTACCCGACATCGAAGATCGATTTAGAGTGTAATTTTCGATGCATTTGATGTAAGAATCTGAGGATGTTTGAAGTGAACGGTTTATGAAGTGGGTTCGGTTGTAGGATGTCAGAAAAATGGTTAGTCTGAAAATTGGAAACATTTGACTGAATTAACTGATTTTCACAAACTACGAGTAACAGTCATATTACATTACTGTACTACTGTTGGTACGGAGTAGTACTACTGTTTTATCCGTACAATCTGACTTCATGTCTGGAACCAGCAGAACTGCAGAAGTACCAAATCTAGCTCTGATAGACATGTTCATCATAAGTACAGCTGTACAAGCTGACTTCTAGTTTTTTTTAACTAAACAATAACGGAGTAATAGTAATGTTTTTCAAAAAAATAATTGGGTTTAAGATTAAAATGAACATAAAATTAATAAAAAGTTTAGACGTTTAGTGTCAATACATATGTTAAGTTGGTAATCCAATCTTATTTTATTTTTTTCAAATAATATAAAATCTATCTTTAAAAAAGGAGAAATAATTGGAAAAATGTTGTTTAGGTAAAACCTAATCCATCCTATAATTGAAGTAAATTAAAACGTAATGAACCTTTATCTTAACCCTGCTCTCTAACATGGGGGTCCTTTTAAGTTTCTTTTAGGGGTTTTTAGTATGGTAATGGTCTATTCCTTTGAGAAGGGACCAAAGATACCCACGGTTAAGGGTATCGACTCACTTGTAAAAGTGACTGAAATTATGTTGTTAAGCCTTGGTCATCTTATCTTCCTTCCCTTCTTACCTAGTATAAAAGAGTGTTTGTGTCTTGTTGAGCTCGAGTTTATGTATACCAACAATCGTGTGTGTTCCGCTCTTCCGTTCTATTCCCAATATCAACAAAAATGGGGTTACATAGCCAACAAAGGTCAAATGTGGTATCTCCAGCAGCATGTTTGAGGGCAATCACTTGGATTTTCAAGCCGGCATTTTCTTGTGAGGAAGTTGTGTTTAAGTTTTATAGGTTTTGTAATCTTTGTAACATTGAAGCTCCAATGAGTAGCTCAGCAAACTTGATCCGTAGTTTGTAATAGTTTATTTTGTCAATTAGGCGTATGTCAAAAAAAATATAAAAAAATGATATCAATGAGATGTAAGGCATTTACTACGGAAAATTTGGACAAATTTTCATCAGTGGATCTTTGAATCTATGAGATTTAGAAGCATTTTCTATTAACATACAAGACAATCCTCAACAGTACAAAATAGTTTTGGGACAATAATTGCTGGTTCAACAAATTGTGTGCAACAGTACCTTAGCATCCTTCAGCACGATTTCACTAATTATTACTTATATAAATTTCAATTCTAGCCTTACCATTATTATACTATTGAAATCATTCTTTTTTTTTTTTTTTTTTTTTGAGATAGATTGAAATTATTCATTAGATTTAAACTCGACCTAACTAAGTCATTTTTATATATTAAAGTAAATCGTACTACATATATCTTAATCTAAGTCATTACTCATAATTAATCTCGAGGAGCAATAAATCAATTAATGGCCTACAGAAAAAGAAGACAACAATGACACCTAAATTTGTGGCCAAATATAACTCCTATGGGCCTCCCTACACCACTCCTCCTTCCCCTTCCACAACCATCCAAACCTTTCTTGCAAAAAATTGAACCAACAAACTTTGCCATTTAGCCAAAAATTCCTGTAAATGCGAAAATTTTAGTACCAAAAAAAAAAAAAACATTGAATTAAATATGCGTAATGGATTCACACTTCCTTCAACTCAATTAAAATCAACTCCTCAAATCCTAATTTTCTCTCATCACAATCAAAATTACTCCCCAAGAACATATCTTTATCCCTTTACTCTTCACCTTCAAACTCATTTTCTCTCTCCTACTTCTGTACCTGTACTTAGATGCTGCTATGGCAGTCATGTAATTGATCTTTTGGTGCTGGGTTCACATTCTTCAATACCCAGTTCAATAAATTTGAGGAAGAAGCAGAGATATAAAGTAAAAGCTAGTGTTAGAGAAACCCCATATCAAGTTTTGGGGGTTTCTTCTTCTGCTACTCCTAATGAAATTAAAAGGGCTTATCGAAAACTTGCTCTTAAATATCACCCAGATGTTAATAAAGAGGTATTTTCTTACATTTTATTTTAATTTTTTTGATTTGGGGTTTATTTGATTTTACTTTCTTGTGCTTGAATTGGATGCTTGTAATTGATTAGTGAATTGGGATGTTTTGATTGTAAAAAATGGAATTTTTGTTTGTTGGAAATTTTCATATGTACTTTATGGTGGTGATGGTGTTTTTGCTGTTATTTTGGTGCATGTATGGATTGGGAGCTAATGGGAATTCATGTGGACAAGATTTGATCACAGGTTTTGGGTATCACCCGTTGCGACTTTCGAATTGCTTAGTTAGGTTTTAGCTGATGGTTGAACACCATTGTTTTATTTGAGAATACTGCAATTTCCTGTTTCTTTTTACTGAGATGTTCTGGAGTTGGAATAAGGCAATATAATCATCAGTGATTAGTTATGTTAGTTAGCTTCTGTTTTGTGTATCAGAATTCAGAAAATTTATGGCCTTGTGCTAGCTGTTATATTGTGGTGACTGATGGCCTTTAATTATGGTTTTTGTGTGGAATGGTGGATTGGCAATGTAGTGTTCATCATTCACCTATCACGTTTGTAACATATGAAATATCAATTGACTTGTTGCTAAGGATTTTAGAGAGATGAGATTCTTAGTTTGAGTTGCATCATCCTTAATCATTGCTAATTGGCCTAGACTATGTTCCTTCGAGTTGTCATTGCAGCTATAAGGTGTCAGACATCTCTTAGGAAACGTTAAAACCATTTCCCTCCATGTGCCTGACGGGGTGATTCCCATGGATTCCATGACACCCGGGAGGTCATTTGAGTGGTCGTAACCATCCCCTTTGTCTTTTAAGCGCCAGTTTAGTCATATTCGTACACACTTCCCTTAATTAGCTTAACCACGGGCCTTTATGTGACCGAATAATGGTCGTATTGGGATGCATCTCCTTTGAATCTGTGATTTTTCGACTCGAAAACTTCGAAATATAGCCTTTCAATTGGCCCAAAAGCGTGGATAGACTTTTAAACAATTTTCGAGTTTTTTTTAATCCGGAAGGGAAATATGTCGGGGTGCTCCCCATAGACCCCAAGACACTCGGGAGTCCATTTGATGGTTGGAATCGTCCACTTTGCCTTTAAACTGCCAATTTATCTGTTTACACTTTATGTTTCCTTCATTAATTCAAGGGCACCATGGGACTTTATATGGCCGACTAGTGGTCAAATATGGTTTCAAACAATATTATATGGCTCTGATATGCATCCCTTACATTCTTGAAATCGATCTTGGGACCTCTAAAATTGGTCCAAAAGCATGGATTGTTACCTTCAGTTTTGGACTTTTCCGGACCGGAAAGAAAACTTTCGGAATTCTTCGCATTGACCCCAGGACATGGGAGCCCATTTGGATGGTTGAAACTACCTACTTTTCCTTTAAGCAATAGATTTAGCCATTTTTGTACACGCCTTCCATAATTGACCCAATGCCAGATGCCACCACTGGTCTTTAAGTGACCAGCTAGTGGATGCATCCCTTACATTCCCGAGATTAAGTCCTGAAATCTCAAATATTGGTCCAAAAGTGTGGATCTTCACTTTTGAACATTTTTTTACTTTTTCAGAACAGAAAAGGAAATTGGTCAAGGTTCTTCATATGGACCCCACGACACCTCGAAAGGCCATTTGGGGTGGTTAGAACCATCCATTTTGCCTTTAAACCATCAATTTAGCCATTTTCGTACAAGCCTCCTTTAATTAAACTAAGGTCACCACATGCCTTTATGTGACTGATTAGTGCTCATTTATGGTTCCAAACAACGTTATATAAACTCGGGATGTATCCCCCACAATCCTAATATTTTTCGACACTAGGTCTCAAAACCTTCAAAAATTGGTCCAAAAAGCGTGGATTATAGCCGTAAGTTTTGAACATTTTTTACTTTGTTGGACCGCATAGGAAAGAGGTTGGGGTGTTTCCCATGGACCTCATGACACCTCGGGAGGCCATTGGAGTGATTGAAACCGTCCACTTTGCCCTTGAAGCGTCAATTTAGTCATTTTTGTACACACCTACCTTTTTAATTCAAGGCTATCACAGGTCTTAATGCGACTGACTTATGTCTGTATATGGAATTTCAAGGGTTGTCTGGGGCGCACCGGACACCACAAAACATGCGGTGTTCTTCCAGCTGCTGGACTCGTCTGGCCACGGGCACGAGTTCCTATTGCTTTGTATGTACTAAATCTATGTAGCTGACTAGCTAATTGATCCAACCCCACTGATATGGGCTGAGGCTTTGTTAGGTAGGATAAATGAGTTACATGGAGGATTAGATAAGGTGTTGCAGAGGCATGTGTGTTTGCTGCAGTTGCTCATACTTATATAGGTGATTTCATAGTCAATTGTAAGACAACTTTTGGTATTCGTTCTAATAACAATGCATGTGTTTTTCCCTTCAAGCATGGAATCTTAGTTTTGGGGGTTTACTATTCTCAACCTTCTACAGTAGTTCTAAGTTCATTTCTCAATTTACAGGCAAATGCTCAAGAGAAATTTATGAGAATAAAGCATGCATATAATACGTTGATCAACTCTGATTCTCGAGATAGATATGATGCGGGCAATCGCAGATCTGACTTTTCGTATTCATCTTCTGGAAGAAGTCAGAGCACCCAAGAAGAGGAAGAATTCTATGGATTTGGTACATTTTCAATTCATCATAGTGGTCTATACATACTGATTTATTATAGTTAACATTTTAGGTGATTATGCATACTCAGGTGATTGTTTCTATTGATTACTCACCAGACTGAATTGGAAATAAATAATAGGCACTTGTTTTTATGATTGTCGTTATAACAATTATACTTTACGGACTGACAAAAATTCCATATTGAGATTATTTTCTAGTTGTTTTAACCTCATACAAGTAGCTTCCTAGTTAGGGAATTATGTTGAATAGGTTTTGATCTAGTGTGTTGGTGGATGTAAATACCGGAAATTCTAACTAAATCTAGTTGACTAAAGTATGTATAATACCTTAGCAAACTCTTGATCATATGACTAGCTGCAACAAGCTTGCGGAGAGAAATATATGTGATTCAACACATTCATAATTCCTTGAAGGTACATGCTCTTTTGCAAGATCATGGTAGCGATGCCCTGTTGTCCATATATGATATATATGGTTCTATGCCCCAATATTGAAACTTTGAAAGTGAATACCACCACACCTTTTATGATCTGTCCTGTGTGGTCTAGCGCTGTCGTAGGAATGTATTCTTATGCTGAACCCATAGCTGTTGCAGGTGAATTTTTGACGGATGTCCAAATTACAGTAGGTAGATTATTTATCTTCTTTGACATATGCAAGGCTACAGTGATAATTATGTACCATCTCTTCAATACTAGCTACCTAGCTAGCAGAAATTGCTTCTCTTTTACTTCCTTTTTTCTCCTGGCGCATGAAATTGTTCAATAAAAGCATAATTTTGCTTCCTTATTGCTGCTTAAGTCTAGTTTTGGGTGTTGCAGGTGACTTCTTTAGAGATCTACAGGAAGAATTTCAAAACTGGGAAGCCAATGCCTCATCACAAGGGAAGCCGAAGAGCTTATGGGAAGAGTTATCGGTGAGCCAATATTTACACATGTTCTCATACTTCAGGTTTTGGAAGTTGCAGTTAGCAGCTAAATGAGCTAAATATGATCTACTATTATCTCATACAGGAAATAGGTGAAGAGTTTGTTGAATTTTTGGAGAAGGAACTTAATATAACCAATGAAGATATTGGTGGTGAGGCACCTAGAGAAGATTCTTTTAAAAGTTCTGGTGCTCAAAGAGCAAATAATGTTGATAATGGAACAGGAGGGAAAAACAAAAACAGCATTGAAGAGAGTATTGACGACATTGAAGCTGCTCTTGCTCAATTAAAGAAGGAATTAGGCATATAGCAGTAAAATTACTTGTTCTTTTGCTTAAATTTTGGTGTATATTATAACACAAAACTATATCATGATACCTAAATACCTTTTTGGTCATGCTTTAGTTGTTTACAAAGATTATGTCCTACACAGGAGAACCTATGCTCCAAATGGAGATGCTTCTTTTCAAATGAATATAACTTGAGTTTAATCAAGAACTCGACATATTATCTATAATTATTATCGATATACAAGTGCTAAATATTCACCAGGACAAGTGTCTTGTTCATTCATATGTGCCATAATAATTGAAGTTATCCTTTCGACATCAAAAGCAGAAAAAATGACCTTTCAATTGAAATATTGAATACTGAATACAGTAAAAAAAAAAAAAATAATAAAATAAAAAAATAAAAATCAGTTCTTATTTTTGAATTCCTAGAAATCCGCCATTTACCTTCAAAAAACTAATTTGGCCTCTCCATTCTACACAACTCTATCAAAAGCTAAATTAACCTCAGTATATTAAGGCACGATTGGAAACAAAAACTAAACTGAGCTCAAAATCTTTCCCCGAACCGGAAGAATATTGCTCCAGTACCAGAATTGTGATCAACAGCATACTCGGCTCGCACAAGACCTAGCTTGACACCAGCTCCATAAGATGAGCCCTGACCCATTCTTCTATAAACTTCTGTAGGATTGCCCTTGACGTCTTTGGAAGTTCCAAGATCATTCCCGTGTTCTGCAAAAATATACGCATGTGTGTTTTTGATAGGTATCCGCAATTCAGCAGCAAGCTGTGGACAAAAAAAAAGAAAAGAAAGGTTAACAACACTTGTAATTCAAGCTTTGCATCTCTATCTTAGCAGTTAGCACGATAAAACACAACTATCACTTCTCATACGATAAAAGGCCATACATTATATCGAGTTTATATGCATCTTTCTCATAAATTTCAATAAAGATTCATCTATGTTAATCATGTCATCAATATTTACCTATTGATTCTGTGCTGAGTGCTGCCTATAAATAAAACTGTGAAGAACTGAAGATAACTATAGCTGAATAGAAACTTACCTCAAGAATGCTTCTAGCTGCACCAAGTTCTCCCATGTTGTAACCCCTAACAGAATAGGGTCCTCCAAGGGTAAAAGCATCATAGCTAGGAAGGTCTCCCACACAGCCACCATAGTGACCATGAAGGACAAGAACAGGCGGTGGTGGCTTCCCAGCACCTTCTTCTACGTTCTTCAACTGAAGAAACCTGGTTAATGTCAGTTGATGGCGGTTGAAGAGTGGGTTTTTACTGCCTATGCCCAAGCCTTGGTCCACCTGCAATCAGAAGACAGGAATCAAATCAAGTTTAAGTTTTTTTTTGCATATGAAGATTCATTCAAGTCCAAAAAATGCACCAATGAAAGTAAAACAGCATAAGCAAGATATATTTATCACGCTGGTTAAAAGATGCCAGGCCAATTTGACATATTGCCATGAAATCTTGTCACATCTAACAGCATACTAGAGCATTGACCCCCACCCTCTTCCTCCCTCCAAACACTGACTGGTTTAAACAACACTATGTCCAAGAAGCTTTTAAAGAGTTTCATTTAAGGAGATTCAAACATATGCAACCTTACCCCCTGTAGATTGCTTCCTATAGCAAAGTTTGGCAATTGCTACAAATAATTATTTCCATCAGGAATTAGTTTTTGACAATCATGTAAGCTTATCACCTTTTGCTTTCTGACCCATTAACTGGCAAAACCAGTGGGGAAAAAAAAAATTATTGCTTTGACTGTAATTCTTTTTATTAACATACATATATGAATGTTAATACATAGTATAAAGGATGTTTTTAGATTCATCTCAATTTATATTCAGCATATCAGCTTTGCATACTTTTTTTTTAATTGATAATTAGAGATATTAATGGTAAAGTGTGACAATCAAACTGTTGCATTTAGCCTAGAAAGGAAGTAGAAAAATTGATACTATGTAACAATTTTATCTTACTACCCTAATGGGAGAATGGTACACAGAAAGTACTAATTAATTTGTAAAGCTATACCATCAATGACATAAGAGAATTGTACCTCCTTTTCCATTTTGCCTAATGTTTGTTCAAGCTCCTTTTTGGATGTCTCCAAAATTTTTTATATTACCACAATTAGTAACTATGGAGTACCATTTGACATCTTCAATTCAAACCAACTTATTATAGATTGAGAAATTCCAACATTAATCTGGTTAAGACAGCTAAAAAACTACCATACTCAATAAAACATCTAGTCTAGCTAACATTTTGGGACAGATTACACAAAATGTACAGAATAAAAAAATGGCGACTTCATGGACAAGTACAATATTGCACAGAAACAGCTAAAAGCTCACTTGGGGAAGGTAAAATGGTAAAACAATTAAGCAAAGAAGTTGACACAGCCCACCCCGCCTCCCAACAGGGTTGGACCTCAAAAACTCAAACTAGAGTTTTTTTTATTACTGCATTAGGCAAGTTGACATGGGACATTAAACAAAGAGAGCATATGCTCAATCTCATGGGTTCATTCGCAACCATACATAATTTCAATTAGTACCCCCCCCCCCCACAACAAAACAAATCATTGCAAACAACCTATCTATACTAGAATTTTTAAACTTAGAAAAACCTGTAAACTCATAACCATAAGATATGTGACTTAAGCTGCTCAAATTGGAATGTTGCATAGATAATAGGTGAAATCCACAATGTGCAAAAGAGGAAACTATGCTAGACCACTTCCGAACAAGGAGAATTCCTGTCTGTTTCTAAGGTGTTCATAGCAATAGTGTTTCATTTGTCAGTCAATCTTCATGACTATAAAGACTTAAATAATCGTAAATTAGGGTACTATGTCTAATACATTCCTGTAACAGCTATATTAATAATAGTGCATTGATACAGTACATTAGTACAATGGGAGAAACTATTCAAAAAGGAAGGACACAAAAGTTACCTGAAACACATTTCTATCACCAACTATAGCTCCATTTACAAACTTTGTGTTATCTCGTGTAATATTTGCTTGTAAGAATGCCACTCGGTCAATACCAGTATCGCTTAAAGTTGTTGGGGGTCCATCAGCACTAATTCCACCATTAGGCAACACCCTTTGACCAGCTATGGCGATATGGCTGCTTTCATCTCGTGTTGTTATCTCTTCAACCACAAGCCCATAAGTAAGCTTGCTCTGCCGGGTAAGATTCTGCAAAAGTGGCATCATTTTGCAACAAATATGACTAATATGAGAGGAAGAAACAATATAGAACTAGGCTAGCAAAGTCAAATTTAGAATCAAGTACCAACCTCAGTAATATTAGCTTTCACACCAGACCTATCAACCCAGATAGGAGGAACTTCATCCAGTCCTGGGCCACCAGTAAACACAGGACTCAGCTTTCTGCTATTGAAGCAGCTTGTTCGGAAAGTGCGGTTTTTGGGACTATATACACCATCGATATACGGATGCACATATTCGAACTTGAAAGCAAGATCATCCTGAAAATGTGCTAGTTAGAACCAGAAGAATAACATCCCCAGGAGGTGAAACACAAAAGAGTGGCCTGAACATTTTCATTCCTGAGAATGATACTGATATCTCTTGAAATAAGATAAGCTATAAATACAGATAATCACTGAACAGAGACTGTAACAAATCTGAGCATCAACCAACTGACCAAGAGGATATGAAGGCTAAGGACCAAGAAGGGAAACATATTAATGGAACAGTCATGCTTAGAGGGACAAGAGATGAGCCGCCTTTTAGGGTGAAAATAGTATCACTTGGTGCATTTATTTTTTATTAAGTGTAATAAAAAAAAAGAAATTTTTTTTGAGGACTAGTAATTATAAGTAATATTACCTGTGGGTTGAAGAAGTTACTGGTGGTCACTGAGCCAAGGAATGATCTATTGAGACCTTTGATGTTTCGGTGTTCAAAGGAGACAGTTCCGCCTGGCTGGATAGAAGCCTGGGGAGGTTTCAGGAAGGGAAAAATTAAAAAAAATCAGAACTTTACACAAAATTCATAAGTTGTGATAGGAAAAGATAATGAAACCTACCAGTGTTGGATGCCCTTGACGTCCAGGAACAATACTCCACTCAGTACTCACTTCAGCAGACTTCTGATCAAGTTCTTTAAGCTTAATCTCAACAATTATTCCTCCTTCAGACTTTTCATCAGGACGTGGATTCACTTCAATGTTAGAAAATAAACCCAGAGAGTTTATGTTTCTCAAAGCTTGCTTTCCTGCTTCTATGTTAAAGACATGACCTACTCTAAGCTGCAAAATTGGACACCACAACAAACTAATTAATGCTTTAGTATAACACAGAAATACTTTAGATTACAGCATAATCAGCAACTATGGCCATTTTTTCTTGTCATTTCTGATTACATTAGCAGATAACTTAAAAGTAAAAACTAAGCAGCCGGCACCACAATGATGGCCATATCATTATGTATAGCCATGCATCAAATAGTAAATCTATAACTTCCACAAACTATGTGTGCTTAACCTCATATTGATCCTAAATTTTCCGATACACTTCTAATCTTCTATATGTGAAAGTTAACGGTCCAAAAATCCTGCACATACTGCAGAATATGAATATTTTCATTTCCTTTGTTTTCCAACAGCCATGTATAGTTCTAATAATATTGACAATTTATGAAGTGAATTCTAAGTCTTAACCACGCAAAATAATAGAATAGTTTCAAATTACATTAAATTGACTTTATCAGTGTTTCCAATGCTCATCCAAACTCACATTTTGACAAGAAACACAGCAGTACATGTATTACGTATTACTCGACATCTTCATCACCTTTCTTGTTCAGGTGATTTGGTGATTACGGGGTATTACACGTATCAAACTTCTTAGGTATCATTTTAGACCACTGATATGACAGCTTAAGGTACTGCTACATTATGCTTGGAAATATCAACAAATCTCAAATATTAAATGTTCAAAACGATTAATTAACTATGGATTTGCAACGAAGATTAAAATGCTATTACCTGCTTAGGCAATTCCCTCCAAACAACGGGAAATTGAGTATTCCCTTCAACTACATTTCCAAGTTTATCCTGGAATTGAATCAACAACTGGGTAATATCCCCTTCCACCACCTCACAAACAACTTCCTTAGTATTCAAATTCCCAAAATTCACAACTTGAGCGCATGCATACCCCTCATCATGGTACCATTTCTGAACTGTATCTCTAATCTTCTGCAGTGACCTTGCAGTCACCTTCCCCTGATCACTCAACATCTTCATCACATCCCGATAGATTGGGGTTGGCAACAAGCATGGCCGAGCCCGGTCAATCCTCCTCCTATAATCCTTCTCCTGGCTTATAAAGAAATCAAGCTTCTCCTTATCAGTCATATCAGGATCCATCTCCACCGGCTTCGTTTGTGGCATCAACCCCACATTAATGCACCTAAGTACCAATAATCACATACATTAAAATCAAATCAATACCCATAACAATTTCTCCACTAATTACTTGCTACTTCCCCATAAAAAACCAAAATTGAATCAAAACTTCCAATTAAAACTATCATACAGTAGTTCATTCCAATTATACTGGATAAAAACATCACAACAATCAAATCTTTACAGAAATAAGTAAAGAAAAAACCAAAATAAAACCTGAATTTCTCAGCAGATTGCCAGGTACTTTCAAGAAAAGATATAGTAACCTTAATAGAACCATCAGGATTAGTTTTACCCTCCAAATCAACCCTCTCAAACATTCCACAAGTAGCTAGGGTTTCAAGCTCTTTCTGAAGCTGCGCCTTTGTATAAACACCATTAGGTCTAAGAGAAACCATCTCAAAGAAAGAATCCTCGGTACCAACAGTGGAACGACGTCGTTGATCGAAGAAGAGGATATCGGAAACCTTATACTTCTTAAACCCACTAAGCTTATTAAGCTGAACAACAATGTTAGCAGGAAGACCATGAGGATCCCAACCCTCGGTCTCTTCGTCTTTGGCGAAAGCGGGGGGAGAGAAAAATCGTGACCACCACGACCCATCTCCCCCTCCACCTCCCCCACCTCCGCCATTAAAAAAATTGTTACCTCCGCCACTGCCGCCACCGAGGGTAAAGAGTAGGATGCCGGCGGGAACGGAGATGATGAGGGTTTTGGAGATAATGGGGTGGGAGAGGAGGGATTGAATGGGGGCAGAATTGGAAGAAGAAGAAGGGATGTTGTTGTTGGAGGTGGGGTTGTTGTGGGAAGAGAGAGAAGATTTGATGGGGTTGGATTTGGGGAAGGAAGAAGGGAGGTGGGTTTGGGTTTTGGGGCGGCGAGAAGAGGCGGAGTTTGCGGCGGTGGAAGGGTGGAGGGAGATGCGGATGGCGCCGGGAAGAGTGATGGACGCCATTGGGGATAAGGAGAGGCGAGAGGAGGAAGGAGGAGAAGTGACAGAGAAGAAATGAGGATTTTGTTTTATAAGAAAAAGGGTTTAAAGGGAAGAGGAAAGTTTAGCTGGGTTCTTGTGTTGCACCCTGCAGGTGGATCTGTGGATTCACTCGCGGGGTGTTTGGCACGTGGGAATGGCCAATTTCTTGTTTGACATATAATTGGGAATAAAATTAGGATTAAAGGTCAAATTTACTATTTTATCTTTATTGCTTCTATCTCAAAATTTAACCTATTCCCACTCCCTAATTTAATTCCCATCAAACAAACATGGGTTTATGGAGACTTGATATTAATAATCCCATTCCCATCATATAATCCCACATACCAAACACCCCCTCGAAGTACTCCCTTCACTCTTTAAAGATATAGTGATACGGATTTTCATCGTTCTTTAAAGATCGTTTAGGTTATGGGTCTTTATCAGGAATAAAATTGTCCTATTATATGTTTTGAGTCAAAGTCTCTAAACTCTTATCAATGAATCATGAATAGTGTAATTAAATCAAAAAAAAATTTATATTAATGAGATTACACAATTACGGCGATGATTAAATGGGTTAAAGAGGTTGCCATGATGGAAAAATTGAGTTGCTTTTATCTCTATTTCTTACAAAGTGGTTGCTTCAAGGTTGATTTAGGCTAAACCTAACAAAATATCGAAGAGAAGATTAATTCTCTATAGAAGGGCGGTAACATTACAGACTTGAGTTCGATAAACAAATGTCGGCTATACTTCATATAATGTGTGTGATTGTATGTGTGTTTTCTAGCTAGATAATGTTTGGTGTTTGATGCTTCTAGATATTTGCATTTTATACGGAGTAGTTTGCAAGTTTAATTTGTCATTGGTATATAGTTTGATTTCTAATAATATAATTTGGTTGCAATAATTATATTTGATTTTGGTGATCACAATTTGAACACAATTTGAAAGGAAGTGTATTTAATTATTCGTGATATCTATTATGTTTGAAGCTCATTTTAAGACTAATGTCCAAGCTTTATTAAAATCTTAACAAAATTGTTTTGTATTTGACCTATATGATATATCCATTAATGATTTAATTGTTAAGCTTCATTTTCTACTTTATGTGATTATATATTCCAATAAAAGAGTTTCTTGAAAAATGTAAGGGGAAAAAAAAGATAAAGAAAGAAAATGCTTCATTTTTCACAAAGATTGAGGCTGATGTTTAGGAAGTTAGTTATAAAAACTGATCAACTTATCAGGTGGACATTGATAGTTTGCCAAGTGGCTAACTAGAAAAGAGTGCTTCCTCAACCATATGTTTCTAACTGTCCTGCTAAAGCTAGAACATCTTTTAACCAAATATTACACCATTTTTTCTTACATTTTTAATCAAAACTTTAATTACCATATCAACTTTAGTTTTAGTCTTTGAATTGATTTACCAGTTTATTCAATTCTCAAATTATGGCTGAAATGGATGTCAAAACTATTGAACAACTTCTTCATCATCGTATGTAATATCGACTTGTTAATTGCTCTTTCGGTATTATACCTCTATTATGTTTTCTTTTGTTATTGTTATTTATGTAACATAACTATTTTGAATAATTATGTGTGCAGCTGAAAATCCAATATCCGGTGGGAATACATTGTCGACGGTAGGAAGAGCTCATGACCAAGAAGACGACCACTTGCACCATGGAAAGAAATTATCTGTTCTTGCCAAAGTAAAAGAGAAGGCTAAGAAATGGCGACAAACTCTAGTTAGAAAGAAATCGGGACATGATAATGATGGTAATCATACACCTTCATGGGGTGTGGCCTTGGAAGATTATGTAGATGAAGATGAACCCGATCACAATATTGGATCTCTAGGTATTGTAACTCAAACCTTGATTTGGACTTATTAATTCAACTCAATATTTATATGACGAAAAGGAAGCAATTCAAGATTGTAAAAACTATAGATAAACTATTATTGTATTTTTGGTAGATAGGATGATAATATGTTTGTTGTGCAAATAATTTTAGTCCATCTTTAGTTTATAGGATCAAATTGGATGTCTCAATCTCTCGACATCAAATTGTTATTTTTTATATTTTTTTTAAAAAAATGTTCTTGAATATAAATTTAAATTGCTAGTTGAAGGTTAAATTTTAAAGATACAATTAGATTATGTTTCAATGGTTCTTTTAATAAGCTACTTTTTCCTTTAGCTTATGAGTCCAATCGCGAACCCAAGGGTTCTAAAGAAGTTAGCAAACACGAAAGAGCAAATCCATTGACATCCGAGAAGCAAATATACAACAACAATGCCGAAAGACAAATTGATAATGAGGTGAAACAAAAGCTTCCTACTTTAAGGTTGAGGACTATTGGACCTACTTTGGGTAAAAGCTATTCAGCTAATGCAGTAGGATATCCTTCAGTATCAGAAGATTCAATCAACGAGGCTCCTCGAGCCCAAAGCTTGGGCAATCATTTACGAGAAAAACACCCTAGTCCGAGTAAATTCACCCTTGATACACTAATTGCTCAAAGGAAATCCAATAAGCAAAGGGAGAAATTACCTCATCCTGAAGAATTATTGACAGGAGAAACTGCTATCGACGAATCTTCTGAAAATGATATCATTAAGGAGAAGGAAGAACATCATAGTAATGAGGCAGTCACAGCTCAAAATGTGATCGACGAAAGTACCACTAAGGAGAAAAGAACTAATACTGAGGGTGATGATGATAACATCAATGCCACAAGAGAGCAAGAGCAGGAATCTCCAATTACAAAGAAGACCATGTCTGAGGCTATGTCAGAGAAGTTGGCACCATCTTATGCCACTGCTACAGAAGCAATCCACGATATCAACAATACCAGGTTTTCGAATACCCAACAATTGCCCATGGAAAGTCCTCAAAGCATTAAAGAAGAGCAAAAATGGGACAAAGGTGTTTCAGTCAAAGAGTACTTTAAAAATAAGTTAGAGCCCGGGGAAGATGAAAAGGCGCTATCTCAAGTGATTACAGAGGTAATTAGTCCTAGGAGGAGTCCTACTGAAAAGGGTGTTGTAGAGAAAGTAAAAACAGCAGTGTCTATGTTGCTTCAGACTGAAGAGCCATCTTCCCCTTCATCAATGAAGAGTTCGCGATCATCCTCTTTAATCCCAGTGTCCATCAATGCTCATGAAGGTATCCTTTATCCTACAAAAGATTTTCTTTTGCTTCCACCATTTTTCAATACATGTAACAAGTTGACTTTTAATATTTTTACGAATCCACGATAATGATGTCATACTTGGCTAATACATGCTTTTACTCTGCAGTAGTTGAGGAAGAAAGCCAAGAAGGTGGTATGCAAGCAAACTAAAAGTGCACAAAATCACAACTTCACAAGTTGAGGTTCATGCCTGGACCTGTTCATAGGCATTATATATCGGACCATAGTTTATATACATGGACCAAGGACCAGGCCCATTTGCATGCTCATGTAGTCATGTTATAAGGGTTATGAACCTATACGGCCTCTATATTTTTATGTAACTAGGAAACCAATCATTTTGTGGATGTTATACAGAGATGACTAGATGAGAGATCCCATCTCACAATTGTGCTAAACTAGTGGACTATTCCTTTATCTTTGATTACTAGTCATGTTGATTTACAGATTAATAATTTGAACTAATATAGTTACATTGCATTGGCAGTGTAATCTTATTATTAAAGGAAGTAATGTTAGTTAAAGACTCACGACTATTCTTGATACTCCCTCTCTTTATATATTTTTTTACGTTTGTTTTTGCGAGTGTAATACTATACATTTGTAATTAAAAGGTTTAGAATTTGAAATGAGGATGAATTTTACAATATCTCATCATCAATTGAAATTTCATTTGAAAATTTAGAGAAAATACAAGTTTATCATCTTGATAAATATAATCTGTTTATCAAGGGGCAAAACTGTATATAAATCAACAACTTTTTATTAAAAATGGGCTCACAAATGTCGATATAATTACTAAAATGCCATGATGATAGGACAAACTTGTTGATTTATTTACGATTATTTTACCATTTGATAAACAAGTTTTGTTTATCATTGTGATAAAATTGAGGCTCCCTCAAAAACACAATTTTTTATATGTGACTGGCCATACCGTGTGGCAGAGGTTACTTGTAGAGGGTTACTCGTTTGTTCAGGGGTTACTTATTTTGGGTTATTCGTTTGGTAGGGGTTACTTATTCAGGGGTTACTCGTTTGGCTAGAGGTAAATTATAGGGGTTCCACTCCTTTAGTGAAAACCGAGAGACAATTTGGGCCTCCACTCCTCTAGCTATAGCAAATCTTATCCTAGTGAATATATGTCAGCAGCAAGTGCCCCAATATCTTGAGTCTTCGAGAACTTCTGGATCCGCTTCAGCAATGTAACCGCCTCCTTCTCTAATTCCCCAAGTAAAGAGAAAGAGAAAGGAAGGAAGCCATATCTAATTGCCCGGCAATCAGATTCGTACTTGACTATAGTTTCCGATGAGCTGCATCAGCCACAACCCGTATTATTATTATTATTATTATTATTAAATATCAATTATTATTATTATAGAGTAGATTTTAACGGAATAGAGCAGGAATCAGCAAAGCAGAACAGCTCAAAACAACATAGTCTTGCACGGTAGCCACTAATCGGATGTTTCATTTCTTTCACGAAATTTAGCCGATTTAATGCCAAGCAAAACCCTAATTAACACACACAAAAAAAAAAAAAAAAAAAAACAAGAAATGTCAGACCAATCAACTCGCAAATCCTTAGTCTATGTGCAATTTTATACATCTTCTTCAGTAATTTACTGATTCTCGCGGCTTTCATCGTATTATAGTTCTTCTAATTCATAATGATACAGTAATTATTTGAATTACAACAAATAATTACTGTAATTCGGTGTATGATTTCCTATATTTCAGAGATATCCGGAGATGGATTCTCGAAGCTCTCCTTTTCTTCTCCGAAGAAATTTCAGACTTGTTGCAGCGTTTAATTTTGACCATCATAAGCGATTGCACCATTTCTTTATTTATTAATTTATATTTAGTAGTATAATTTGCTATGTTGTTTTTGGTGTGTCATGGAATTATAGTTGTGGAAAATGTTTATTAAATTAAAGTCGTATAACGACCAAACATTAATAAATATTATATAGGTGGAAATTGATTTGTCTGATTCACATGATTTTGAGCACATCTTATTATGACTAATAACTCGAAAATGATACTACTTTGAGCTGGTTTGAAATGTCAAATGTACGCAATTTACCTCTACAAAAATAATGAGGTTTGTTTTTAATCGACCAAAGTTATGCTAAGTTTTTGAAGAATTCATGACCAAAGTTATGCTCTTGTACATCCTAATAGGTTAATAATACCTTCTCCAACTTACGTAGCGCGTAGAAGATTAAGAGGATTCAAATGAAATGTACATTTTTAAAGAAAATTAACTAGAACAATAGTAGCAATCACAATTATAAGAAAATTATCTAGCCACCCATTTACTAACGTAGGCCACATGCTTTGACAAAATAAAGAACGGGCTCTTCATTTCACATAGGTGATTTTCGTCAAGCATGCCTATTGTACAAGTTGCATAGCTTTGTTTAATGTATAATCTTTTTTTTTTTTTTTTCACCAAAAAACAATGCAAGTTTAACCGATCGAGCACGATTAGGCAAGGGCTTCTCTAAGTCAATGAAAATATCTAAAAGAGACAATGTCACTCTTTGTATTCCACATATTGTGCAAATTAATCTACGCAATTGAGTGGTCTGATCTTTAGTTTACTCGAGTATAAGATCAAATTTTGATGTGATGACCTATGAAACTCGTTGCTCTCTTATGTTTCATGGCTGAAACTTGCTCACACCTTCACCTAATATTAGTGCTTATTTTTTTTGTTCGACTTACCTTTGCTCAAGATGAAAAACAGTTCTTGTTCAATGGCTTCCGAGGAGCCAAACTTCATCTTGATGGGCTAGCAAACATCCACCCTAATGGTCTAATTCAGATGACCAACACTACGATGCAGAGTAGTGCTCATGTTTTCTACCCAAAACCCTTGAAGTTCAACAAAAGTCGTTCATTTTCCACAACTTTTACATTTGCCATCGATGTTGATGTGCCTGGTCATGGTGGCCATGGAATTGCCTTTGTTATCTCCTCATCCATGAAATTTGAGCATGCTATTCCTGAAGAATATCTAGGGCTTTTCAATACTTCTAATAATGGCGATTACTCTAATCATGTATTTGCTGTAGAACTAGACGTTATTCAAAATCCTCTGTTTGAAGATATCAATGGCAACCATGTCGGCATTGATGTTAATGGCCTAAAGTCTATTGATTCTGCTTCAGCGGCGTACTATTCTGATGAAGAAAGGAAGAACGTGAGCCTTCGTGGAACACCTATGCAGATTTGGATAGATTATGATGGAGAGAAGATGCTTATGAATGTGACATTAGCTCCACTTAAACATCCAAAACCCCAAAAAAATCTCTTGTCTACACATGTTAATCTTTCATCAGTACTCCTTGATTCTATGTATGTCGGTTTCTCATCAGCTACCGGTCTTACTGGAACTAAGCATTACATATCAGGTTGGAGCTGGAGTCAGATTGGTCAAGCCCAGGATCTTGATCTTTTCAAGCTCCCTCCATTTCCCAAAATTAGAACCTACAGAAACAAGCTGAAATTCCTTGTAATAGCATTGATTGTTGTTTTATTACTGTTGTTGGGAATGATTGCTGGAGTTGCTCTTGCATTATGGAGGAAGAAGTATGAAGAGCTGAAGGAACCATGGGAACAGGAATACAATTCTCTTAGATTTTCATTCAAAGATCTCTATGCAGCTACTAAGGGTTTTAGAGACTCTGGGCTTATTGGTTCTGGAGGTTTTGGCAAAGTTTATAAAGGTATGATTCCATTTACACACACCCAAGTTGCAGTGAAAAAGGTTTCACATGATTCCAGGCAGGGTATGAGAGAATTTGTATCCGAAATTGTAACCATGAGACGGCTAAGACATCGAAACTTGGTCCAGCTTCTAGGTTATTGCCGAAGAAATGGAGAGCTTCTACTGGTGTATGAATACATGCCCAATGGAAGCCTTGACAAGTTTCTCTTCAAGAGTAAGAGCTCCAACCTTTCTTGGTCTTGGAGATTCAACATTGTAAAGGGGGTGGCATCTGCCCTTCTATATCTTCATGAGGAGTGGGAACAAGTCGTTCTTCATCGTGATGTGAAGGCAAGTAATGTTCTTTTGGATGCTGACATGAATGCACGGCTTGGTGATTTCGGGCTGGCTAGGTTATATGATCATGAGAGCAATCCTTGTAGTACTCGGGTAGTTGGAACATTTGGATACATTGCACCAGAGCTCAGTATAACAGGCAAACCTAGTACTGCCACTGATGTGTTTGCTTTTGGTATATTCTTACTCGAAGTAGCCTGTGGAAGGCGGCCTAACAGCATACATGATTTTTCTACTGGGGACTTTGATTTGGTTGATTGGGTATACAACTGCTGGAAGAAGGGAACAATTCTCGAGACAAGTGATCCCAAGTTGAAAGGAGATTACCAAGGCGAAGAAATGGAACTTGTTTTAAAATTAGGCCTGCTGTGTTCCCATCCCAAGCCTGAAAGAAGGCCTAGCACGAGACAAGCGGTCCACTTCCTTAATGGGGATGCAATTCTGCCTGATATTCCTTCAGATTATGACCATCAAAGCAATAATTTCTTCGGTGGTATTTGGGGAAGATCTATGTCCGTTTTGTCATCTTCATCATCTGGTATATCTCAGGCCACTGTATCTAGTGATAATTCTGTTTTACATATTGGCCGATGAGTCTCTGTATTTTAATTCTTGTTTATACTTGATAGTAGGTTTTGCATTTTGTGTCTTGCAGAAAGCCTCATAGATATGCAGAAGGATGTATTCAGACTTTGAATCTGAAGTAAATAGTATTCCTGTTCTCTTTGGTGTTTGCTTCTATTTGATATGAAATTATACTTCTAAAATTGAGTGAAATGGTTATAGCTATTTGCGTACACAACTCTAGATATTAGATGCTTTTGAGATCTTTGTGATCATTCTGTGAGTTTTGTAAATTTTATGTGCTTTATAGTTTATACTGTAGATAATATTATCATCTGACAAATTCTCAGAAATTTTTTTGACCACTTTAATGATTAGAATTCAGAAATATTGATAGTTCTTGGTTCCTGTGAGACAAATTCTGCTTCTAGTTCTTTAAAATTAAGGAATTGGACAATCCACACACAGTATGAGCTTGGAGATACTCACATCTCTGTACTCAGATTCCTCAAATCTGTAGTATATCAATGTTAACTCTATTATCTTATTTAACTTCTGGAAACTTTGATGTCTGAAAAATGTAATTTGAGTTACAGGAGTACATAACAAGAGTTCAAATGACAACGATTTTAATCAGTATGAAGGGGATGCTTGAGACTTGAGTATTGACATATGATAGAATTCAATGGTTATAATTTAGCCTGTATTATTTCTGACATTTCCCTGCATAACTGTCTCTGCCCTCTTATTCTCTTAACAAGGCATTGCTGACTATATTTTGCTTGATTTTCTTAATTCCCTGTCTTTCAGGTAATCTAATACGACAAGTGCTGCGATTTAAGTGGAGCTTCGTTCGTTAGATACAGTAAGTTTTCTTCTTTTGTTTTGACTGATTCGTGAGTTTGTGACATTCGAACGATTTTTATTGGATAACTTGAAAGAAAATTAGAAGAATAAATGATCAGAGTTTGTGACAGTTAAGTAAAACATTAAGGTGCAAACATGTCTGAAAACTCTAATATGCCTCTTCAGTAGTTAAGTTGACTCAAGTACTTCGTATATGTTTCATAGAGTATAAAGTGGGCCAAATCAGGTAGGGTTGGGCCTTTTTATTTTTGGATTGGGCTTCGGGTTGAACTCATGTTCGTCATATTTGGATACATGGACCATGACCCACTTGCTAGATTGATTACTCCTAAGCCTGTTGAGCTCAGGCTAATCTGGCATGCTTTGCCTGTTGAGCCCAAGTACCTAACCATTTTGTGGAAATGTGGGTGTCACATTCACATAGAGATCATATCTCACATTTTCATTTGCTTAATTTAATAGTCATACTAGTCGTGTGGATAATCAAGTAGCTTACTTAGTTAAAGTATTGAGTGGTACGGAGTACTACTTAATATCTGGATCAAATCTTGTCTACATCGTTTGTCCTAATGGCTCTATATATATATATATTAAATTTCTGGAAAGTGATTCTAGAAGCGGTACTTTTTCTTCTCCAATGACATCTCAGTTGAGTCGCAGAGTTTGATTAAAGGTGAGGAAATTGCAATAATACTACTTTGTCTTCTCCAATGAAATTCTTTTATGGAGTACTAATTATTTTTTGTTTTGGAGTATAAAATTTGCTAATTGTGTTTGGTGTGTTATGGTTGTGGAAAATTCTTTATGTTGCATATAAAAAGACAAACAAGTGGAATTATTAAATTGAAGCCGTAATATAAGTTATGTGGGTGGAAAATCATTTGTTGAATTTACATGGATATAACAATTCTTCTGTACCCTAATACTATAAGTTATGTAGGGTATTACTATGAAGTATGAACGGGGTTGAAATGTCAAGTTTACGTGCTAACCCCTAAGATAATACAGAGGTTGTTTCTAATTATTGATCGAACTTAGGCTTTAAGTGATGGTAGACCAAAGCCGTTGTAGTATGTGTTTCATGCAAATTGAACTAAGTATTCATGATAAAGCCTCGTCCATGCTTTGAAGCTTAGTTCAAAGGCTTAATGATCTTTGGACTTCTAGCCAAAGCTTGTGATAAAGCTCAAATCTATATAGCCAAGCTTAAGCCACGGCAGTGTAGAACCATCACATCTTTCATGATCCTTAGTGACTCCTGACTAATACTAAGTTGTCTCGTTTGAGACTACCCGAGTACCCGTGCTAAAAAACATTACTTAATTGCTTACATAGATTTCTTCAAAAAACTTAAAATTATACCCTAAATTCCTCAAATATTAACCCTACCACTAATTTGAGTATCTTGCTTGTCAATAATCATGATACTCCATAGTAATAATAATAAATAAAGGATTACGGGTAATAACCGTAATATGGGACCACTGAATAATCTTGTACCACATATTACCTTTTCCTTCTTTTTTTTTTTTTTGGCAATGACCTTTTTCTACTTATGTTGCGCGCACATGTGGGAATTGATGTAGGACATGAAGGCAGTGCACATCTTAGGATTATTGTAGTTGTCACTGTCCTTGAACACCTTTTCCAGCCACCCATACTCTAATGGAGACCACATACATTTGACAAAATGACCAAAGAACAATAAACAAGGCTCTTCATTTCACATACTAGTAGATGATTTTACATTAAGCATACCTTCAGAATAGCAGTGCATACAATTGTACAAGTTGCATAACTTTGTTAAATATTTAATCTACCTTTTCCACCTACAAACAATACAAGTTTAGCCGAGGGGGCATGCTATAGGTAAGGACTTCTAGATACATACAAGAGGTTTCTCATGAGTCAAAAATTCTCTGAAAGTGAAAATAACACGTATTCCATTTCCTATAAAAAGAAATTAAGTTTTGTGTGGTCTTTAGTTTACTTAAGTATAAGATCTTATTTGATTGAAGTTCTGATGTTTCATGGCTGAAACTTGCTCACATCTACTCAATAAATTAGTGCTCCTCTTTTTTGTAGTACTTACCTTTGCACAAGATGAAAAACAATTCATGTACAATGGCTTCCAGGGAGCCAAACTTCATCTTGATGGGCAAGCAAACATCCACCCTAATGGCCTTTTACAGATGACCAACTCTTCATTGCAGGGTAAAGGTCATGTTTTCTACCCACATCCCTTGAATTTCCACAAAAGCCGTTCATTTTCCACAACTTTCACTTTTGCCATCAATACTGATGTGCCTGGTCATGGAGGCCATGGAATTGCCTTTGTTATCTCTGCATCCATGAACTTTGAGCATGCTGTTCCTGCTGAGTATTTAGGAATTTTTAACACCTCCAGTAATGGAAATAAGTCTAATCATGTATTTGCTGTAGAATTAGACACGGTTCAAAATGCTGTTTTTGGAGATATTGATGGAAACCATGTTGGTATCGATGTGAATGGCTTAATGTCTGTTAGTTCTGCTTCAGTGGCGTACTATTCTGATGAAGATAGGAAAAACATCAGTCTTCAGCTATCAGGTGGAACACCTATGCAGATTTGGATAGACTATGATGGAGAAAAGATGCTTATGAATGTGACATTAGCTCCACTAAAGCATCCAAAACCCAAAAAGAATCTGTTGTCCACTCCTGTTGATCTTTCTCCTGCAGTCCTTGATTCTATGTATGTTGGTTTCTCCTCATCTACTGGTCTTACTGCAACTGAGCATTACATATCAGGTTGGAGCTGGAGTCAAATCGGTCAAGCCCAAGATCTTGACCTTTCCAAGCTTCCTCCAATTCCCAAGATAAGAAGCCACAAAAAAAAGCTGAAAATCCTTTTTATAGTATTGATTGTTGTTTTATCACTGTTGTTGGAAATGATTGCTGGAGTAGCTTTTGCTGTATGGTGGAAGAAGTATGAAGAGCTGAAGGAACCATGGGAACAGGAATATATTTCTCATAGATTCTCATATAAAGATATCTATATAGCAACTAAGGGTTTCAAAGATTCTGAGCTTCTTGGTTTTGGAGGTTTTGGCAAAGTTTATAAAGGTGTGATTCCATCTACACACATCCCAGTTGCAGTGAAAAAAATTTCGCATGATTCTAGGCAGGGTATGAGAGAATTTGTAGCCGAAATTGTAACCATGAGAAGGCTAAGACATCGAAACTTGGTTCAGCTCCTAGGTTATTGCCGTAGAAAAGGAGAGCTTCTTCTAGTGTATGATTACATGCCCAATGGAAGCCTTGACAAGTTTCTTTTCAAGAGTAAGAACTCTGATCTTTCTTGGTCTCAGAGATTCAACATTGCAAAGGGGGTGGCATCTGCCCTTCTTTATCTTCATGAGGAGTGGGAACAAGTCGTTCTTCATCGTGATGTGAAGGCAAGTAATGTTCTATTGGATGCTGACATGAATGCGCGGCTTGGTGATTTTGGGCTAGCCAGGTTATATGACCATGAAAGCGCTCCTCGGAGTACTCGTGTTGTTGGAACTGTAGGATATCTTGCTCCTGAGCTGAGTATAACAGGCAAACCTACTACTGCTACTGACGTGTTTGCTTTTGGAATATTCTTACTTGAGGTGGCCTGTGGAAGGCGGCCAAACAGCCTGCAGGAATTTTCTACAGAGGACTATGTTTTGGTTGATTGGGTATACAACTGCTGGAAGAAGGGAGAAATTCTTGAGACAAGTGATCCCATGCTGGAAGGATATTACCAGGCTGAAGAAATGGAACTTGTTCTGAAACTAGGCCTGCACTGTTCTCATCCTAACCCAGAAGGAAGGCCTAGCATGAGACAAGTGGTTCAATATCTTCATGGAGACGCAAATCTGCCAGATATTCCTTCTGATTATGACCATGAATGCAACAGTTTCTTTGGTGGGAGTTGGAGTATATCTATGTCAGTTCCATCATCCTTGTTATTCGGTGTATCTCAGGCCACAGTATCAAGCGATAATTCAGCTGTACATAATGGTCGATGAGTTTTTGAATTTACTATTTTACAATCTTATTGAAAGTAGGTTTTGCATTTTGTGTCTTGCAGAAATCCACATAAACATACAGTAAATTGTCTTTGGCCTATATAATGTAAGAATTTGGATCTGAAGTAAAGAGTTTTCTGGTTTTCTTTTTCTTTGCTACCTTGCTTTTATTTGCTATGAACATTTACTAAAAGAATTATGGTTACTGTTATTTGCATACATAAATTTATGTGCTAAGACAGCTTTTGAGGTTTTCTGGCTTATACCATGAATAAGTCTGATTGTTCCTATTACTATTATACCAGTTGTCTGTTCTTCAATGCTGAAAAAATTTGGGCTCCCTGATGGTTTTAAAATCACTGTTGTCTATTACTCTCTTCAGACTGTAAAAGACAGGGGGGGGGGGAGGAAGAATGTGAGTAAAAAAAAAAACAAAACAACAAACAAAAACAGACAAAATTAAGTCTGAAAGCTCACCGAGGTCTTCAGCAAAGCCTCGTCTTCTTCAGCTGCCCTAGCTGCAGCTTCTTCTTCAGCAGCCCTGGAGGACCCTTCTCCTCCTTCACAAGCTTCAATAACCCGTGCAACCTCTTTGGCCGTACGGGCAGCTTCAGCTTCTTCGTCCAGCAGCTGAAACCAGGGATCTCTCTTCTTCCACCAAGGCTTCTGCCTCTGATACAGAGCAACAACCTCAATTTGGAAATGGGAAGAGTCTAGATGAACTTCTCTATGCCTCGGTTCAGTGATAGAGGGAGCCCGATCAGTTACAACTCGTTCTCGGTTGACGCCAAGACGAGCGTAGTTAATGCCGACGTTGGTCTCGTCCCGCTCTGAAAAAGAAAAGGGGAAAGGTCAGTTAAGTTAGGTTGGCACAGCATAAACAAGCGAAGTGAAAGAGGAGAAAAAGAGATAATTAAAAGGCCTCGGCCCCAGCCGAAGAAGCTTACCATCCTTAAACTTTCGGCTGAGGCCGACAGCTGCTAGCATGTTCTCTTGGAAAACATAATGCGTATCGGGGAGCCAAGTCTCCGGGATATGCTGCATTCGGCCGCTGCCCCCCCGGTTCGGCAGCTTGCCGAAGATATTCTGTTGATTAAGGTTCGGATCTGGGCCGTTATCTGCGGGGGGACCTAAACTTCCCATGTCGGGATCAGGCTCAGCAAGGTACCGGGGAGCGCTGAAGATGCAAGGGTGGCCCGGGTCCGTGGGTGCCCTAACCCAAATCCATTGACCTCTCCAGTCCTTGTCTGAAGAGTCGTTCGGCCACATGGTTAGGTACTGGGGCCGAGACTCAATCCGGTACCACCCAGAACCATGACTTCCGTGCCCACTTTGAATATTTGGCACTAGCCGATGAAGCTTTTTGAAGCAGTGCAGGTTCGGCACATACCTGAAGAACTTGCAGACCCATAAGTATGTCATCACCCTTCGGATGCTAATAGGAGTTAGCTGACATAGGGAAATATTGTAATGGATCAGCAAGTCTCGGACGAATACGTCCAAAGGGAACCTCAGCCCATACTGAAGTTGTCTTGTGTACACCCCCACATACCCCGGGGGTGGACGATGGATTCTATCGGATGCCACGGGCATTCGGCACCAATACCCATCAGCTTCAAGGATGTCGTAATGCAACTCAATTTGTTCGGCAAACCGATACTGTTCAGAATTCTCCACCCACCATGAGTAGGGGCGGTTCTTTATCATGGCCGAAGCTACTTCGACATCCTCCCACTCTGAAAACCCGGGAAGGATATCCCAAAGGACAGCGGGAACTTCATCGTCCCGCTCAGAAGCGCTCGGCCCCTCCGTTCTCTGAGGAGGAGCCGAAGAATTTGGAGTCGCCCTAATCCCTTCAGCAGGGTCAGACTCTGCTCTTTGTCCATTCCAGGTCCCAATCCTGTTCCTGGGATCGGGAATTGGCCTTGCTCTTCTTGGAGCACGGGCTCTACCCCTAACTCCTCTCGCCATTGATAATTTCGAAGAAAAAAGTCGAAAAAAGGGGAAGGAGTTCAAATTCGAAGAAAAATAAACTAAAATCAAAGGAATTTACCTTAATCTGAAGCGAAAGTTGCCGATTTATGAATTGGTAGTGGCGATTCTCAGTTTCTAAGCTTAATGCTCGGGGAATTTGCGAAGTTTTGATGCGGGTTCTTGGGTTCTCTCGAGAATTCTGGGTTTGTGTTGGTGAATAAGTGAGGAGAGATGACGCGCCTCTAATTATATCTCCAGAAATGGGAATACGGGAAGTCCGCGTTTCAATTTCTCTTAAATACCCCACTAAGTAACCGTTAAACACACGACCTTGCGATTAAACTGCCCATTATCCGTCCAACTTCCACAATTATCCGCCTTAACTGTTGTTATCTCATTAATTACAGTTTAATTACGGTTTAAATTCAAATTTTTGGATTAATTAAATCATTCACTTCCCTCCTTTTCTGATTAAATCAAACCCGACCCGTCATCCTTCCAAATCGGGTCTGGGGGGCAAGTTGTTTGGGTCCAATTTAGTCCAATTGGGCCTAGGCATTAAATGATCCAATTAAAAGCCCAAGGTCAAGGTTCATCTCTCCAATTGTGCTAAAGTCAAAGATCAGTCCTCAAGGCAAGCCAATTGGGCTAAGGCCCAACTTCTCCATATATGCAAAGGTATAAAAGCCATCAATATTACATTTGTACATTCATTCAAGCAAAGCCTCAAGCAATTAATTCTCTTGCATAGTGTTCTCTTTCTACACACTGTACTGACTTTAGCATCGGAGGGGCCTTCCTCGGCAACACCCCCGAGGCTAGTTTACGTGTGTTTACTGTGCAGGAAACCTTCGGCCCAACATCACTTGGACCGAATCCAGTCTTCTCCACTTCATCGGACAAGGTCCCATTGTTTTCACCCGAAACAACTGTGATCATTCCTAGAGTCTTGTCATTTTCATGTACCGTATAGATTATTTCTTGGTTACCTGAGGGACATATTCTGCTGTTAACTTTAGCAAACTTGGGAATTGGACAATCTTGATATATATGAGTTGGAAAATTCTCACATCTCTTTACTCAGAATTCTCATATATATCAATGCTAACTCATACAAAAACAAACTCCAATTTTTTCAGTTACAACCAAACACAGAACAGAGACTACATTTCATTCAACTTCTGGAATCAAGTACATAAAAAGAGTTCAGATGGAGAGTGCTTTCTTTCAATAAGTAGGTGATGTTTTATGTATCGACCTATTACTAGAATTCAAGGGCTATAATCTGTTTTATTGCTGACATTTACTTGCATGGTTGGCTTACTGCCCTCTTATGAAGGTAATATTGACTATATTTTGCTTGGTTTTTCTGATTCCCTGCCTTTCAGGTAATCTTGTACGACAAGTGCTGTGGGTTAAGTGGAGCTTTGTTTTTCAAATTCAGTAAGTTTTCTTCTTTAGTTTTGACTGGATCGTTACATTTGAATGATTAAGATGATAATACGATATGGAGGACTCCAAAGAAAATTTAAGAAGAATAATGATCAGGTATTGTGAGAGTTAGGTAAAACATTAAGATGCAAACATGTCTGAACACTCTAGTATTCAGGTATGAATCACACATTGTTTTAAGTGTTTTCAAGTGATACTCCTGGTTCTTTGTTGAGCTATTTTTCCCAAGAGCAACCAATACAGCTAAATTCACATTATGTTAAAGTGTCAAACCCTGCCTTTTGTGATTTGAATCTGCAACCAATATACTAAATAGAGAATATACTTTTTGTGGCTCTAATTAAGCTACATATTAGATCTTATCTTTACATTTCAAGTTTATCATGATACATACTTGTATAATGTAGGAAAACAAAAATACTTTGTAGTCACACATTTACCATTGTATTACCCTAGTGCTTAGAACGAGTCTCCACTTAGGGCAGGGCAGGGGAGTCAGATATGTATCACCTGTAACCGCCTGCAGTAGCAGATAGGCTGTTTTCATCCAGAAAAATGCCTCACAATTATTAATGTAAGATGATCTCACCTAAAACTAACTTCCTGTTTCAATGTTCATGGAGCTTATGAACAGTAATGTTGGAGATTTCAAATCTGAATGACTGCAACGAAACTTTCCAATATTAATTTACTATAATACATTGAAATTTAGTAAGGTGTAGAAATCTAAAGAAGAACAATATCGCTAGTTTTGCAGCATAGTAGTTCAGGTGTGATGATCTGGGACTCATGTCTTGACGTGGATACAAAAATACTGATTTCTTTGGCAATGATACCAAATTAGAATAGAAAATGGTCGACCTTAGCATGCTATTTCCCATATATACTACTGAAGCATCACTCTTAATAGTTTTATACTTCTATCCACATCAACCTTAGAGGTCAAGCCAATGTTCATCCATTCTTTTTTGTATCCTTATTCTTTGAAAGTGCTTCTTTCTGCCATGTTATGTTTTTATGCTTCCTGCCACAATAAATGAAGGAGCTTTATGTTGAGAAATCAAATTTATGGGATACTTATATTAGTTATCTTTTTTGAATAATGGTTGCAATTTTCTGGAAATGTTTTGATTATTTTGGTAAACAATTTTAGTTATAATAATGTTATACGAAGTATATAAAGAGATGCTAGCTGAAAGAACATCTTACTTCAACAAGTCTATTAAAGTTCAAACGAGCTTATGATAAATTAGTAGTACCATATGTTTAATTTTAACCCCTGACATATTATAAAAAATTGGAAACTATACCCTTGTCTTATTTTGACATTTTATACCCAAATTTGGACTTTTATAGATTAATAAAAGCTTGAAACTTTAACTTTAAAATATCATAATACTAGTCAAAACATGGATCAAATAACATTGTTTTTGTATTGTATGTCATTTTATTTGCCGGGAATATTATTAATTTTCTAGCTAACCTTTATTTAGTGAAACTTTTATACATAATTGGTCCTCCAAGATTTTTGTACATTAACTTGGTAGGGTATGTTTATTGGTCAAAAAACTAAACAAGATTTGGTATAGTTGGTTGAAAATTCAATTTATAATCTCGAGGTTACAAGGTCAAATCCTCCCAATTATAGGTGCGTATAAGGGTGAAATTCCCTTATCCTTCCCACTCACTTCCTGTTATGTTCGCAAAAGCTGAATAAAGAAACTGGGAAGGTATGTTGATGTTCAGTTAGGGTCCTCCATACCTTTAAAAAAAATGGTAAAAAATAGAAAAAGAGAAAGAAAAAGAAGGGAGACTGCAATTAATTCAACTGGATAACAATAATTCACAAAAGTTTGTGATTTGCTGCCTTTTTTCATAGTATTTGGTGATAGAGTAGTTTAATTATGGTGACGGCTAGACCTTTGTATAATAAGAATTCTATTTTGTCTCGCTTTTGACATTCTTTTTAAAATTTCATTCCCAATCCACCATCTGGACTTTTTCAAGCTTTTGTAACCGGGTTTCACACTGAAATTGATGGGTCTGGCCTTAAAAAAAATGATAATATAAAAGGTATCCTGTGAGGCATATAGTTGTTAAAAAAGATCTTAGTGATTTTCTTATAGGATAAAAATATTTCTTGATTCTGTTTTGTTTAGTTCTGAGTCTGACCAAAGAATCCCTGAAACTCCTTTCTATGTTCCTGAGTTTCATGGCAGAAGCTCGTTTACTGCAGTCAGTCCTAATCCTCTTTCTTTTTGTGGTTGTCGTAGCTCAAGATGAAACCCAGTTTATCTACAATGGGTTCCGAGGAGCCAACCTCCATCTTGATGGGCTTGCAAACATCCAACCAAATGGTCTTCTTGTCCTTACCAACACTTCAAAGCAGCTTAGTGGTCATGTTTTCTACCCGAAGCCTTTCAAACTCAATGCAACTCAATCCTTCTCCACGAGTTTTGTGTTTTCCATGTATCCTGATGTGGAAGCTCATGGTGGTCATGGACTTGCCTTTGTCATCTCCTCATCCATGAACTTTGAACTCGCTGTTCCAGCTGAGTTTCTAGGACTTTTCAATCTTTCAAACAATGGCCTTGCTTCTAATCATGTCTTTGCTGTAGAGTTAGATACTATTCAAAATGCTGTTTTTGGGGATATTGATGGCAACCATGTTGGGATTGATATCAATGGACTAATGTCTAATGATTCTGCTTCAGCGGCATATTATGATGCAGAAGGGCGGACGAACAGGAGCCTTCAGCTTACTAGTCGTGAAGCTATGCAAGTTTGGATAGATTATGATGGAGATGAGAGGCTAATGAATGTAACATTGGCTCCACTTCGTCATCCAAAACCAGCCAGACCTCTGTTATCTACTCACCTGAATCTTTCTGCAGTATTTCTTGATTCTATGTATGTTGGGTTCTCTGCAGCTACTGGTCTTACTGCAAATGAGCATTACTTATTAGGTTGGAGTTGGAGTCAAATCGGGCAACTCCCAGGTTTTAATTTCTCCGAGCTTCCTTCACTTCCCAAGATAAGAACTCAAAAGAGATGGCTGGAAATTGTTTTTATAGTACTTCTTGTTGTGTTTGTACTATTGTTGGTCATTATTTTAGCAGTTGTATGTGCTATACGGAGGAAAATGTTTGAAGAGGTTAAGGAACCATGGGAACAGGAATATGCATCCCATAGATTCTCTTTCAAAGATCTCTATGTAGCAACTAAAGGGTTCAAAGATTCTGAACTTCTTGGTTCTGGAGGTTTTGGGAAGGTTTATAAAGGTGTACTGCCTTCAACAGAAACCCAAGTTGCAATAAAGAGAGTAGCCCATGATTCAAGGCAAGGAATGAGGGAATTTGTGTCTGAAATTGTTAGCATGAGAAGGCTTAGACATCGAAACTTGATCCAGCTTTTAGGCTATTGCCGAAGAAATGGGGAGCTTCTTCTGGTCTATGATTATATGCCAAATGGGAGCCTTGACAAGATCTTATTTCAGAAAAATGAATCCAAATCTGACCTTTCTTGGCCTCAAAGAATGAATATTATCAAGGGGGTGGCGTCTGCCCTGCTATACCTTCATGAAGAGTGGGAACAAGTTGTGCTTCATCGTGATGTGAAAGCCAGTAATGTTCTGTTGGATGCTGATATGAATGCTAAATTGGGTGATTTTGGGCTAGCTAGACTATATGATCATGGTAGTAATCCTCGAAGCACCAACATCGTTGGAACAGTTGGGTATCTTGCACCTGAAATCAGTTTAACAGGCAAGCCAACTCCTGCCACGGATGTGTTTGCCTTTGGGATATTCTTACTCGAGGTGGCTTGTGGAGTACAGCCTTTCCGCTTGCTCAATTTTGCTGAGGAAGACATTGTTTTGGTTGATTGGGTTTTTGACTGCTGGAAGAAGGGAGCGATTCTTGAAACAAGCGATCCTAAGCTGGGAGGATCTTATGTCAGCGATGAAATGGAGCTTGTTCTAAAGCTAGGCTTACATTGCTCACATTGTAAACCAGAAGCAAGGCCAAGCATGAGACAGGCAGTACAGTTTCTTCATAGGGATGCAGTTCTACCAGATGTGCCATCCGATTATTATCTTGAAAGGAATGGCCTGCTTGATAAATATTGGGGAACATCTGGTTCATATCCATCCTCATTTCAGGTGTCAACTAACTCCTTTTTTTCTGTTAATTCAGTCATTCGTCATGGCCGCTGAATATGCAGTATTCTGAATATAACTAGATGATTGAGTTAGTTGATCTATTAGCTACCATATGTAAAAATGACCATGTTCTTCTGAAATCCTGTGGGAAGCAGGATTTACACCTTGTATTTTATGAAAATCATATTGAAATAAAATCTTATTTTCTTTATTTTCATGAATTAACTTTGCCATTACATATACTCTGTATGTCTCTGAGTCTGAAATCAGAGTCCTGTAGTAAAGAGTTGCTCTGAAAATTTTACACATAATTTGTATCTGCTAATGTACGTATAATGATACTTGTATAACTATTGATGGTGTTAGTTGCACCAGTGTATATTATGTGATGGACCACACGTGGGCTTTTGGTTGCGATGCATTCTTACTAGACTATTTACTATTAGTCCCTTTGTTCGAAATCAATAGTCACATATACATTAAGATGTCAAGAAAAATATGTGAGCCTAAAGTGATGTTCTAGAAGATTTAGAAAAATCTTGGCATAGCAAGACTACGGGAAAAATCATGAAATGATGAATGTGATAATAATTTATGACCTCTGAAGAAGTGAAAAGACAGATTCTAGGAAAAAAAAAAAAAAAAAGAGTAATACAGAATTAGTGAATTATTACTCAGCAAAATGGTGCATCTTTATTCAATATCCAAACGTGGAACTCTTCTTAAAGGTTTGTCATTTTACAAGTCAAAATAAAGCACTCCCCAAAACTGGCTAATTTTGCCAAATATGAAATACCAAATACAGTCATTTAACATAATGAATGTAGAAAACTAGCAATATTAAATTCTAGTGTCCAAAAACGAAAAAAAAAAACAAGAAAATTGCATCCCATATTCCCATCACTTTCATAATAACAACTTAATGTAGTTCATACAGCTTTACTTTTGTTGTGTGTGTTATATTTTAGATTGCAGAGGATAGGCAGAGAAGTATTGTAAGCCACAAAGATTTATTATTACTTCGTACAAGACTTAGGTAAGGCTTTTAATGCTGTTGTCATTATACTCATTACTAAACTGTGTAAATATGATTATGAAATCTACGACGGTGTTTGGTTGGAAAGAAAGTCTCGTTTCCTTTGTTTGATTGTTAAAAAGTGAAAATATTTTCTTTTCGCAAAGGTGGGAAATAATTTCTTTTACAAGGATATATGGGATGTTACCCTTCCTCCCTCTTCTTTTCCCTTTCCTCTTTTACTTCTAGCTAGAGCCAAACAAAGCAAAACAAAGATATAATTCCCCTATCCATCGAAAATAAATTTTCACCCCAAAAATGAAGTTAAAATCTTCAAAAAGGACCGTAATCATATCATAGTGTCAAGTACCTGACCTAGGTAATAAGGCAAAATGAGTAGTCCATTTTAACACGAGCCCTGTGAATAAAAGTATTTATTGTTCTAAAGGACACAAGGTTTATGAATTTTTTTACTCATACCTTTGGTCTTTATTTCCTTTGTTTTGGTGACCAATCACTTTCATAGGAGAGTGCCTTTGATTTTTCTTGTAACTTAATTGACCTGCTGCCCTTTTACAAAGGCATTTCATTGACTCCATCTTTCTCGGTTCCCCTCTTTAGCCTACCAACCATATAATATTTGTTTTATGCTAAAGCCTAAAAAGCTTAATGAAATGAAGCATTGTTATTTCTCTTCATTTTGCTGTGTTTAATATCAGAAACTTCTCTGTTTTAACTTCTTTCATGGCTTTCAAAATCATATTTCAAATTATAGTGATTTGTTTTGGGATCTTGTTAACACCCACAATCTTTGCTCAAGATTCAAAGCAGTTCATATATCAAGGCTTCCAACAAGCCAAGCTTCATATTGATGGAGCTGCAACAGTCCACTCTAATGGATTGTTGCAGCTAACAAACTATACAAAACAGCTAACTGCTCATGCTTTTCATCCACAACCTCTAAATTTCTCTTCTTTGTCGTCTCTCTCGTTTTCTACCCATTATGTTTTTGCCATGTACCCTGAAATTCAAGCCATAAGTGGTCATGGAATTGTGTTTGTTCTGTCTCCTTCGACGAGCTTTCCTCATGGTGTTCCAGGCAAGTTTTTCGGTCTTTTTAATTCTTCATCAGATTTCAAGCCTTCAGATCATATATTTGCTGTGGAATTAGATACCATTCAGGATTATGAATTCAATGACACTGATAGTAACCATGCTGGAATTAATATCAATAGTCTGATATCAAATGCATCAGCTTCAGCAGCTTATTATTCTGATGCTGAAAAAGTGAATAAGAGTCTGAATCTTATAAGCGCGAAAAGAATGCAGGTTTGGATTGATTATAATCATAAAAACATGTTAGTCCAGGTAACAATGGCTCCTATTGAAGTCCCTAAACCAAGTAGGCCTTTGTTATCATTACATGTCAATCTTTCTGAAGTTCTTACAGACACCATGTATGTTGGTTTCTCATCATCTACTGGGTCAGTGGCTAGTAGTCACTATCTTCTTGGGTGGAGTTTTGCCCATGGCAGGGAAGAGGCTCAAAGACTCAATTTATCAAAGCTTCCTCCGCTTCCTCATTATGGAAGTCGAGGTAGGAAATTGAGTGTTGGTTCCATGATCCTTCTAATTGTGATATCAGTGATAGTGGTAACAATTGGGTTAGTTTTTTATGTCATAAGAAGGAAGAAATTCGAGGAAGTGATGGAAGATTGGGAGCAAGAATATCTCCTGCAGAGATTTTCGTTTAAGGATCTTTACAAAGCTACAAAGGGGTTTAAAGACAAGGAGCTGTTGGGAGCTGGAGGTTTTGGGAAGGTTTATAAGGGGATTTTAAGTTCACCGAAACTTGAAGTTGCTGTTAAGAGAGTTTCACATGGTTCAGGCCAAGGAATGAGAGAATTTGTGGCAGAAGTTGCTTGTATGGGGAGGTTAAGACACCGTAATTTGGTACAACTCCTAGGGTATTGTCGAAGGAAAGGAGAGTTGCTCTTAGTCTATGATTACATGCCTAATGGCAGTCTTGACAAGTATCTTTATGAGGATGAAAAACCAAATCTTTCATGGAGTGCAAGGTTCAAGATCATTCGTGGTGTGGCTTCTGCGCTTGTATACCTTCATGAAGAGTGGGAGCAAGTCATTGTGCATCGAGATGTTAAGGCTAGTAACATTCTTCTAGATACTGACATGAATGCAAGGCTAGGTGACTTTGGACTAGCAAGGTTATATGATCATGGTACCAATCCTCAGACGACCCATGTTGTTGGAACTGTTGGATATCTTGCACCCGAGCTCACTAGAAAGGGAAAGGCAACTACTAGCACTGATGTGTTTTCATTTGGGGTGTTCATCCTTGAAGTTGCTTGTGGAAGGAGTCCTATTAGCCTTCAAGGTCCAAATGAAGAAACGTATTTGATTGATTGGGTGTATGAATGCTGGAAGAAAGGGGCGATTATTGAAGCAAGTGATCCTAAATTAGGAGGGAATTATGTTGTGGAAGAATTGGAACTAGTTTTGAAGCTAGGCATGGTTTGCTGTTATCCAAAGCCTGAAGGAAGACCTAACATGAGGCAAGTTCTGCAGTTTCTGAATGGAGATAATGCTTTGCCTGAGATGGTTCCTTTTGACACTAAAGCTGCTCACTCTACACACAATAATCAAACTTTGGGTTCGTTTCCCACATCTTCTGATGGCAATTCTGCTAATGTTTCATATAGCAGTGAATCCATACTACATGTCGGTCATTAGATTAGTGAGTATTGTACGGTCACATGTATGTAATTTCATAACCAACCCTGCTTCTGCAAGGTTTTGTAATATAGTTTCTGATATTCTAAGTAATTTTCCAGGGAAATATTTCAGGTCATTTTTTGATATAATGTTTCAAGTTGGCCTGATGTTTTGATTTGGACTTTAAGAACAGCTCATGTATTGAATGCTATCTTGTAAATATCAAATCTATTTAGTGAAATCGCTGACTGAAAGCTTCCCAGTACAATTTTTTCGCAGAATTTACTTAAGCGTCTCAAGTTGGCCTGATGTTACTTTGGTTGTTGAGAGTGAATTAAGTTCTCTGTGTAAAAGTAAAACCTGTCTCAGTAAAATCGCTGTCTGAAAGCCCTCAGGAACACTAGAATTTAGAATATTTTTCTCAGATTACTTACTTATAATGTTTCAAGTTTGTCTAATCTTTAATAAATATGTTGAGAGCGATTAGTGTATCGAGTTCTATGTGAAATGATTATATTAATCTTTGTGAAACTGATGTCTGAAAGCTCTAGAGTCAAGAACATCAGAATTTCTTCTTACCTGTTCTGAACATTATTTGCTGTTCTGAAAATGTAGATTACTGATTAACTTTCCTTGTCATCAGGACTAATCAGCATAACTTGTTAGGTCCTATAATCCTTTGATTAATATTTTTGTCACTAGATTTATTAAATTAGTAGGGTAAGTAATGTCACTTATAAAGTTATAATCCCATGCAAGTCTTTTTTAATCCTTTATATTTACCAAAAGACCTGATTACAATATTCAAAGGAAATTTCCAAGTTGTACTTCTGTCTCAAATAATCAAAGACATGTTTGAACTGTGGAAAGAGTCAATTGTTGAAGATTTGGTGCACACTTTATAATTTTATGATTATCAGCTATCTTCCCATTACTTTATTAGGTAATTAAAAGTCAAAATCTTTGAATTTTGGATTTTCTTTAATCTTCTAGACACCAAACATAATTACAATTTTGAGGGGATATCCTGTTTTTCATATCTTTTGATGATTGATTTATTTAAGATTTTTTGTTCCTGTGTTATTTATATAATCTTGACCATGATATACAAAGTGTATAAAATTCTAAGACAGTATTTTGAGATATCTTGAGATGTTATGTTTTGGAGACGTAAGCTACTGTTATATGACTAGTTGTAAATCATTCTTTCCCTTAGTCTACCCAAATTGAACATCCCAAGTCCAATTAGAGGGAGGATTAGAGGCGGTCAGTAGTCCAAGCTGGCGGATAAGGACACGTGACAACTGACCGGCATATGAAGCTAGATAGAAGAGGGGGGGGGGGATGGAGCCAGCCCTCTCACTAGGTAGACTAGTCTGAGCCGGACCCACCATGGCCCGGTAGCTAAGCTGGGTGAGTGAGATCAATCTAACCCAACCCGCTTGCCATCTCTAGAAGTCTAGAGGACCATTGTTACATCACTTATGCATCACAAATGGTTGAGTAATGATAATTTGACTTCTGTGATTTCTATCCACCCATTTTAGACTTGTAAATATCAAGTTTCAATACTTTTTTCAAACTATTTTAAGGGAGTTGCAAAATTTCCTTTTGGATTGATCTAACTGCTCAATATTTTAGACAAAAATTAAGGAGGCACAATTCTTTGACTTCTGGAGTAAATCACAAGCAGTCAAGTAGCAATTTTTGCAAGTGTGTTTACCTCGGTTTTTCTTGATCATAAAGTAAAATCAGCGATTTTTATTTAATCATATAGTAGCTCATTTGTTCTTCAGTTACAAAACTACAATCCTATGATTCACTTCTGTTCTATGTCTAATGTCTATATCATTCAGAAAACAGAATTTTATAATTCTTTTCTTACTTTCCACAATATCTGCCTTTTCTGAACAACAAAACCAGTTTATTTATTATGGTTTTACAGAAGCAGGCCTTCATCTCGACGGCCTTGCACATATCCATCCTAATGGCCTACTGCAACTGACCAACACCACAAAGCTGCAGAAGGGTCATGCTTTCTATAAAACCCTTATGAAACTGGACACAAATGCTTCTTTTTCTACTTCATTTGTGTTTTCTATATACCGAGAATTGGACGTACCACATAGCGGACATGGGATCGCCTTTGTCATCTCACCGTCCATGGATTTCAGCCACACGGTTCCAGCTGAATACTTGGGGCTTTTCAATGCTTCCAACAATGGTTCTCCTGCAAATCATGTATTTGCAGTGGAATTAGATACAGTTCAGAATGCACTTTTTGAAGATATTGATGCCAACCATGTTGGAATTGATGTTAATGGTCTGAAATCAGTAAGTGCAGCTTCTGCAATGTACTTTTCTGAAAAAGAAAGGAAGAATAAGAGCTTGCAGCTTACAAGTGGAAAGCCGATGCAAGTATGGATAGATTATGATGCTTTGAAGATGTTAGTGAATGTGAAGTTGGCTCCTATTGAAGAGCCAAAGCCAAATCATTATCTCTTGTCTACTCGCATTGATCTCTCTAAGGTTATAGTGAATCCAGTACATGTCGGGTTTTCTTCATCTACTGGATTATCTACTAATATACACTACATACTAGGATGGAGTTGGAATCAAAGTGGCCTAGCTCAAAGCTTAGACCCTTCTAAGCTTCCTTCACTTCCCCGACTAAAATATCCAAGAAAGAAATTAAGTCTTGTTGTTGTAGTTCCTCTAGTTGTGTTAATATTATTTTTCATCTGTATTTTCCTAGTTGCTTATGTGATCATAAGAAGGAAGAAGTATGAAGAATTGCACGAGGTCTGGGAGTCGGAATTTTCTGTAAACAGATTTTTGTACAGGGATCTATACAGAGCCACAAAAGGGTTTAAAGAGAGTGAGCTTCTAGGTTGGGGAGGTTTTGGAAAGGTTTACAAAGGTACATTGCCTCATTCCAATAGCCAAGTAGCAGTCAAAAGAGTTTCACATGATTCGAAACAAGGCTTGAGAGAATTTGTGGCTGAAATTGCCAGCATGAGAAGGCTAAGGCATAGAAACTTGGTACAACTCCTCGGTTATTGTCGGAGAAAGGGTGAGCTTCTTTTAGTGTATGATTACATGCGTAATGGAAGCCTTGACAAGTTTCTCTTCAGTGACGAGAAACCAAACATTTCCTGGCCTCAGAGAATCAAAATCATCAAAGGTGTGGCATCTTCCTTGCTATACCTGCATGAAGAGTGGGAACAAGTTGTTCTTCATAGAGATGTAAAGGCAAGTAATGTTCTTTTGGATGCTAACATGAATGCTCGTCTGGGTGACTTTGGTCTTTCGAGATTATATGATCATGACACCGGCCCAAGAACTACCCGTGTGGTTGGAACAATCGGATACATTGCACCAGAGCTAACGATCACAGGAAAACCAACTACTAGTACCGATGTTTTTGGTTTTGGAATGTTTATGCTTGAAGTGGTTTGCGGAAGGAGGCCAATATCCCCACACTCCCTTGAAGAAGAGAATTTGGTGGATTGGATTCTCCAGTGCAGGGAAAATGGAGAAATTCTTAAGACAATTGATCCTAGGCTGGAGGATAACTACATTTCTGAAGAAACGGAGCTCATTTTGAGGTTAGGATTGATGTGTTGCCATGACAATCCTCAAGAGAGGCCTAGCATGAGGCAGGTAATGCAACTTTTGGATGACAGAAACAGCAAATTCTCTAAAAAGTCTTACACAGAGTCTTGTGAACCATCAACTCCATTTCCACAAACACCTGACTCTGCATCAGTTTGTTCTGTTTCTAGTTCTGATTCAATCCTCTTTCATGGTCGTTGAATCATACGATGCTCGTATACTTCACTTGTTATTGTGTTATACATAGTTCACATAATGACCTAACATTTTATTGTAAATTTTTTTGACCAACGTGTAGATGTGAATATAAGTCATGTTAGTGCTTCTTTAATTCTTAATTTGCATTTTAGTTTTTAATTTTAGACTGATGTCATCAATATTTCATGCCTAATATTTTATTTAATGCGACTCTTTAAAGAAGAATGGAAAACTAAAACAAATAATTATGAAGACGAAGAAAAACATTGCCCAAATTTAGCTGAATGGTAACTTTCTAAAAAAGGAACAGAGTAGGGAAGAAAGACAGTTTGATGAAAGATCATAGATGAGCCATCTAGAGACATCTACGGATCTACCCATCTACCTTGTTGAATTTTCTTACATACTTTTTAGCTGCCCTTATTAAAAGTACTTAGAAATTATCATCAAGTTAAGCAATCGACATTAAAAGAGCATAGTACACAATTTTTTCACGTATACAGGTCTTAAATATCATAGGCCATCCCAGGTCACTATGTAAGCGACTTGACACCAGGATAACGTACAGCAGGGGTCATAATCCATTACTAAGATCCAAATTAAATAGTGCAAAGGAAAAAGATCAAGTACCTTACATAGAGAAATTTGTATGAATGTGTTTAAAAGGAGCTGCATCACCTTGAACATGAAATACTCATTACCATTACCTTATGAAAACTATTTAAAGAAATCAATAATAATAATTATGGCAATTAATGCAAGTTTTGGCTGACAGGAAGGTAACAGCAGCAGTCCTAAGGAAACTTACAGTGTCTTATTATTGTCCGCTTTGGGACTAGCCCGCACGGATTTGTTTTTGGGCACCTTCCCAAAAGACCTCTTATTATTAGGAGTATGCACTCACTTATAAGAAGTCCTCTCTTCCTTATTTCTTCCATGTGGGACTTGGGATGAACTACCCCAACAATTTCCACCCTCACCTATCTCTGCATCTGCTAGTTTTGTATGTAGCATTGATTCAATCCTTGTGCACGGTCATAGAACCGTAGGATGCTCATCTTCTCTGTTTGTTACAATGTCATACACAGTTCGCCTAATGACCAAAAAATCCATCAGAACGAAATACACCAAATACCTGTTAGTAAACAATATATGGTGATGTAACTATAGAATTACATGTGTTACAAATGCCATCTATTTCAGTTAAAACATTTATTTCAGTTGTCATTTTCATTTTTTGACAGGTTATATCAGCTGTCCTTAAGTGTAGGTTATTGAGTGGAATATTGAATAGGGCATATACACATCTATTTCAGACAGCCAAGTAAAAGTAATTTCTGGTCTCTAATATCATAGGACATCTAAACGACTTTTCAAGAGACTTATCACTTTATTCCAAAATAAATTTATGAAACATTTTGTATCACTCATTTGAATTCATCCTAATCTACTTTGACCTACACATAAGACATTTGATGCAAAGGAAAAATTAGATAAACTACCCTTGAAAATATACCTCTTATGCCTCTAATGGCTATTGTTCCTGAATCCTGAATACCTCCACTAGTTAGTAACAATGATTCTTATACTTACTCTTGTATTAGCTGTACATACCTTTGCGCAAGATGAAACACAGTTCATCTACAATGGTTTCCAAGGATCCATCAATAAACTTCAAGTTGATGGAATCGCGACTATCCTCCCAAACGGTCTTCTCCAAATGTCAAACCATACACCCGTTAATCTTTCCCATGCTTTCTACCCACATCCCATGATCTTCAAACCAAATCATTTATCATTCTCTACCACTTTTGTTTTTGCAATGTTTCCTCAAGTACAAAATATTTCAGGCCATGGAATCTTTTTTGTTATTAGTCCTACCACAAATTTCCAACATACTCTTCCATCTGCGTACCTAGGACTCTTCAACACTTCCACCAATGGCCGTTCTTCTAATCATATAGTTGCTGTAGAATTAGACACTCTCAAAAATCCTGATGTCGAAGACATTGATGGCAACCATGTTGGGATTGATGTCAACAGCCTCATATCTGTTGATGCTGCTTCAGCAGCATACTACTCTGACAAAGAAAGGTCGAACAAAACCCTGCTGCTAAATAGTGGGAAACCAATGCAAATTTGGATAGACTATGATGAGGCTGAGATGTTATTGAATGTAACATTAGCTCCATTTAGAGATCCAAAGCCTAGCAAGTGCTTACTGTCTAAGCACCTTAATCTTTCTGCCATACTACTTCATTCCATGCATGTTGGTTTCACTTCTGCTACTGGCCTTCTATCAAATCGTCATTGCATACTAGGATGGAGCTGGAATCAAAGTGGGAAAGCGGAAGATTTAGACCCTTCCAAGCTTCCATCACTTTCACAAGTCAAACATCAAAAGCAAATCCTAAACAAACTTATTTTTTTAGTTCTACTTATTGTAGTTTTACTATTGTTATTATTGATTGTTGCAGCTGTTTGGCTTTTTTGGAGGAAGAAGTACGAAGAATTGGTTGAACCTTGGGAAAAGGAATATACTACTCATAGATACTCATTCAAGGATCTCCATGTAGCAACAAAAGGTTTTAAAAGATCAGAGCTTCTTGGAATTGGCGATTTTGGGAAGGTCTACAAGGGTAAACTACCTTCTATAAGTCACCAGGTTGCTGTGAAACGAGTATCCCATGACTCGAAACAAGGGATGAAAGAATTTGTTGCAGAGATTTCTTGTATGAGAAGGCTAAGTCATAGAAACCTGGTTCCGCTCCTAGGTTACTGCAGAAGAAAAGGGGAGCTTCTTTTGGTCTATGAGTATATGCCTAACGGTAGCCTTGACAAGTTCCTCTTTGGAAAAGACGAACTAAATTTGTGTTGGTCCTTAAGATTTAAGATCATTAAAGGTGTGGCATCAGCCCTTTTATACCTTCATGAGGAGTGGGAACAAGTTGTCCTTCACCGAGATGTGAAGGCAAGTAATGTCCTGTTAGATGCTGAGATGAATGCAAAGTTGGGAGATTTTGGTCTGGCCAGACTCTATGATCATACAATTGATCCTCAAACCACTCATGTGGTAGGTACCATTGGATACATTGCACCCGAAGTCAGTAGAACGCAGAAACCTACCACCAGTTCTGATGTTTATGCTTTTGGAATGTTTTTACTCGAGGTGGGTTGTGGGAGGAGGCCAATGGGCAAGCAGTCTGATGATGTTGCAGAGGATTTCCTCAGTGACTGGGTTTATGATTGTTGGAGAAGGGGGGAAATTCTTATGGCAAGTGATTCTGCAGTAGAAGGTGATTATCAGGAAAACGAAATGGAGCTAGTATTGAAGTTAGGCCTTCTCTGTTTGCATCCTAAGTCAGAAGAAAGGCCTACTATGAGGCAAGCAGTACAGTTTCTTAATGGAAGTGTAACTTTGCCTGAAATACCGTCTGACTACGAAACTGATAGTGGCATTTTCTTTGGTGAGGTATGGGGGAAATCAGTTTCATTTCCATCATTTCCATCGTTATCTGGAACTATCTCTCATGGAAACATGTCTAGTACAAATTCAGTCCTTCAATATGGCCGTTGAATCATTTATATTCAGAGTGTTAGCTGTTAGTGTACTAGGTCGGATATTGAGTTAGTCTACCTTAGCTTTTTGATAAATCGATCTACTTGCAGTACAGTTAAGTAAATCTAACGAGCACTGTAAGAATGTTGAACCATGTCTTATTACTCTTATGATATGCTATTTTTCAGAAATTGGTTTTCTTTCCTTTATTCAACAACCTTCTGTGTATGCAAAATTCCAATTTTATTTCATGATTTTACCACGATGAGCCATGAAAACCTTTCATATGCTCTATAGTCTAGACCGTAATCATTCAACCTTACTCAAGGTCACTCAAGGGGAAGAAGTTGTTAGATATACCCTAGAATACTTGGAATCTCCAACTATATTGAGCTCATTATATCTAATACTATCAGTTTCCTCCCAAAATCAACAAACTTCCGAAACAGCAATTTTCCTTACCAGAACAGACTACAGGGAATGTGAAACAAGTTTTTTTAAAAAGGTTCTTTAAAAAGGATATATCAGCACTGAAACTCCAGAAGCATCAGGTGCAGTAGATAACAGAGCACTAAATTAAGGATCCATAAATATAATGATGAACTTTCTTTGGTAAAGCTGAAACAGAAATAAAGTTGGATAAGTATTGACATACACTGTAGGATTAAGTCCGATTAACTGCATCATCCAAGATTCCAAGATACTTGGCTGCCCAGTTATCTGTAACAGTGAGGTAAAAGAGTCAATATAAATTTAGAAATGGGCATTGGTGTGACAATTTATGCACAAACATGAGTTTAATGAATAATCATCTGAAATAAAGTATGAAACACCTCTAACAAGTTCCTGATGTTGGTGACTGTAATTTGGCAAATAAGATGATAATTGGTGGGTGACAGGGTATCAGAACTTTCATGATTTAAGAAGATTGGGTAATGTTTGGACACTATGCTTATAAATTTCAGAATGTTTAATCTGCTGTCTTTATCACCGATTACACTCAAACACCCTGCAAAGACTGGCATAAAAACTGCATCTAGTACTGATTTAATCGCCGTGCATGATTGCTAAATCATACATAATGAACAAGTAGTATATGCCTATTTTAGTTGTTCTTTGGTTCTTTAATTGCTTTTTACTGGTTAAACAGTTTCACACATACATTTTAATTGTTTTGCTCTTCTTTTAAGTTCTGCGTTTTGGTTATGACAAAAAAAACTGCTCATTTTCTTTATGTAATTACTTTGAAAGGAGAACGAAGATAAACAACGAAGAAAATCTTTGCCCAGTTTTTAGCTCCTAATTAGTAGTGTATGTTTTAGGCTGCATTTAAGAAATTCAAAACAGACAAAGGAAGAAAGAAAGGTAATTTTGAAAGACGACAAGTGTTACATCTATATCTTCATAAATGTATCTTATAGTAAAAAAAAAACATCAACTATTCAGAATAGAGCATATATAGTACAGAAATACTTATTGCCAAAACATACATATAAAGGTCTTCATCAATATGATAGGACGTCCATGCGACTTTTCAAAGACTTGAGTCACTTAACACCAGAGTAACGTGAGACTTGGTTCTTAATCCACTAATGAGTTACAAAACATGTTACTGTATTATTGCAAAGGAATAAGGATCAAGTACTCCAGAATAAATTGAATAATTAAACTTAACATAGTAAATGAGTAATAGTTTGCAGTAATAGTAATAGTACGGTTATAAAATAAAAAACGAAGTGAAAGTAGCTATATTACCTTGGACATACAGAATTCATTAACATTCCTCCGTGCAGCCGAGAGATACATTGGAATATGTCAAATGATGCATTGTATTTTAAGTGAAAACTGGCTACCCCTAGGAAAAGAAAAAAAAAAAAAGGTTATAAATCATCCATATCGTGTTGAATACGAAGTAACATGTAAATATGCTATGTGATAAAACTTTGCCTTAAAAGCAACCTATTGCCACACCCTATACTCTTATAGTTCAAAAGCTATCTATTAAAAGCATGGGTGAAATTTTCCTTGTGCCGCTAATTAGTTTTGCTAAGGGTGGTATTGGTAGCTTATCTTTGATAATTCAATGTGTGCCCAACTATAGAGATTCTAAAGTGTGTTGGCTATTCTTGCATTGTAAAACACGCAGCTGTACTGCGCTGTTGAACATTGTAAGGTAAATAATAATTCCAGCTTCGAGATGGAGAAATTTCCCACCTCAAACCATTCAAACACTATATTAGACTCCTATAGTTGTCACATTCTCCCAACTCGTCATAAAAAGACATGATACTATAACTTTATATAAATAAAAAATTGTGTTATTTCTATGATTTCCTCATCTCTTGACAAGTGGATCACTCGTCCTCTCAACACCTTTTTCTCTATTGGACTAAAGAGTGAGGGAACCCCATCTAACATTTCCTCTTCTTCTGATCTTATGGTTACCCTTCCCCTGCCATTTCCCTATTTTTCCAAGAGCTTTCCATCTGCTTGACCGTGTCCAATATGGCGCTCTCAGGAAATAATACTCATAGCAGTTAATGGTCCTACTATTGTACTAGGAAATCTATTCTATTGTGACAAAGCTACATTGCTTTCAAATCTCTTTGGCTACACTTGAGCTCTATTACTTTGCTTCACTTTTTCATTCCTCAAAATCAATTATATTCCTGACATAATACCCCCATAAACACTTTACTAAGCAAAAACTTCCGAATTTCAATCTTATTGGATATTGTTCTTGAATCCAAACTATAATGAGCATGATTATATTTGTTCTTATATCTCTGTTAGCTTTACATGCATCTGCTCAAAATGAAACGCAGTTCATCTACAATGGTTTCAAAGGATCTATCAATAGAATTCATGTTGATGGACTCGCGAGAATCCTCCCAAATGGTCTTCTCCAAATGGCAGACTATACAGCCCACAATCTTTCCCATGCTTTCTATCCACATCCTGTGATCTTCAAACCAAATCATATATCTTTCTCCACCAATTTTGTATTTGCAATGTATCGTCGTGTAGTAAATCATTCCGGCCATGGAATCGCCTTTGTTATAAGTCCAACCACAGATTTCTGACATGCTCAACCATCCACATACCTAGGAATCTTCAATGCTTCTACAAGCAGCCTATCTTCCAAGGATAATACCAACCAATCTTTGAACCATATATTTGCCGTAGAGTTAGACACTGTTAAAAATGTTGAAGTTAATGATATCGATGCCAACCATGTTGGAATTGATATTAATAGCCTGAAATCAAAAGATGCTGCTCCAGCATCATACTATTCTGATAAAGAAGGGGTGAAAAAAACTCTACGGCTAACTAATGAAAAACCGATGACAATTTGGATTGACTATTATGAGGTAGATATGATTGTTAATTTAACATTAGCTCCACTTGGCCATCCTAAGCCTAGCAAGCATCTCTTGTCTAAGTACTTCAATCTTTCCACCGTACTCCTTGAACCTATGTATGTTGGCTTCTCTTCTTCTATAGGTGTGGTTGCAAATAGCCACTACATACAAGGATGGAGCTGGAATCAAAGTGGGAAAGCACAAGATTTAGACCCTTCCAAGCTTCCATCACTTCCACGAACCAAACGTCAAAAGTTAAGCTTAAGCCATCTCATGCATCTTTGTGGTTCTGCTGAGTGTTGTTTTACTACTGCTGTTATTGATTTATGGAGCAGTTTTTTTTGTATGGAGGAAGAAGTATGAAGAGTTGCTTGAACCATGGGAAAAAGAATATGCCCCGCATAGATTCTCATACAAGGATCTTTATGTAGCAACAAGGGGTTTTAGAAACTCTGAGCTTCTCGGAGTTGGAGGGTTTGGGAAGGTCTACAAAGGTGTATTGTCTTCTACAGGTGATCAAGTGGCTGTAAAGCGAGTCTCCCATGATTAGAAACAAGGGATGAAAGAATTTGTTGCTGAGATTTCTAGTATGAGAAGGCTAAGGCATAGGAACTTGGTACAACTCCTAGGTTATTGTCGAAGAAAAGGGGAGCTTCTTTTGGTCTATGATTACATGCCTAATGGCAGCCTTGATAAACTCCTCTTTGACCAGGTTGAGGGATCAAGTTTGTGTTGGTCCTCAAGGTTCAAGATCATTAAAGGAGTGGGAACAAGTTGTCCTTCACCGTGATGTGAAGGCAAGTAATGTCCTGTTAGATGCCGACATGAATGCAAGGTTGGGTGATTTTGATCTGCTAGACTTTACGATCATAAAATTGATCCTCGAACTACACATGTTGTGGGAACCATCGGCTACATTGCCCCAGAGGTCAGTAGGACGCATAAGCCTACCACCAAATCTGATGTTTTTGCTTATGGAATGTTCTTACTTGAGGTGTGTTGCGGGAGGAGGCCAAATGGCAAGCAGTCTGACAACGAGGTAGAGGAATTCCTCAGTGACTGGGATTATGATTTTTGGAAGAAGGAAGAAATTTTTAAGACTAGTGATCCCAAAATGGGGGGGGGGGGGGGGGGGGGGGGGGGCTATCAGGAAGAGGAAATAGAACTGGTCTTGAAGTTAGGCCTTTTGTGTTTGCATCCTAATCCAGAAGAAAGGCCTAAAATGAGGCAGGTAGTTCAGTTTCTGAACGGGAGTGCAGCTTTGCCTGATATACCATCTGAATATGATATTGAAAGCAGCAGTTTCATTGGGGAGGGTTGGGTAGCATCGGGTTCATTAGCTTCATCACTCCCATCATCGTCAGGAACTGTTTCTTTTGGTGTTATGTCTAGCACAAATTCAGTCCTACAATATGGTCGTTGAATCAACAATATCAAAGTGCTGTTACAGCACTTACTATACTTAGTCAGATATTGGGGTTAGGCTACCTCATGTGCTTGTAACATAATATGTAGATCTGATGTGCAATGTAAAATACTAGATTATGTCTTACTAATTAAGAGCTATTTCACAATAAGGTTTTCTTTCCTGCATTCAACAGGCTTCTGAGTCTGTAAAACTCCAATTTTTTAATTACTATGTATAATGATGAAAATTTGAAGAATGAAGTTAAAAGTTTTGACATACCCTGTTGGATTTAACTAGCATAATCCAAGACACTAGGCTGCTCAGTAACCCCAGTTATCTCACCTCATCTGTAACAGAGATGGTGAAGAGTCAAAATCAACATAAAATGGGTATTGGTTTGACAATTTAGGCACAAACAAGAATTCATTGAATGATCAGGTGAATAAACATGAATATAATACATAATTAATGACTAAAAAATCTAATCAGAAATACTAGTCAACAACAAATGTGAGTACATGACTACATGTTGGTGGGTCTTTGGTTCTTTATTTTCTTCTTACTAGATAGACAATTTCAGACATACAGTTTTTTTTTCCTTTTATCTTTTATTAAGTTCCACATTGGTCATGAGTCATAACTGAAAGATTGCTCTTTTTTTTTATGCAATGACTCCGAAAAAACAATGGAAGACAAACAATGAGCAAAAACTTTGCCCAGATTCTAGCTCCTAATCAGTAGCGTATGTTTTAAGCTGAATTTAGATGATTATAAAAAGCAAAATATAGATATAAAGGTATTCAATGAAAGACTACAGGTTGAATAGATCATGTATTATTGTAGTACAGAATAATTTCATACAGCCTAGTCAATATATATAATAATATACAAGTCAATATATAAAAAAACATGTAAACATGCAATGTGATAACAATTTGCCTTAAAAGCAGTAACATGTAAATATGCAATGTGAAAATTCCAGCTCTGATATGGAGGAAATTTCCCGCCTCAAACCATCCAAACACTTATACGGAGTATTGGATTCGTTCTATCCAACATTAGTTGTCACTTTCTCTTGACTCGTCATAAGTCAAGATATGATTCTATTACTTCACAATAAAAATATTGCGTTTAAATCTATGATTTGAATATCTTACCCTATGGATCCCTCGGCCCTCTTTCTCTATTGGACTTGGGATCAAGGGAGTCCAATTTCGGATATGCACCTAACCTTTCTTCTTCTTCCATGGCCCCCCTTCCCCTGCCTTCTCCCTAAATTTTCAAAAGATTTCTGTCTGCTGACCGTGTCCAATATGGTGCTCTCAAATGGAAACAATAGCTTGTAGTAGTTAAAAAGTATATATAATACTAGTAGTGGTTTAATGGACCAATTAGGCAATTACTTCACTAGGAAATCTATTATTTTGTGACAAAAGCTACATTGCTTTCAATTCTCTTTGGCTACAATTTGAGCTGTATCATTTTGCTTCACTTATTTGTTTCAATAAAATAATTAGTCCTAACACAATCCTTCCCATAAATACTCTACTAAGATAACACTTCAAATATCAATATTATTGGCTATTGTTCCTGAATCCTAACTCTAGGCCACCCAATTAGCAACTATGAGCTTGATTATATTTGCTCTTATTTTTCTTTTAGTTGTACATGTATTTGCTCAAAATGAAACACAGTTCATCTACAATGGTTTCAAAGGATCTACCAATAAACTCCATGTTGATGGTATCGCGACTATTCTCCCCAAGGGTCTTCTCCAAATAACAAACAATACAGCCCAAAATATTTCTCATGCTTTCTATCCACACCCTGTGAAATTCAAACCAAATCATATATCATTCTCCACCACTTTTGCTTTTGCAATGTATCCGCATAGTAAATCATTCTGGCCATGGAATCGCCTTTGTTATAAGTCCAACCACAGCTTTCCAACATACTCAACCAGCCCCATACCTAGGAATCTTCAATGCTTCTACCACCAGCCTATCTTCCAAGGATTTTACCAACCAATCTTTGTATCATATATTCGCCATAGAGTTGGACACTATACAAAACTCTATCGTTAATGATATCAATAACAACCATGTAGGAATTGATATTAATAGCTTGAAATCTAAAGATGTTGCTCCAGCATCATACTATTCTGACAAAGAAGGGGTGAACAAATCTCTATGGCTAAATAGTGGAAAACCGATGACAGTTTGGATCGATTATAATGATTTAGATATGATTATTAAAGTAACATTAGCCCCACTTGGTCAACCTAAGCCTAGCAAGCATCTCTTAGCTAAGCACTTCAATCTTTCCACCGTATTCCTTGATTCTATGTATATTGGCTTCTCTTCTTCTACTGCACGTGTTGCGAATAGTCACTACGTACTAGGATGGAGCTGGAATCAAAGTGGAAAAGCACAAGATTTAGACCCTTCCAAGCTTCCATCACTTCCACGAATCAAACATAGAAAATTAAGCTCAACCCAGCTGATTTTTGTAGTTCTACTGAGTGTGTTATTACTAATGTTGTTATTGATTGCTGGAGCAGTTTGGTTTCTATGGAGGAAAAAGTATGAAGAGGTTCTTGAACCATGGGAAAAAGAGCATGCACCACAAAGATTTTGTTGACCAAGTGGCTGTGAAGCGAGTCTCCCATGACTCAAAACAAGGGATAAGAGAATATGTTGCGGAGATCTCTAGTATGAGAAGGCTAAGGCATAGAAACTTGGTACAGCTCCTGGGTTATTGCCGAAGAAAAGAAGAACTTCTTTTGGTCTATGATTACATGCCTAACGGAAACCTTGATAAATTCCTCTTTAACCAGGCTGAGAGATCAAATTTATGTTGGTCCTCAAGATTCAAGATCATTAAAGGGGTGGCATCTGCCCTTTTATATCTACATGAGGAGTGGGAACAAGTTGTCCTTCACCGTGATGTGAAGGCAAGTAATGTCTTATTAGATGCTGACATGAATGCAAGGTTGGGTAATTTTGGTCTTGCTAGACTTTACGATCATAACCTTGATCCTCGGACCACTCATGTTGTGGGAACCATAGGCTACATGGCCCCAGAGGTGAGTAAAACGCTAAAACCTACCACCAACACCGATGTTTTTGCTTATGGAATGTTCTTGCTTGAGGTGAGTTGCGGGAGGAGGCCAGTTGGCAAGCAGTCTGACTATGAGGTAGAGGAATTTCTCAGTGATTGGGTTTGTGATTGTTGGAAGAAGGGAGATATTCTCAAGACTACTGATCCCAAAATGAAGGGAGACTATCAGGAAGAGGAAGTAGAACTGGTTTTGAAGTTAGGCCTTCTGTGTTTGCATCCTAAGCCAGAAGAAAGGCCTAAAATGAGGCAAGTAGTTCAATTTCTTAATGGGAGTGTAGCTTTGCCTGATATATCATCTGAATATGATATTCAAAGCCGCAGTTTCTTCGGAGAGGGTTGGGTAACATCGGGTTCATCAGAATTACCATTGCCATCATCGTCTGGTTTTGTCTCTTTTGGTGTCATGTCTAGCCTCAAATTCAGTCCTCCATTATGGCCGTTGAATCAATAATTCAGAGTCCTGTTAAAGTGCTTGGTCAGATATTTGGTTACTCTACCTTTTTCTTAAACTATTGTGCTTGTAACAGTGTAGATCTGATGTGCTGATGTAAAATGTTTGATCATGTCTTATTATTTCAGTGATTTTCTTTCCTACATAAACCAGCCTTCTGAGCATACAGAACTATAGTTTTTTTCACACCAGTAAACTACTTGCAGGCGTGACGTGAAATTTTTTGAGTGCTCTATACCTGAGAATTAAAAGAATCTCTCACTTTCTCAAGGTCGCTCTTAAGGAAAAGAAGCTATTCCATGTTAGGAAACGAACCTTGGTATACTTACGCAAAATAACAACTCCTATTAATGAGATTTTTTTTCCGACTTTATAAACAGCTTTAAAAAAAAAAAAAAAAAAAACAGAATAGCGAGACAGATTGAATTGCGAAACAAGCATACCTTGAACTCTTGAATAGGCTGACAGTAATACGTATTTGCAATTTCACATAATTATATACAGTATTTTATATCATAGGCTTATAGGAAGATTAGCACAAAAACTCTAGAGATGCATCAGATGCAATAGAAAGCCGAACACTCAATTCGCCATCAAGACATAGTAAGCGGATTAAGCATTCATCTAATGATAATACTCTCACAATAAAGCTGACAGAATTATGAAGTTGGATAATACTGACATACCCTGTATTGTTTAACCAACATAACGCAAAGAGACTAGGCTGCCCAATTATCTGAAACAGTAATGGTACAAGAGTCTTGTTAATGGTAATCCGTTTGGCATTCTAGACACAAATTAAACATGTATACCGCGAATGACCAGCTAAAACATCTATAAAAACACCTCTACTAACTAGCTTTCTACTGGTTCCTAGTCATGGTAACAGGTAATTAAGGGAAGTAAGAGTAATACAGTTAGATAATACAAAGTAACATATTTTAGAACTATGTGAAGACTGGCTATTTTTGCTAATATTGCGTATAAGAGATAAGGTTTTATACCGTAACATCCACTTGATATTTCTTTAACCTCCAGCCTTCATAGTACGAATATCACCGACTGCACCCCGTACACCCTGCATTGACCGGCAATTTGAAGACAGCAGCTCTAGACTTGGGACAAACAATTTTCATTTTAGTATACTACTGAACTAGTATAGTTAATATGGCATTAAATACAAAACAGAACAAAAAACAACTACCTTAGAAAAATCAACTGCCTTAGAAAAATAGTGACTAGAGTGAGAGTAAGAGTTGTGTATATCTCCTATTCAAAGGACATTTTACGAAAGGAAGCATTGCAAATGGTTAGAATTGAACAAAATGAGAAGAGAATGAATATTATGCCTATGATCGTTTATACATCCAAATTACATACTTCGCATATACTCATTACCTTAACTTTCAAATAATAAGCCATCAATACTGCGCTAAAAAAGACATATTTATACTCAGTAAGACCGTATTGCTCTACAGTAAAAACATTTAGGTGGCGTTTGGTATGAATAATGGAAATGGAGTGGACAGAAAACAAATAAGAGGGAGGAAACTAGGAAATGAATCATTTAACACTTACCTTTTTATTTGTTTGGTTTAATCATGGAAAAAAATCACTTACTTAAACCTATCTTTCTTTATTTTTATTTGAGGAGAGTAAGGGTAACAAATGGGTGGAAACCATTACCCTTAGGTAATGGTAATTGTTACCCAAGCCTTCCAACCAAGCACTTGGTAACGGTAATGGTTTACTTGAATCCGTTCCCAACCCAAAAAAACTCTTACCAAACATGCTCTTACTGTCAAATCAGGGATGGACAACAAAACAAGATGCCTTTCCGGACAGGGCAAACCAAGTTGATAAAGAAGTGATGTATCATTTGCTTAAATACCTTGTACTGTAATTAAGGCAGATGATTTCTACTTGAATAAAGCATCCTGTATTCATGTTGTAAGCACTGACAATTTTATGGCTCTAATGGCCATTTCTCTTCAGTATCTCCTCCACATATCAACGATTATTCTTATACTGGGTGCACTTACCCTTGTTCAAGATGAAACACAGTTCACCTACAATGGTTTCAGAGGATCCATTAACAAACTTCATGTTGATGGACTCGCAACTATACTCCCAAATGGTCTTCTCCAAATGACAAACTACTCAATGCGCAATACTTCCCATGCTTTCTATCCATATCCCGTGATCTTCAAACCAAAGCATCTATCATTCTCCACCACTTTTGCTTTCGCAATGTATCCTCAAGTACCAAACCATTCTGGCCATGGAATCGTTTTCGTTATTAGCCCATCCACAAATTTTAAACACGCTCTCTCATCTATATATCTAGGGCTCGTCAATGTTACCAACAACGGCCTTTCTTCAAACCATATATTTGCTGTAGAGTTAGACACCATCCAAACAAGAGAGTTTGGAGATATTGACGATAGCCATGTTGGAATTGATGTTAACAGCCTGCGCTCCATCGATGCTGCTTCATCATCTTACTATTCAGATAAAGAAGGGGTAAACAAAACCCTGCTGCTAAATAGTGGTAAACCCATGCAAATTTGGATTGAGTATGACGAGGTACAAATGTTAGCTAATGTAACATTAGCTCCACTCGGTCATCCAAAGCCTAGCAAGTGCCTCTTGTCTAAGCACATCGATCTTTCTACAATACTCCTTGATTCTATGTATGTTGGTTTCTCATCTTCTACTGGCAAAATCTCAAACAGTCATTATATACTGGGATGGAGCTGGAGTCAAAGTGGGAAAGCGAAAGATCTAGACCTTTCTAAGCTTCCATCACTTCCACGAATCAAACATAAAAAGTTAAGCTCAAACAAGCTAGTTTTTGTACTTCTTCTCAGTGTAGTTTTACTGTTGCTTTTAGTGATTGCAGGAGTATTTTGGTTCATGTGGAGGAAGAAGTATGAAGAATTGCATGAATCTTGGGAAAAAGAATATGCCCCACATAGATTATCATATAAGGATCTCTTTGTAGCAACAAAGGGATTTAAAGAGTCCGGGCTTCTTGGAGTTGGAGGTTTTGGGAAGGTCTACAAGGGTGTGTTGCCTTCTACAGGTGCAACAAGTTGCTGTGAAACAAATCGCTCATGATTCAAATCAAGGGATGAAAGAATTTGTCGCGGAGATCTCTTGCATGAGAAGGCTAAAGCATAGAAACTTGGTACAGCTCCTAGGTTATTGCAGAAGAAAAGGAGAGCTTCTTTTGGTCTATGATTACATGCCTAATGGCAGCCTTGATAAACTCCTATTTGACAAGTTTGAGAAATCAAATTTGTGTTGGTCCTCAAGATTTAAGATCATTAAAGGTGTGGCATCTGCCCTTTTATACCTTCATGAGGAGTGGGAACAAGTTGTCCTTCACCGAGATGTGAAGGCAAGTAATGTCCTGTTAGATGCTGAAATGAATGCGAGGCTAGGTGATTTTGGCCTTGCCAAGCTTTACAATCATAGCACTGATCCTCGGACAACCCATGTGGTGGGAACTATTGGATATATTGCACCAGAGATTAGTACAACACGAAAACCAACCACTAGCACTGATGTTTTCTCTTTTGGAATGTTCTTGCTCGAGGTGGATTGTGGAAGGAGGCCAACTGGCAAGCAAGATGAAGATGAAGGTGCAGAGGCTCTGTTTCTCAGTGATTGGGTTTATAATTGTTGGAAACGGGGAGAAATTCTCAAGGCAAGTGATCCAAGGATGGAAGGAGATTATGTGGAAAACCAAATGGAGCTTATCTTGAAATTAGGCCTTCTTTGTTTGAATCCGATAGCAGAAGGAAGGCCAACAATGCGGCAAGTAGATCAGATTCTTAATGGCAGTGCAACATTGCCTGATTTGCCATCTGAATACAACCCTGAAACCAGTCCTTTTTGGGGAGGACTCGGGAACATTGATTTAATGCCATCGTCGTCTGGAACAAGCTCTCACGGTGTCATGTCTAGCACAAATTCAGTCCTCCACTATGGTCGTTAATTTTTCATAGATTACAGAGTGCAGTTAGAGTACTATGTTAGATTGTTAACTAATGCTCAGAGTTTAAGTTGTGCGCATAGTTTATAAACTTGTGTTTTGTAATACTAATGTAAATCAAATGTGTAATGAAAATATGTTGGGTCTAATTTCTTCAGATAATGGTTTTACCCAAACACATTATCCTAATTTTCCTGCAAGAAACAGCAATTCTGAGAATTCAGATTCATAGTTGTTTCCAAATTAGTTAACAGCAGGTACAATGTGAAACCTTTCAAGTACCTAAGAACATGCAGAATCAATCGCTTTGTATGTGAAAGAAGCTGTATAATATTAGGAAACCCTGGTTATATTTATTCATTAACGTTGCAGGCTATTAGCCTAGAGTTAACCAAGAAATCTTGAAATCTTACACTATTTAATCAGACAGCAGTCTCTCCTACACTCTAAAAGTCTGAAGCTCATTTTTTGGTTATTCATTATTCCAAGTGATGGAAAAAATTATATCATTTATTCGGTTACTCTACATTAGTCTAGGGTATGAGACACTAAAAGGTACGCCCAAAATACGTAAAAACTTACCTTTGGCTTGTGATAAGTTATAGTGAGACCATCTCTATGAGATTTTGCCTTCCATTATATGCATATCTCATGAAAATGGGAAGAGCAGATTAATTATCTTCCTGGCATAATGAGGAGATATATTGCTGAATAGAGTTGAAGTACCTGGTCTAGACTCTTGCAAAACTATAATCTGGCTTCAGTTGTTCTGCTTTCCGAAATTGGAAGCCCTCTCCCAGGGTGCAATATAAAGAAAGAAAAAGTGTGCTCCCATCTTCTTGGACTGCCACAAAATGACTAGTAAAAAAAGAAAATGTTTACAAAGCTTATTTATTAATAGTACATGAGATGTACGAATTTGTATTTACATGGAAGGAATAAATACATTTTCTTATCATGTAGCATCTGAACCAAATCTCATTCCGATAATTTTGCCTCGATTTCTTCCAGACTTAAGCCCTTGGTCTCCGGTACCAACGTCAATATAAATACAAGAGACAGCAAAGCAATTGCTCCAAATAAGAGGAATAGGTTATCAGCTCCAAGCAACTCCTGCAGATTGCAGAGCAGATCTTAGCACAGAGTTTTGCAGGCCAAGGAAGCAATCGAGCAATAAAACTATAAATAAGGGGTCCCTTAATACCAGGAAAAGGATGAAAACCCTACCTTCAATGGTGAAAAGGCAAAAGTCACAAGAGCATTTGAACCAAAGTTTGTTAAAACAGCAAGACTGATTCCTCGTCCTCTTGTGCGAACAGGGAATATCTCTGACACCATTAGCCAACTGATTGGACCAAATGATACCTGAAATCCAATTCATAACATAATACAATGTCAGTGAAAAACATATGTTCCGATTCTTTTTGAAGGTGATTGGATAAAACACTTTAGTAGCAAATAAAAAAAAATGTTTAGATACCTGAAATCCAATTCATAACATAATACAATGTCAGTGAAAAACATATGTTCCAATTATTTTTGAAGGTGATTGGATAAAACACTTTAGTAGCAAATAAAAAAAATGTTTAGAGACCTACAAGAGGACCAACATTGCAAACCAGTTTATAAAATCAGAAATACAGAGTAATGGACTGTGAACAACTCTGAAAAGAAGATTAAAAAGTAGGTTTTAGAAATTACTTGATAACTACCGACATAAAGCAGCAAAGCAGCTACAGCAACAAAAGGGAGGCCTCCAAGAAACTTGTAATATGCAGCAAGGAGGAACAAGGACACGGCCTGTATAATAGCTCGAAAAAGTTCAAACACCAAATAAGCATCTCTTCCCCACATTAAAAGGACAAAGAATAAAATATAGTTTTAGGGAACAGATGGTGAAGTATACTTACAATCCCACTAACACCTCCTATTAACAAGGGTTTCCTTCCAAGATCATCAACCTTAAGAACAGCTACTCCTGTCATAACAAACTGCAGGAAGGAAATGATGAGAGACAAGAGTTCCATATGCGATTCCACTGTATACAAACAACAGATTGTTGCTCAATGCTAGAGTAAAAAGCAATCAAGTATACCTTGAATAGGCCAATCAACACTGAAACTCGAGTGGCATCGGATGCAACAGAAAACCCAGCACTCTATTTCACAGTCAAGGAAAAATAAGTCAATTTAGCATTTCTTCTATATTAGAAACAGAAAAATAAAAACTGGTTAAGCTTCGCCTTACCTGTAGGATTTGACCAGCATAATACAAAACACTAGGCTGCCCAGTTATCTGAAGACAATCATGGTGATTAGTAAAGGAGTCCAAATATTTTCTATAACCAGGTTTTGATGCAGCTTTCTAGGCACAAACATGAGTTCAAAGAAAAGAAAGCATGATCCATGTACAGGGAGTGGACTCGAGAATGCATGCCCACCAAATTTTCTCCAAAAATACCCCCAATTTGATCAGCAAAATACCAATTTCACCACCTATATAGGCCATATTTATTCAAAAAAATGCCACAGCACAGAGTTCACTCCCTGTGCATGGTGTATGATCCCAAGTTCAAAGAATGAAAGAATCACCTGCTGGAAAAGTACGAGACCTCCACCGATGATGAAAGCTTTCAGATTAGGCCCTTGAAACACCTCTAAAAAGCTTCCCTCTTCCTGATCTTGGTAAGAAGACTTCATTGAAACTAGTGTATCCTCAATTTGCTTTTCAGACATTTTATCCCCAGCGGGTCTGCCTCGTAGTTTGCTCAGAGCAGCAATAGCCCGCTCCTTGTACTCCTGCAAAGATCCTTGACCTTTAACACCCCTAAGAAGCAACCAGCGAGGTGAAGTAGGCAGAGTTAACATCCCAAGACCCATAACTGCAGCAACCGGAAGACTCAACCCAAACATGTAACGCCAGCCTCCAACCACATCAATATTAAAGTTACCAACAAAGTAACCCAACTGAAGAAATGCAAATGAGCTACAAGTTAAGTCAAACATTAGGTAAAAAAAGAGAAAGGAAGGGAGGGGGGCAAAGAGAGAAATTAATCGTAGAAGTAAGATACCAAAATGCCAAGAACTATGAAGAGTTCTTTCAACGAAATCAAGGTTCCTCGAATCTGAGAAGGACAAGTTTCTGCAATGTAAAGAGGGGCCCCATGCATAGCCTACAATAGACCAATTTCAGCATACATTCAATTACAATACTTGGAAGTTAATTCACTCAATATCAAAACCATTAATCACTAGGATGCTCACCCAACCAATGCCAAGGCCAAAAAGAAACCTTCCAATCAAAAGAATATTAAGACTAGGAGCAAATGCGGTGGTAAGGCCACCAATTGCATAGAGAGCTGCAGCGATTAGTAGTTCTCGCTTCCTTCCTTCAGGATTTAGGAGACATAAATATCTCTTAAAATTTGTTAATCCCAAATCCATCAAAAGTATATCACAAACAAATCAACATAACACTCTAGCTAAAGTCATACCAAGGAAGTCAGCTATTGGATAGACGATAATAGAACCAAAAAGAGCTCCATACAGTGAGCCACTCACCTACATTACACGGAAACATATCAGAAAGAAGTCAACTAATATCAACTCTATGTCAAATCAAGGCGTGATTGATACAAAAGCTTACCACCAAACCCTGTTGAACTGCTGAAAGATTGAACCATGCTGCACCACTAAGCTCAGGAGACTGCATCAACAGTACATTACTAATTACATTATCTATAATTTTACAAAAAATCAATACTACTAAAACCAGAAGTATACCTGTAGTGATATTGTAGCTCCAGAAGTAGCACCAATATCATACCCAAATAGCATACCACCTAGTGCAGGGAATAGAAACCTGGAAATTAATTAGCAGCAAAATCTGTTAGAAGTTCTTAGTAATTTGGGCACAAATTTCTAATTAGCAGTTACTAATGTAGAAGTTTCTGCAAACAATATAGAAATATAGCATATTGGGGCCAATTTTAAACATAATCATGATCCTCAATTCTTAACTTTAACCAATTTAGTAATCAATTGACCATGTTAATTGACCCAAAATATGACAATTAAACATATTCAAATTTTAAAAATTACATTATAAAACAAACCCATCAAAATTCAGAACTATAATCTCATACCCAGCAAGAAAAAATTCAAAACAATACAAACAAAAAAAAAATATTGTTCACTTGGCCAGAGTACTGTGAAATTGACCCAAAATATGACAAATAAAACACAATTTAAACTACATTATACTATAAACCCATCAAATTTCAGTACTTTAAGTTCAAACCCTGCTAGAAAAAACCAATTTTGGAGAATGATTAAAGGGGGAAATACTCACGGTAAAATTACAGAAGACCATGCAAAGACCTCTGGTTCAATAGCATCATGCTCAACAGGGTAATCCTCTTTCTTCTGGGAATTCACTTTATTAAGTAATAATGAAGTTTCAAGACAGTAAATTGAAGGATTTTCCATGATAAAATTTCTTCTTCTTCCACTGAATTGCAGTTTAGGGAAGAGTTTAGTTGAAGAAGATGATGCATGAGAATTAATGCGGGACCAAGAGGAGATAGAAAATGATTTCTTGAATTCGCGAAATTTGAGGTGGGGGTGGTGGATGACCCAGGCACTGGTGACTGACGCCATTTTTTTAGAGGCACAAACAATTGATCATAGCCTAACTACCACCCACCCAAATATAAAGATTATTATATTTTATACTGTAATAATGTGTGGGATGATAGGTTGTGTTATGTCAATTATGTCTACAAATATTAGCAGCTACTGTAACATCGTCATGATGGAGACGAGATTTGGGTTATGTTCATGCGATCTGATTTGATCAAATAGGGATTTGTTAAACATCGCCCACAAATTACTACATAAAGCCCGCATTTTATAATTTTTTGACAAATTTGCCCTTTTTATAATTTTAACCGAAAACAAATTTTTCGCACTAAAAAAATGTGGATCACCGAAGAGACGTCGTCGGCGGCGATATGCACCGGAGAGTCGCCATCGTCGCCGGAAAACGAGGTTCGTAACGTATCGTAAGGACGAAATGGTGGCTGGCGCCTAGCCGAGAAGGCCATGTCGTGGTTGTGGCGCCTAGCCAGGACGCCGCCACCGTGGCATAGGCGCCTGGTGGGGAAGCCTCACCCATGGGAGTGGCGCGTGGCCAGGACGCCGGAGCCACGGCCGGGGCGCCTGGCCAGGACGCCGCCACCATGGCGGCGACGTCCTAGCCAGGCGCCCCCACCGTGGCTCCGGCGTCCTGGCCAGGCGCCACTAGGGGCTGCTTTAAAATTATTTTTTTTTTTAATATAATTTCTCTTTTTTTTTTCTTTTTTTTTGGTTTTGAATTTTTTTTTTGTTTGTTTGTTTGTTTTTGTTTTTTTTTTTGATTTGTTTTTTATAATTATAAAAACTTAAAAAAAGAAGAACATCAAAATTTTTTTTAAGTAAAAAAACAAATTCAAAAAAAAAAAACAAAAACAATAAACAAGAACATAAAATTAAAAATTAAAAAAAAAAAAAAGGAACATAAAATTTTTTAAAAAAAAAGCAACAAAATTTAAAACAAAATATAAAAAAATCAGAAAAATAAAATTTAAAATTTAAAACCAAAAAAAAAAATTATTTTCGAAAATAAAATTTCAAATTTAAAACCAAAAAAAAATTAAAAAAAAAATATATAACGAGGCGCCTAGGCCAGACGCCGTGACGGTGGCGGCGGCACCTAGCCCAGACGCCACTACCACGGCGGCGGCGCATTGGCCAGACGCTGGTGCCGTGGTGGTGGCGTCTGGGCTAGGCGCCGCCGCCACCGTCATGGCGTCTGGCCTAGGCGCCACCGCCTCCGAACTTTTTTTTTTTATTTTTTAAAAACAAAATTAATAAAAAATACCTTCTCGCCGGAAAACCGCTGTCCACCCGCCGCCGGTGCCGCCACTTCCTTGCCGGGCCGCCTCGACATCGCTCGGAAAGTTTTTTAGAGAGAGAAAGTGGAAGTAGAGAATAGAGAGAAGAAATTGTGTTTTTTACTTTGAGGGCAAAAGTGTCATTTCACTCTAATTTTGTGGGCTTTATGTGGAGATTTGCGGGCGATGTTTAGCAATCCACATCATTAAATCCGTATTAATATGTTCTTTTCAAATATAAAATGTAAAAACAAAATTAATTACAAAATTAAAGATTTGTAATGAAAAAAAAAATTAAATAAGATTTAATTTGATTATTTCTAAAATAAGCAAATAATTCGTATCAACGTATTTCAGAATTTTGAACATAGCCTTGCCCAATAAACAGTACGGAGTATACATTGATAGACATAACTAATTTGCAAGAAAGTGTTGTTAAGCTTTGTGATACAAGAAGATTGTTAAAATTGAGTATACATTTTTTTTCTGTCAATTACTCTAAATTCCAGCAGACGAATAACTGTGTTTTTTATATCAAATACTTAACATTAATTTGACTCTTGTTTTACATTTGTACTTGTAAATTCGTAATTGTAATCCATTTACACTTTCTCTGAAATAAACGTAACTAAAAAGTCATAAAAACGACACTCCTAAAACATCAAGGCTATCTTCAATCACATGATTTCACTCAGCACTAGACCTGGCAAACGTGTCGTGTCGCGTTCGTTTTCGTGTCGGAAATTAAACGGCTTGGGGAAGGTCAACACTAACTCAACCCATTTAATAAACGTGTCGTGTCGTGTTGCCCAATTATTTAATCGTGTCGAAAACCCTTAACCCTAACCCACTTTTTTCGTGTTCGGTTCGTGTCGTGTTGTCGTGTTGAATTGAAAAATATTGCTTATTCAATAAATTTATCAATAATTTCATTAATTATTGGGTTTTTATATTAGGCGGGTTGGGTCGTGTTAATTTCGTGTTGAGAATCTCAACACTAACCCAACCTGTGTAATTAAACATGTCGTGTTATGTTAACCCGTTTAATTAAACATGTCGAAAACCCTCAAGACCTCAACACTAACCCGTTTTTTCCGTGTTCGGTTCGTGCCGTGTTGTCGTGTCAGTTTTTGCCATTTCTACTCAGCACCACCCTCTTCAACACACACAATAGCGAATAGGCAACCATTCCATCATACGAAGTATATGCATTACCTAGAGTTTAGGAGCGAATCTAGGCGATATGGTAGAATTCTGAGCACTACTGGTACTTGCACAATAGCGAATCTAGGTGCGTAATCAATAATATTGCCTACTGGTACTTGCACTCCATGGATGAGCGCTTCAAATCATCAATGAATGGCATTCTTACATATTTTCAAAATAACAAAAATCAAACTATTGCATAGTGTCCATCAAGAACATTAGAAACACCAGTATACTAAACCACAGATTATAATTGCGTCATAGTAACTGATAACATGATGTTTAACCTAATCTACACAATCATGGTGCTAAAAAGAGACAGAGAGCTGGGAAAAATGCAATCTCTAGAAGATGATCCAAATGTCCGAAGTGTACAGAACTAATGGAATCACATATTCCATTTAAGAAATGATGATAATCTGACTTAGCCATCCGCATTAAAGGCCAAAGGGCTCTTGCTTTATATACAACTGGCCAACCACTTTCATCCAATCTCTAACAGCATATACTGATTCCATTCTTTAACCTCAAAAGATCTAGCTAACGATAAACCAGGACAAGACAAGAGATGCTGAGTGGCAACTCGGACAACTTCCCTCTAAGAGCCACTGAACTTCCCTAAAAGACTTCGTTCTCTCAAAATTAGAAATCAAATTCTCCTGAAGCCTGCCAGAAAAAATACCACAGGTAAGAAAATTAGAAAGATGTCCGGCTTTCACAGGTGAACTGGTAGCAAAGCGCACTGACCTTGTTGAACAAAATGTCCTTGTTGTTTATATGCATTATGCCATCCTTAAGGGTGCACTTCCAACGGCTCTTGGTACGTGTCACCTGAACAACGCATGATAAAATTCAATCAAACACTTGATAGAAGCAGTATTTTAAACTACAAGAAACACAGGGTACATGTACTAACTAGTACTTCATACTTTGTAACTAGGAAGCATTAGCATACCTTATCAAACTGAGCCAGAACCAAATGTTGTGTGTTAAGCTCTTCTCCTTGGTCGATGTCATCCAAATCATCATCATCATTCTCATTCAAAGGTGGTTCGTCATCACCGTTTTCATCAAGATCATTCTGGGTAGGGGGAGCAGGGGTGCTAGCTTGCAGGTCTAAGCAAATTTGAGATAAACAAGGACAACATGAGGAGACCTTATGCCATGCTAAACCAATATTTTTAAGGTATAGCAGAAATTTAGAAGCATACCAGGAGCTGGAGTGTTCACCACATTGTAGTCTTCATTGACGGTTTGATAATTGTATATCTGCAAGGTAAATCGCAAATAATGTTGAAACTGCATAAGTAAATAGCCCTTGCATTCAATACTGATCCTTTCACAACACTATAAAGCTCGTGAAAAGGTAACCTCAACTTCACATAGTAATACTTCCACATGAAAGAGAGTTCGAGGTCTAGAATTTTTCAGATTTCACTCACAGTTTTATCTCTAATTTAGCATATCATGAACAAAAAAACATGAAGAAATATCCAGATATAAGATTAATAACAAGACTTGAGACTGGAGCAACATATGAAAATTGAAGCTAGAACTCCAGATTTTTTTCCACAGCTCATCAAATTTCATGCCCATTTTTATAACTAGCCCAGAGCATTAATTTTCAAGCCTTAGCACAGGATCCTCTTTCATACACGTGAAATTTTTGTTTTGTCATTTTTATTTTCAGAACCTGACTCTAAACTAGATTGTACCTCTGAATATGAGAAGTTTCAAGCCATTTTTCTTTTTTTATGCCCTGAGATAAACCTAGAATCAAATATTACACCCCCTGATCTAGACAACATTCACTAATAATTATAATTGATATGACAAGTTATGAACAAAACATTTGAACAAGCGACAGTATCTCAAAATTGCTGGAAGAAAGACATAAAACTAAGGCAGCAGTATTACTTAATGAACTGGAAAGAACACGCATCTCAGAACTTAAAAACAACAGGCTAAATATCTCTACCGGTTATCAGTCAAATAATAAGTCAGAAAGAATGCAAGTTATCTGTATATTTAAATATTCTGAATTTTGGGAAGATTAGAATTCGATTTTTTTAAATCATGAACCTTTTGTTTGGACTATGCTCGACTCATTTGAAGCCATAATTCATACCAACCCATTTTTTACTCTAAAAAAACATACAAACCAATAATCTCCACACGCATGATTTTCGACTTCTAAAGAGCCCATTTGCATGCACCTTCTTATACAAAAATGTTTTTATTCGAGCAATAATCTCATTTCTTGAACAGAAACAAGTGATTGCCAATTCAATGAGTTCTCCACCAATATCATTAATATGGTAACCAATATGGGATGGAGTGGCATCCCTATCATTAAAACACTGAACTGCCATTCCTCAATTTTCATGAACCCCGCCTAAGCTATTTGGCACGAGCTTGGACAAGAAAGACATCTTAAACAGACTTTTTACTGAACAGTTATTCCATCAGAACACAACATCCCTCTTCTTATACAACAAGGGCATTGCAAACATCGTAAAGTAAAACGGCCAAATCAAATGAAAATTTGGTTCAGCAAGCACAAATTATTGCTAAGATATAATAGGTCTAAAGAAGATAGCACAAGCTTACAACCATAGAATTAAAAAGAAAACCTTACATTGGGTGTGGAAAGCATGTCTTCATAAGGATCAGGAATTGGTCCATCTAGTTGGGGAATCCTAGAAGAGGATTCTTTCTGCTGCGCCGATGTGACTTTTACAGTGCCACTTCTTCCAGAGGGCTTGCTCTGAATGATCTGATACAAAATCAAAAAAATTATAAACCCACTAAATTCTCAATGACAATGTTAAAACAAATCAGCATCTTTATAGATGTGACAGATTCTAGATAAAATGAATATTATATCCGGCTAAGAAGACTAGGTCCATATAGCCAAAAGTAGATAAAGATTTTCTTCAAGATCAACCAGAAATTGAACCCATCAGCAATCAAATTAAAATCTAGACAGAGGTATACTAACAGTTAAACAAATTAAAATCTAGACAGAGGTATACTAACATTTAAAAAAAAAAAATTACTCTACATCTATATTATTTTGATATCAAAAATCAATCTATTATCTTTAATAGCATCTATCACCTCATGAAAATAAGAGCAACAAAAGCAGCATATATTGCCTCTACAGCTCTTATCACATGATTTTAACTAAAGGCTTCTAAACACCAGCATATGTAGGAGAAAAATTACACAATAAAAGCCAACGTGCGTAGCCTTTAAATAAGTAGAAAATCAACATAACACACAAGACATTTGTTTTTTGTTGAGATGGATTATCAATAAGTGGAAATACATGGAAAGTAGGAGTTGTGGATACCGAGGATAAGATAAAGAACCACCTTTGTTGGTGTGGGGATGTGAGATGTTGACTAGAGGATGCATCAATACGGAAGGTGGAACCATGGAAGGTTGGAATAAAAGAAATAAAAAGCCTAGAGAGGACAAAAATGACTTGGAAATAGGAGTTTAAGAATAACATGAAGAGTATGGGTTCGCAAGACCATGTAACACTAAATAGAAGCAAATGAAGGAAGATGACCTTCCTGGATGACCATGAGGGATAGATTCTTGGTTCATGGAGCCCCCGTCCTATAGGGAATAAGGCTTTGGTTTTGTTTATTGTTGGTGTATACAGCAAGAACACGTTTACAAAAAATATAAAAAAATAAAAAAAATAAAGAGCTATATCAATCAGCAGCTTAGGATTTGTCTAAAAGAAATGACATTTTAAAACATAATAGTACATGCACAGCCAATGAAAATTTAACAAGCCAATTACAGAAATATTTAGTATCAAACAAACAAGATGATTAGACTTTTACCTCCAGTTCAAAAACATCACCTACAGCATCCCCAGCTCCATCTTGCTGAGGTATATATCCACCTCCCTGATACTGTGGTGGAAATTCATCACGTTTTCTTTTCCCGGTAGGCCCTGTAAAGAAATCCTGGATATTTTTCCCAACTAGAAAATGTCAATAAGATAGTCCACATAAAAATCGTATTGATCATAATTACAATATTGTGAAAGCAAAAGTCATCAAAATCTAGCATCCTAAATCACCGAAAAAGAAATTAGAAATTATCCTCCCAAAGACTAAAATTCACCTGAGTTGCTGGTTGTGAGGATCCTCTATCTACCTCTTCTCGGCCTTCCACATAAGCTACATAACAAAACCAATGATACTGCTTATCAGGGAAACAAGAAATAAAAAATGGGTGGAAAGGAAACAGGACATAAGAGGAAAGCATAGCACAATATCTCCTTAATGTCTTACTCACCCACATTAACATCCACACCAAGTGGAGGCCTCTGATTCATCCATGGTGAAGGTGGTTGCTGCAAGATAATTAAAGATTCAGCATTGATTCTGTAACCATCTATCAGGGTGAACAGACAATAAAATAGGAAGCTGGAAAGTTGGAAACACTGAACCTAACCAACCACAAGTTTATAATTAGACCTAACAGCTGAAAGAATATTAATCCCCCATATTCCAAAGGTATCAGTCTATCGGATAATTAGCAAGGCTTGAGGAGCCAGATATTAATATTCAAATCCTCTAAAGTCTAAATTTAGTTCTAAATTCTAACAACTACGCCAACATCAAAGGATTTAGTTAAATAATGGATAAATATAGGCTACTTCAGCAATAAAAATAAAAAGATCAAGATTTGTGAGCCATTTTAGCAATAAACAACAAAAAGATTTGAAAATACCATGTAAGGGCTAGGCCTTCCAACTCCAGGCTTTATGTCATTTGAGGCACCAACACCTTCATTAGAAGTCGGAGTAGGATAATCTGAAGGTCCTGTAGGAATGTTATACATCGAGCTGTCTGCAGTTCCTGGCAAAGGAGTCTGAATTGGAGTTTGCAGCGGCGTCTACGACAACAGAGCAAAATCATCAAACGTGATTCCTAAAGGGGAAATTTTCTATGATAATATAACATTGCTTCTTACTTAATTAGGAGAAAGGAGAGAAAAAAAATTAACAGAAGTTTTATCTGTCACAAAATTCATAATAATTAAAAACATCCAATAAATAACTGACATAAACCAAAAACTATTTGTTTACCTGTGTTTGACTACAACAAAAAAAAACAAACACAACTCTGCCTGTACAAACTTAAAAGATAATTTGACCACAACTTCACTACAGCAGTATCAAAATTTGAAGGAAAAAAAAATGACATTTATATGACCAAATACCTTGAAATCTGCCCGTATGTTTGTTAGGATAGACACTAAGTGATTAAGTGGTGGTTTATATTGCAACAAAAATTATACGGTATTTACCAAAGTTCCTTTTTATTTCAAATATTGATAATTAAAACTTGTGCCATGTATGGAATATATAAGGGGGGGAGGGGGATGGAATCGAGGTACTTATACTCTAATGTTGCATAGCAGTAATAGCAATTCATACACTCAAGGAAGGTTTAAATACTCCACCAACTCCTTAGAATTCCATGTTCATTTTATAGGTTGCTCAGGTGAAAACTTTCAGGAGAATATTTGCACTAATATAAACATTTACCAGTAGATTAACAAAATATACCTCCCTTATTCGCCTACTCAAAAAAACCATCCCCTTTCATGTTTTTTATTGGTTTCTTTGTACAACTTCTATAGAGATACACACACTTACGAAGTATATACTACATATACAAGAGCTATCAATCCTTCAAGAGCACCTGCTCATTACACAAGATGGTTGTTCATTCACTTTAGTTTCCTTTCATTTGTTTGATGGCAATATTATAACTGCCAATTTCCAACTACAAACAATTATTTTTCCTTTACAAGTTTTGGTTGGGTAAGGACGTAAGGCGAATCTTTAAAATTGAACTATAAAACAAGAAACATATTCAATAAGCCAATGCCTTTACTTACATTAATTGGATAGAATACACTAAACCATCAAATAAAAAAAAGTTAGAAATGCAAACAAGTTTCGTAAAAATCAACATTTTCTGTCACCATTTCTTAAGTTGATAAGTAAAAAAAATCTGAATATTACAGTTTCTTAACCATTACTCCAGCATAATCCTAAACAGTGCCCAAATCACTCACCGGAGGGAAAAGCATCTCAGCAGTGGGAGTTTCATACTCTTCAGTTCCTTCATAAGGCACATTCAAATCATGAACAGGCGTTATGGCAGCTCCCGGCCCCGGCTTCGGCACTGACGGCCTCTCACTCGGCTGTAACACAGCTCCCGCTTGCATCATTTTCAACTCCCAAAGCTGTAAACAAACCGCAGAAAATTACACATCAATTTCACGAAAAAATCCACAAATCAAAAAACCCTAAAATCACTCAGATCAGAACATCTTCCACCAATCTCACTCCAAATTATCAATAATCAAACCGAAAACCCTAATTAAACACCAAAATCACAATTTAAAAGCAAAAAATCGAATTCATTTCTTCTGATTATAACAACATAAATACATACTCCTTGTAGTTCTTGGAGGACTTTTTCGCCGGGACCGCCATCGGCAACGAACTCTTCGCGAACTTTCTCGATAACATCTTCAATAACATGGATGTAAACAGCGCTAGTAGTTGAGGTCGTCATTTCTCAATAACTCACAAAAAAATTCAAAAAACTCCGAGATTCTCCGGATATCTCCGCCCGAGATAACCAAATCGGAGCGATTTCAATTCGAGTTGAACCGATTCGACAAGAAATCAGTGAGTTTTACGGTGTCGATGTTCGGACACGATATCAAAAGAGGTTGAGAGAAGGGTGAGGGGGCGGAGGAGGTGGCGGAGTAGAGGAGAGAGAAAGGTGGAGAGAAGGGAGAAGTGGTGGTGGGGAGAGCGGAACAGAAAAGGAAGATTAAAGAGTGGAATATAAATAGGTTTGCATCCGTTTATAATGCTCTGGGTCCACGTGTCAAAATCTGCAGTGTGGTTGAATGCTTTATAAGATGCCTCTTCTACTTATCGAGAACAAGGTTTCCAGATTTTTAAGTGGACGTAAACTTGAGAATTTGCCTGGAACACCTGTTGTTTTTCTAAGTTGTGAACTTGTGGTTGTTTGATCATATTGTACTTTTTTTTTTTATATATATATAATGAAATTTATGAATTCTTTACAAAATAATGAAATTTATGAAACTATTGATAAGAGAAATTAATACCACAGGGTTTTTTTTACACTTCTCTATTTATGTCCAAATTATCTTATAAATTTCAGCTATTAATTTGACATTTGAAATTAAGAATTCTCTCGCTATGCTTATTCATTTCCTTACAAATCAATTTGCAAAATTCTCAAGATAACCACGCTAGATCTTTAATCAATCAAAGTTTGTGGTTTGACTATTAATGGCCTTTAGTTATATAAAGTAAAGATATATTAAATCAAAGTTTGTGATTATTATTGACAAATGAAGATCATGAAGTATTAATAACATGAGAATAATGTACTGGGTGCGGCACCAAACAATTCGTGCATCAAGTATATATGATATGCAATATTTGATATAGGATATGTATTATTTGAAAGAAGATATGTATAACTTGGTGGAAGATATGTGTTATTTGATAGAGGATACGTACAGTTTGTTGTAGGATTATTGTTTGTTATATGATATGTAGTATTTGATAGAGGATGTGTACAATTTATCTTTGATAGAGGATACGTACAGTTTGTTTGAGGATATGATGTAGTATTTGGTGGAGGATATGTATTAGTTGATAGAGGATTTGTACAGTCTATTAAAAGATATGTAATATTTGATGGAGGATATGTAGTATTTAATAGAGGATATGTACAATTTTGTTGGAGGATATATATTATTTGATAGAGGATATGTACAATATGTTGGCTTACCTATTGCTTTTGTTTGCTGATTTCACCCTTTTATTGGCTGATATGCTTCATTTCTTGGCTGATATGTTCAATCTGTTAGCTGATATCTATCTTTTGTTGGCTGATATACATAATTTCACATCGATATCATCCAACTTATAGAGGATATCATCCAACTTATAGATGATATAATCTAGATAATAGAATTTATATTTATAAAAATAATTAAAAGGTCAACCGTGGCGGAACCACCATTGAAGGTCCCATACTAAGCTCATGGGTATAACATAACATGCTCATTTCTCAACCAAAATACATGCATTTGCTATCAAAACGCTCACAATTCAACATATAATCACATAGGAAAATCAATTTCAACAATTATACATCTCACAAGAAAGCCCCAAATCGAATTTTTTGGGCATTTTTCGAAATATCCGACAATCTCAAGCAATTATCAAGTCAATTCAAGCATAAATCATGGACAAATATAATCAACAATCAACGAGTTTCTCGCCGTCGACGATACCACCGCCAGTAACAACGTCGTCGATGGGAGCGATCGTTAGTATAAAGCAAAAAACCGCTCGACTGACAAAACATTTGGTCAGACTGGACTGACGCAATAGTTTGTGTAATAACATTTTTGTTTGGCGACCAATAACAAATAGTTGATTTGTGGCGGAAGCATTAATATTAGTGTTGTGAATGGCAATTAATCTATTGCATGTACTCCGTACAAGTTTGACATTGATGGCATAATGTAGGTTGGACAACAAAATTTGCAACAACTAATGAGATGCGAGCCGAGGGAGCTTTAGAGTAGATGACTTTCCTTTGCACGTTGAAGCAATGGCGTGTGTCTTAGCTTTACAATGGAGTCGTGACTGTAACCTCTCATAATAATATGTTAAGCATAAACATTGTAACTCAAGTTATCCTTCTTCTACGATGTATGATTGACGCCTCCATGGCATTGTATTAGACTATTTGAGAAATTTAGTTTGGGATTGTTATTCAAAACGTGCAACATTTTAAAGGTGGATATGGACATGGTAAAACAAACACACTGCATTGCTACCAACAATCATACTTGTTTAATACTTCCTCTGTTTTCTTTTTTTTTTTAAAAAAAATAAAAAAAATTGCACATCGGACACAAAGTTTAAGAAATGATTTACTCTGTAAATAACAAAAATGCCCATGTAACTACAAACAAAGAAGATATAATAAAAGAGAGGAAATAAGGGTATATCAAATGTGAATGAGGGTAAGATGGGTATTTGGTGTGTACAGAGTGAACACAAATAAAAAGTGTATAAAAGCATACCTAAATAGAAATGGTACAATTATTATGCGTGCGGCAGGTTGGCTGATATATTTTACTTGTTGGCTGATATGTTTCATGTGTTGGCTGATATGTTTCATTTGTTGGCTAATATGGTTTTTATGTTGGCTAATATTTTCCTTTTGTTGGCTGATATGTTTTTTTTTTTTTTTTTAATTTTTGATATATTTCTTTTGTTGGCTGCTATTGATATATTTCTTTAGTTGACTGATATCTTTATTTTGTTGGCTTATATGTATATTTTAATTGTTGGCTTATATGTTTCATTTTGTTGGCTGATGTGTTTATTTTGTTGGCTTACCTATTGCTTTTGTTTGCTGATTCCATCCTTTTGTTGGCTGATATGCTTCATATATTGGCTGATATGTACCTTCTGTTGGATGATATGTTCCTTTTGTTGGCTGATATGTTTTATTTGTTGGCTGATATGTTCCTTGTGTTAACTGATACATTTTTATTAATGTCTGATATGTCCCTAATGTTGACTAATATCAGACATTAATTAACTAATATGTTCATTTTAATGGCTGATATACATCATTTGCTGGCTAATATGAACATTTCCACGTCACACAATATAAACCCAATTACAAGTACCTGATTCCTTTCTAAAACCCTTCACTGCCCAAGGCAGCCCACCTTCCTTGTTTCTCTCTCCTCCTCTCCCAAAAAATGGTAGTTCCTTGTTTTCCTCCTCCCCCAAAAAATGGCAGTTCCTTGTTTCTCTCTTCTCCTCAATAGGAGTTCTGTGTTTTTCTCTCCTCCTCCCCTAAAAAATGAACCATGCAACCACCGAACCCACCGACCCCTTGTCTTTCCTCGTTCAAGCCGACGCCGCGCAGCCACCACCACCTCTACCTTAAGCCGACGCAGCGCCATTAGCACCTCCAATTGTTAGTTTTTTTTTTTTTATTTTATTTATTTTTATTTAGAGTTATTTATTTGTTTTAATTTGTGATTTGTTTTTATTTTGGGATTTTGGGGATGTAAATCTGGATTGTGGTTCAATGTGTTTGATTTTGCAGGTGGTGGAAGGGTGGAGTGCCGCTACACCTTCTCGTGGCACAAACTATTAGGTGCGGACTGTCGCACCCAATAGTTTGTGAAAGCAAAATGGTGCAATAATTTTTTTTTTTTAAAAAAAACAAACAAAGGAAGTAGCTTTTTTTATTCCAAAAAAAAAACACAAGTTTGAATTATTATTATTATTATTTATACAAATCAATTGGAATAATGTTGCACAGGTAGTGTGCAACATGAACTTTTCATGCTTTTAAATTTGACTAATTTTTAAATTACCTAATATAAAAATTATACAAAAATAAAAAAATAAAAAAAATTAGACATAACACATGTTTGATTTAGTGCTGTCCAAATTCCATAAGCACTACCTTTTGTGTCTTAAGGTTTCTAAGAATCTCTAGAAAATTCATAACATGTTAAGAAATTGGTGAAAAATTGTGGAAGATCGAACTTAAAATAATTGGTATATGCTTATAAAGCTTCTAGATTCACGTGGATAATTCAAAGAGTGTGTATGTAGGATTGTAGGTGATTTTACACACTTCATCCATAGCCTGTTAGCTTATAAATATGTGATGGTGGGCATTATTTAAAAGCATGCAATCCATCTACACCTTCCAATGTTTTACCTCTCATACACTGATAATACTGACCCTAGTATATTATTGTTCGTGGTTTTTTTTTTTTTTTTTTTTTTTTTTTTTGCCTCTTGTGCACTCGCGACTCTCACAACATGACTTATGTGACTATCAAGGATTGACGAGGTACAAATGATATTTGAAAGGCGTCTTGAAAATATTTCAAGAAAATGAATTAGTGTTGAAATAACATGTAATCGAGTTGAAAGATGGTGAAAAACTTTTTTTACATGTTCAATTGAATGAATTTTCAGGGAGATATTAACAAGATAAATAAATATCTCATTTTTCTTGTTCAATTATATTTGGATTAACAATATAGCATGGATATGATAAACAAAAAAAAATCTAATAAAGTATAATGATAAATTATACTATGTAATTATAATTGAGAAAATAAATGGAAAGTGCACTTTTTTTTTTCTTCTTTTGCAATCCATTTTCATTTATAAAAATAGGGAAATATATCCATCAGGGTTGATTAGCGACAAACATTCCATGCAAGTGTAATCACAATCTACAAGATTTACCAAATCTTGAAATAGATAAGAGATATCGATTTTTAAATAGTTCATCCTATACACGATTTGAATGCATAATTTAAAGGTATCAATATTATGTATTATATTTGGGTTTCTTTTAAAGTTATATGTTTTTCTTGAATACTCATTTACCTGCCAAATTTAAAAGAATTTGTGGTTAGTTGTAGCACATTTTTATTAGTTATATAAAAATAATAATAATAATAATAATTGTTTTAGAATCAATGAAATAAAAAAGTTAATGTTACTCGATCATATTATTATTATTATTATTATTATTATTATTATTATTATTATTATTATTATTATAATAATAATAATAACAAAAACCTACAAAGTCAAATGATTTACAAGAAATTAGTGGGGAGCCGAGATACTATTTGGGCCCCCATCCCTCTAGCTATAGCGAACCTAATCCTGTTAAAGATGTGAGCAGCCGCACGAGCATCAATATCCTGAGTCCTAGCGAACGCCTGAACCCGCTACAGCAACGCAACATCATCCTTCTCTAATTCCCCCAATGAAGAAAAGGAGAAAGGAAGAAAACCATAGCCAATATCCCTGCAACGCGCCCCATTCTTGTCTCGCTTCCGCTGAGCCGTAGCCGACACAATACGACCAGAAACGAAGTTAGACAACCCAGATTGTGTCAATGGAGAAGACCCCGTCAAGTCAACACATACATCTAGGCCTCTATCCCAAGAATAAAGCAACACATCTGCTGGTCGAAGAGCCCCGTCGTTCCCTCCAATCAACCCAACGTTGACCTCCTTCCTTGCAGAAATCCTAGAGCAGAAACAAATATCAGCAAGGGTATCACGAACAACGTTGTGCCGATGTTTAATACCCACCATCCCAGCACAAGACACTGCATGATCCCCATTGAAAACCCTTGAGCAAGCAGAACAAGGTGTCAAAACGGAGAACAAGGGAACACCAAACCGGTAGCAAAGAACACAACGGTAAGTCTTACAATTCATAGTCTGACCCAAACCTAATATCGGGATCGCTCGCAACCAGATAGAAGTGTGATATCGGGACCGCTCGCAACCAGGCAGAAGTCTTACCATTCATATTATTGTTATTTATTTTGTTTTTTTTTCAAAGAAAGGATTATACGGAGTATGTAACAAGTATATGATTGACAGTTGCCACTACATATTACGGAGTAACTAAAAAAAGATGACCCTCATAAACCATGTGATTATTAATTTATTATATTACTTGTATATACTTCGTAGGTAAGTGGCAATTGCATTCGTATTACTCAAAAATTTAACAAATCACAAGTACTCATTCGTATTACAAAAATTTAATCAATCACAAGTACGAGTACTCTATAATTAATTTAGCTGACATCTACTTCCAATTATATGAAATTACAATTTTACATGCCAGCACAAGGAACACTTGTCGATGATGGACATGTGTTCCCAACAATGTCTAATTGGGTAAATTCACACCCATACTAGGGCTACATCTTTCTTGCATTCAGCAGAAAGCATATTTTCTCTCTCACTCTCGCACACATGCTCAACCGATTCACCCCATTTCCCCCGACGATGCCTCTCACCAGATGAGCGGCTCCCATTCTTCACCCTAAATTTTTAACCTAATTGCGTCTTTTTGATCATATATCTTTTGAATCATCCACTCTTTGTCTTTCTTATTGTCCAATTTCAATTTCAATTTCAATTGTTCTTTCTCCAAACCCTAGAAAATGTCGGGCGGCTTTTTCCGGGTAATTTATCTCATCTATCCTTTTCTGGAATTTTGTAGTCTTGGAACTGCGTAATGTTGATGATTGATGTTCTGATTACGAATTCATTCTTTTTAGATCGGATGTAATTGAATATGCGCTCGAATTAAAATGTTTGAATTTATGTTCAATTGTGGATGTAATTGTTTTCGTTTCAGCTATTTTGATCATGTATATGTTGAAATTGCTTGTTTATACTTTATAACGCCTGGTTGATTCTGTGTCATCTTGTTGGAGTTTATATGATTGGAATTTTGAATTTTCCATTTGAATAGGGCACGTCAGCTGAGCAAGACACTCGGTTCTCAAACAAGCAAGCAAAGTTGCTCAAAACGCAGAAGTTTGCTCCCGAACTCGAACATTTGGTTCGTTTTCTCAGTATTATTGTCATCATTTAAGTATTTGCTAGGGAATTGAAATTTGAACTAAATGTAATCTGTTGATTGTTTGTATGGTGAATTTTGTTGATTAGGTTGATATTTCAAAAGTTAAAATGGATGTTATTAAGCCGTGGATCGCTAAAAGAGTGACTGAACTCCTTGATGGATTTGAGGACGAAGTGCTGATTAACTTCATCAATGGACTTCTTGAAGGAAAGGTATCTATGTTACTATCTTAATGTAACATTGGAGTCGGTTGCTGGATTTAATTTGTTGATGCATCTGTCTTTTTGAGTCAATTTACTTTTAAATTGTTTTCAGTACAATGCGCTTACTTGCCTTACATCAATTTCTACAAAATACATCTAATGGTGATGCCTTTTTGTGTTAGATACTTGGACAACTGCATGTCTTTGGATATACAGACACGTACTCTATGACTCAAATTTGTTAGAATTGTTGTTTTTCAGTTTTTTTCCATGTCCATGTGTACTGTTGTTACAACACTTTGCTCACTTCTGTCACCATGAAACACATTATCTGCTTTAGTAGCAGTGTTTTTGATGATGGACTCAATTGTGGAGTCTCACAGAATAACCTGTTTACTTGCAAAGGTTACAAATTGTATTTGTCTCATCGTAAAAGGTATTTGTTGCGTTATTCTCTGCATAATTTGTGGCAGGTTGTTAATGGAAAGCAGATCCAAATTCAACTAACTGGTTTCATGGAAAAGAATACTGGTAAGTTCATGAAAGAGCTTTGGTCGCTTCTTCTCAGTGCACAGAAAAATGCTAGTGGTGTACCCCAACAATTCCTGGATGCTAAGGAAGAGGAAACTAGGAAGAAAAAGGTTCTTATCTTTATAGTGAGGCTCATTGTTCAATACTGAACTTTCCGATATCGTGTGATTTACTTTTGTGAATACTTGCAGGAGGAGAATGATCGTATCTTTAATGAAATCCAGAGAAGGAAAGAGAAGGAAGGAGAAGATTCTGAGCAAGAGAAAGTGAGGCAAATGGTAACTTAATATGTTTCATGCTAGAGCTAGCTTCTTGAGAGTTGGGTTGTTTGATTTTAACTCTCTTGTTTCTTATGGCCACTCAGCTTGCTTCTGCAATTATTTGGGTTCATGTCCTTACCTCAAACTACTGTAGGATGACGGGCTTGGAAAATATTCTAATGACGAATCAAATAGAAGACGAGAAAGAGGTTCTGGTGTGCAATCTGAAGATGAGAATGGAGCTGATGTGAGAAATGGTTTTGGAGGAAGGTCCAGGTTGGTTGTTAAACAATTATTGTCGATTTTATATCCGTGACTTTTTGATGTACACTCCTTTTAAGTGTTGTAGATTCCCGTTGGTCTTCTATAGTTCCATTGGCATGTGCAAATGGTTTTAATGATTAAACGGAGTCTTTATCCCACCACAAAGGACTGTTTGCTATTGAAAACTACATCAGTTTTATTTAAATATAACATTTTAACTGTGATGGTTCTATTTCAAAAGGGTTTCAGTGGTGTTTTTTTTATATTTTATTTTTTTTTATTTTATTTTTTTATTTCTATTTTTAATTTCAATATACTGTATGCCTTTCTTTCAAAAAAAAAAAAAGGTATTGTATACCTTTTCACAGTTTATATTATTGCACTTATGATTAGCTAATTAAGAGGTTGCCTAAAATTTGAAGTGTACTAGCTTTTTGTTGGTAGGCTGAAGCTTCATAGTGGCTTTAATATATGTATTTTGGGATTAGGTATGTGGTATTCATTACTTTCTCCGTTCTGCAAATATTGCACCATTTCTCTTTTAGGAAACTTTTACCATTTACATTTACCAATCTACCCTTACTAAAACCCACGTGAAGTGTACTCCACCCCACTTGCATATACTTATTCATTTAAGTAATTACTTGCAAGGAAATCACTTTTGTCATTTTGCCTTTCTCTCTCCTCTTCTGATTTCTTGCCCCTCCCCCATGGTGCAATATATGAGGAACAGAGGAAGTAATATTTTTCTACCTTGTCTTCTTAAATATCATGAACGCTAAACCTCCTTATGATGAGGTTATCTATCCATGTTGCTTATCTGTGTCAGCTACGAGATGACTAAATATGATCTTGTTGGATTCTGTTGAATATTCTTGAAAAAAAATATTTATATTGATCTCGTTTTAACTTTGTGTAATGCACATTTCTGTAGCATCTGTTTTTGCATTTGCATTTTCAAAGAATTTGGAGTAGAATTTTCACACTCTATATTCTGGTGTGGATGGTTGTCGTGGTAGTTGAGGAAATAGATCATTTTGTGCTCAACTTACGGATTCTGCTGTCATGCCCGTCTATTTGTCATTATTTCTGTGAACATGGTGATTTCATCCCCTTCCCCTCTTTTTCTGAAGTGTGTTTGAATTGCGTCTTGTGGGTGCATCAAGTTGTTTTGGTTTTGGGTAGATGCTGCATTGTCTCTTGACCTCCTAACATTTGGGTGTGGAGTATCATCCTTAGACATCTTTGGTGATTTATTTGGCAACATAAATATTGACGTACAAACTACCTCTTTATTGCAGAGCATCCAAGTCACCATCTGATCAGTCTCAATCACCTCATCGGTAAGTATTCTAGCTATTTCTCTTGCTTGAACAATATGCAAATTTGTGTGCTATTAGATTTTCAGTGGCATCATTTTTTTGATTTTTTTTTTTAGTTCCTTAGAAGCATTGGTCGACTGCTCGTTCTAGGTGTATTACCAAGTCATATTCCAATTTTAAAAGTTTTCTAAAGTATGTGGTCTTTACAGCATAAAGTGAATTGAACGGGGTCTGTTTTTTCAATTTTGTATTTTGCTCTTTTGTTGTTAATGCTCTAAGTCAATGAGTATGCCACTTCCATTTTTAAGAGTTATTCAAATTATGTGGTTTCGGCATGTTTTTTCAGTAGGTTGCTATTTGATGTCAATTTTTAGTTGTGTTTTATCCACCTTTTTTTGGATGTTTATAAAATTACTGTTTTATTATTTAATGTTGCTACTATTTGAGTATTAGATATCATATTATTTCTATGTTCTATATATTGTATTTTTTTTGGTCATCTTTTGTTTGTTTCCACCAACCAACCACCACATTACAATTATCTTTGCTAACTTCATTGGATATATTTGTTTGCTAGTTGAGTACTGACTTCTTTAGCAGGATTCACACTAGATTTTGGTGCTGCATTGTGTTACTTACTATTTACTTTCTTCCCCTTCTCTTGAAAATCTTTATATACACCTGGGTGCAAGGTGCACCCAAGAGTATTTTCTTCTCTTAAATCTTAAAATGAGCAAAAAAACCACCCTTGGGTGCACGCACCTCGTGCACCTGGGTGTATGTAAAAAGGTTATGCCCTTCTCTTAGTTGCTGAGGTGATCAGGATTCACAATGTTGATACTTTTTCCGAGACTGATTTAACACCTTTTTTTTTTACTTGTAGAGAAAGAAGTGTATCGCGGAGTGTTTCTGGTTCTCCTAGGGCAAAAAGGCAATTGGTTTCTTCTGGAAGAAGACATCATTCGCCCCGAAGATCTGTCACACCTAGGAGGCGGTCTACCCGGGAGTCAGTTTCTCCAAGGCGTAGGTCTCTTTCTAGAAGGCAGTCTCCATCTCGTACTCGTTATAGGTCTCCATCTCCTGTGAGGCGCCGATTTTGTTCTCCAGCACGCAGAAGGTCACCATCTCCAATTCGACGCATGTCACCTTCTCCTGCCAGAAGAAGATCACCATCTCCTTTAAGACGTCGTTCTCGGTCACCTTTACGACGTCGGTCTCCTTCTCCTAGAAGGCGTCGATCACCTTCTCCGTGGCGTCGACGATCACCATCCCCTAGGCGACGCAGATCCCCCTCTCCTGTTCATCGCCGTAGGAGGAGGTCCTCTTCAAGTCCGAGGTCTCGGTCCCCAGGTCTGCGTAGGTCTCCATCTCCTATTCGACGTAGGTTCCAATCCCCTGTCAGAAGGCCTTTTCCAGTCCGACGTAGGTCTCCATCTCCTGCACGGCGTAGGTCTCCATCTCCTGCTCGACGCAGGTCTCCATCTCCTGCTCGACGTAGGTCCCCCATGGCAAGGGGATACCGTTCTCCACCTCCAGTGGAACATAGATCTTTAGCTCCAGTTCGGAGAAAGTCACCTGTTCCAGCTCGTAGGCGATCACCTACTCCATCACCAAGCAGATCTCCGTTGCCTGCCAGTCAAAGTTCCAGATCACCTGTCAGGCATATTTCTGCTTCACAAGTTAAGACGAGATCACCCAGAATTCAGAATTCCCCACATGGATCCCCTAGAGATCGTAACAGGTAATTTATGGATCAATCAGTTGCAGTGTTGTATTTGTGAATTTGTATTCTTTAAGCATCGCTCTTAACTTTGTTTTTGCTGAAGCATCTAGCAGTTTAGCTCTAATTTGCTCAAAAAGTATTCTTCTCTCTGTCTCTCTCTCTCTCTAACCAATAAAGATGTTTTCAATATAAGTAATGTCAAAGATCTTATCTTTTGGTGGATTTACAGTGATCATGAGCCTGCAATGATGGCTCGTAGACAGCCTATTTCATTGTCCCCCCAGAGAGATAACCGAAAGCGTTCACCCAGAAATGTGCCGTCTGTCTCACCTCCTCCAGAGAAGTCAAATGCGGTTTCACCACTAGCCCGCAAAAAGAGTTCTGTTGAAGATGGGAGGTCTTACTCTGCTGCCCAATTTAAATAACAAATTTTTGGTTTATTGGGACTTTTATAATAAATTTAACTTGTATTTCTTTCCTGTGCAGGCCAGCGAGTCCATATGACAGTCCTGTTAAAAAATCAGAGGATAAAACAACCCTTAATGGAAATCGGAGTCCTAGTAGATTGAGAGGCCACAAAGTTCGTCATGGAAGCCTAGAAACGAGTGGAGATAGATTTGATAATGACAGGTTCATTTTGTCAAATATAACCAATTATTTTTCATTTTACTGGAAGTGTTCATTTCAAAATTGCTTTTTTTTTTTTTAAAAAAAAAATTCTTGCTGAAACATTATGGTGAACATCAATCTCAATTTTGTAGGGAGTATCAGGCGGACAAGTACAAGTTAGAAGAAAAAAATTCAGGACGCTCATCAGCTGGCAAGCAGAGGGATTCTCCTGATCGATCAGTTAGATACCAACATCGTGGTAATGTTGGTGCAAGACAGGACGATGAGATAACAAGGTATTGACTGTTATATGAATTGTCTATTTGTGAACCATTATCTTGTAAAAGCATTTATCCCTCATTTATTATACTTTATTATTGACTGGTTTACAGTGAAGAAGCTTCTTTGAAGGAAGTTCGTGCTCTGAAAAAGTCACCACCTAGAGGTGGAACTGTATCAGATGAGAGGTCTGACATGTTGTATCCTGGGGATGTTTCCAAGTTGAATGAAAAGAGGAACTACCAACAGAAAGATACTAGGGACAACACTGTGTCTGACTCCGTAGTGAAATTACATAATAAACGAAGAAGTCCTAGTGTTGACTCTGAATCTGGATCTGAGGAAAGTGAGAAGCATAAAGCTGAAGTTTCTGAGAAGAGGAAGCATCGAAGGTCAAGGCGAAGAGAAGTGGCATCTGATGACACTAGTTCTGAATCTGAGATGGAGGATAGGAAAGAAGCTAAGAGAAGAAAGAAGGAAGAGAAGAAAATACGAAAAGAGGAGCGGCGTAGGCGTCGTGAGGAGCGGCGCCGGAGGAAGGAAGAGAAGCGTGCTGGTAAACGGAAGCAAAAGTCAAAAGATGCTGATGCCCTGTCTTCTGATGTGGAAAACAATGAGAAGGATACCAATGCTGCAAATGGTGAACGTCGTACAAAGAAGTATTCAAGTGATGAAGAAGAGACAGAATCGCAGAAGAAGAGGCTTGAGATTGAGCTACGTGAAAAGGCTCTTGAGTCACTGAGAGCAAAGAAGGGGATTAGTCGTTGAATATGCTGTTTTTGTAACTTCTGATGTTGCCTATATTTTGCAACGTTGAACAATTTCTTATGGCTTTGATTTTGTTTTTGTTTTTGTTATTCGTACTTTATGTTTTTAATGCTATAAATGTAGTTGATATATCTTTAATGCGGTCTGTGTTTGCTGCTGGCAGTTGAGATGGATAGTTGAGGATTTCCTGAGATATCTCTTGAGTCTTGACTGCGACTATATGCAGGACTTGCTGCTATATATTCTGGTAATGACTGTTTCCATTGTTGGTTTCTCGTATATGTTGAATATCCGGAGAGCATTGATTTTGGGTGTTACTCATCCTGCTGTTGTACGACTGCCCTTATTTGTGTGGTTATTGTTAAATTTATTTAATGATGCTAGTGAATAATAACTTATAATAGTTATGTTCATTCAATCTATTGATTGTAATGTATTGTAAGGAAGTAATACCTAATGGTGCCATTATCCAATGTTGTTTTTAGTACTAAGTCAGCTTTCTGGTTAATTGATAGATCATAATATTCCAACTAGATGTGGTTGAGAACCTGAGCTGGCCTACTTATTGAGCAAAATTCAGGTGAAGTATTTCAGTTCTTTGACAGTCTCTTGGGAGAAGATTTGTGTACAGCATAGACTATAAAATATGTCAATTGGAATTAAACAGCATAGGGTTTTTGTTTTTCTTTGTTATTGTGTATCTTACTTTTGTGTCATTGGCAGCTTGAAAGGAGTTCTTGGGCTGTGTATAGTTTTTGACTGGTGCTTGCTTTGGATGCTTGCTCTCCATTTCTCCATACGGGTAGAATCCTGCATGTATAACTACCTTACTTCAGTCAATAGGTATTGGTATCGGTCTCTCTTTGTCAATTCATTGCTTCTGCATTGTAAACAATTTGGGCAGGGGATAGGTATTGGTATCAGTCTTTTCTTTGTCAGCTCGTGCTTCTACATTGTGAACAATCTGGTCAGTCTCAAATCATGAACGATACATATTTGCCATCTGTCTCTCTCTTTCTCTCCCGGGTTGGTTTTCTGGGATAGCTCTGTTACTAGCTTCATCATTGTGTCACTGCTGACTATTTTGCTGTTTACTTTTTTCCCATGTTTATCCTATTAGCTTCTTTTGATTAACTTGCATTAAGCTTTTCTGAACAGTAAATGGTATGCATAAACGCATAGTATTAGCAGAACAGGAAGTGAATTTTATCTTCTGAAGTGGTTTTGAGTTTGATTTGATGTTATGAAGTCAATGTTGATGTTTTTGCTATGCCAGACTACATTCTACTCATGGTTTTTCATGTACTAGCAAAATGAATTGTATTTGTATAATTGGAGCAGACTTGATGCTGGTATAATTCAATTAGAAAGTTTGTTTAGACATTGATTAGCATTTTATGACTGGAGTGATGGCAAACTTAGCATAATTTTTGATTTATAAAATCACGTAATAAGGGGAAGGAATTACTATTCTGTATCATTATCAAGTGTGATGGTTGTTTTGTGCTGTTAATTTGGTTTCAATTGGAAAGATTACTATTTTCTGCTATTTTTGTTGATATCCCCGTTATTATCATTACTTTCTGTTTTGGTTAAGGCTTACCTGAATCTGACTGCATTAATGTTCACGGTTGGGTCAAGTTACTCGTCGATATGTGCTTCAAAGCAAAGATCTTACCTTTATCTAGAGATTAGTGGTACACTATTTTCAATATTGTTCTGTATGTTTTACATTTTTCACCAAAATATGCTACATCAATTGTGAAGTTGAAATTACCAAGTCAGGTTTGTACTGTTAACCCGTGTTTCGGAATTGAAGAGAGATTATGCTGGTTAGGGAACAATTTGTGAATGAAGTATGTCAGTTTGGATCTGTTGTCAGATTTGTGTTCTGGTTAATGGCGTGCTTCTCTCGATTGTTCTTGTTTTGAGGCAGTAGTGGTCTTTATGGAAGAGTTTTCTTCTACACAAATCAAATTACCAGATTTTCTCCTTGCCATTAAAAATTTCATGCCGTAATATTATGTTAGAACTTTGATGATGTTGGTTGTCATCTATCTGTATGTAGGTATGGAGTACTAAACATAAACTTGGTCTCTGTCAAATTATTGATTTTGTGACTTTCAATATTGTTGATAAGAAACACGCTAGTTAAAATTCTCTATTAATACAAGGTAACTTTTTAATTGGATCAATATTTTGCTTCGTGCAACTATGCTAACAGAGGCTTTTGGGCCAGATTGACACTGTAAACATAAGTATTGTGTTACATCAGCTGCAGTTGTTAGCTGCTAGCTGATGTTATACCAGTGTTGTCGCTGCAAGTTATGACTGCATCTGTTGTATCCGTTTTGTCTTGCATATTACGGAGTAGCAGTTTGCAAAAGTTGACTAGTTTGAGAACTACTGTGTTTTTTGTTTTTTATTTATTCTAATGTTATAAGTATAATAATCTCTTCCCATCCTTGTCTTGTAAGTCCGCTGTAAGCCTGTAACAGCTTCCTACTATGTCGATTACTCTTTAACAAACTCATTCAAGCCTTTAACCTCAAGCATACACTGGTTGATTTTGTTGCTTTCAGTATGATAAATAAGGCAAGTTTGTTTAACTCTTTGGAAGTTTGGATCCGTGTTTGCCCATATCGCTCGTAGTCTCTACTTTTCCCTTTTCTTGGGACTTCTGACTTCAGCTAGCTTGAGTAAAGCACCTAAGGCAACATCCTTGGCAGCCATTGAATCTCTCATACTTCCATTCTTCCATCAATACTTCTCTCAGGTTTATATCATAATCAATACATTCCCCCCCCCCCCCCCCCCCCCCCCCCCCCCCCCCCCCCCCCCCCCCCCCCCTTTTTTTTTTGTTGTACCTTATTATATTTTATGTTTGCCAATGCACAAGACTAATGGCACGACTTCACCTGGTAATATAATTACGATCATGTGGTGTTTGCCTAATAATATAATTACAACTTTGCATGAGGCATTTGATCGCAAGGGATGGAGTAGGAAGATATTTGTGGATGACTATATGAAATAATCATTTTTGGTTTATGTAGCCGACTCTACTTATTGGATTAAGGCTTTGATTTATTAATTGGTATTTATAGAGCAATTTAATATCAATGAGCTCTTTCCTTACACTGAAAATGATGTAGATTTCCAACAATGATTGAAAAAAGAAATTAGTCACTAATTATGGTTGATGTTAACTAGGCTAATTGGTAAAGTCGTGAAGGTTGGTACTTAAGACTTGAATTATTATTATTAATATCCATGCGCTTTTAGTTGAGTGCTTTTCCTAATTAATGCTACAAAGAAATGTACCATCCACGTCAGCTATTTTTCGTTTTTTTTGACAAAACCAAGTAGTGGTTATTAAGAAAATCGATTTTTCCTCTCCTTTTTACTTGGACAGTATAGTGGAAATTTAAGAAAAAATGATTTTAATTTGAAAATTGAATCTATTCGTAGCATTGTTTAGGAAAAGCACTTCTTTTAGTTCTCTAAAAAAAATGTATGATTTTTATTACTCCGTAAATACCCGCATTGACTGGTTATAATAATGGATTGAGATTTGTCAAAAATTTCCCTATTCCCTTACCCATATAAGGGCGCTATCTGAAAACTTAGTGGTCATCGTTATATTGTAGATAGTGTTTGCGTGGCTGATGTCAATTGGGTAAAGATAAGCAGATGGGTTGTCTTCTTTCTTCTGCCTGTGTACTGCACATTGCACAAACTAACAGAATTGAAACTAATGTTAATGAATGGATCACAAACTAAAATCACAAAGATTTCTTAACTAACTAAGCCTTAATTTTTTATTTTTTTTTGGCAAATCCTATGGCTCATACTGTCCCTTCCAATTCATTTCTGTTAACAACTACACCTCATTCTAGGCTGCTGGTTTACAAGAAACCAAGGCAGCTTACTGTATTTGCTAAGAATGCCGGGCCTTTCTCGTCGTTTCGACTAAGAAAACAGTCAGGTGATGAAGCACCTTCCGAGGATGATGGCCAAGTTAAAAACAATAATCCCTTTCAGTTTGACTGGAGTAAGATATCTCAAGTCGATGTCAAGTCACTGATTCCGGTTGTCAATAATTCTTCTGGCTTGGTGGGCCCTGGTAGGCAGAAGGATGCTGGGACTGTTTTCGTTGTGGGTGCCACCGGGCAGGCGGGCGCACGCATTGCTCAGAAGCTATTGCGAGAGGGGTTTAAGGTCCGCGCTGGGGTGCCAGACCTTGGTGCTGCACAAGAATTGGCTCGGTTTGCCTCAGACTATAAGGTTGTTATCTTCTAACCGTTTTATCTTCTTTACTAAATTTCTTTTGGTGATTGAGAGATTAATAATTTTGCTACTTTTTACATTAGTGTTTAAAAGAAATAAATGATGTTAATGTTAGAGTTGTAGATCAATGCTTTGTAAATAGTAAAGCAGGGTTTTAAGAAGTTAAAACTGTAGAAGCCATGATATGTTATAATATTGCACAGGGGGAGAAAAAAACCTTACAATGTCAGTTATGTTTGGTATGCTGTTTACTTACATTTGAATAGTTGGCAGATTATATCGAAGGAGGAACTGAAACGCTTGAATGCTGTTGAATCCACGTTCAACGATGCAGAATCAATTGCGAAAGCAATAGGGAATGCAAGCAAGGTGGTTGTTACAATTGGTTCTTCTGAGAATGGCCCCAACAAAGAGGTCACCACATCAGATGCTCTACAGGTAGTTGAAGCAGCTCAACTCGCCGGTGTGGGTCACTTGGCAATCATCTATGATACTTCACCAGTTGCAACAACCAATAATGTTCTGGACGGAATCTCCTCCTTTTTTAACAACCTTTTCTCAAAATCTCAGCCATTGACGATTTCTGAGTTCTTGGAGAGAGTCATCCAGACTGATGTCAGATACACGTTCCTCAGGACGACATTTACTGAGGATTTTTCCCCTGAGAGTTCTTACAATGTTGCTGTGGCCACAGAGGGGAGTGCTGGCACAAACGACTACAAAGTAATGTAATGTATGCGCACAAATGTAAAAAAAGAAAAGAAAATGGCTACTTTTGTATGTTTTTGGGGCTGTCCTGTTTTTTGGCGGTTCTAATCTTAGTCCTTACATGTACAGGTAGCAAGGTCACAGATGGCTACTCTGGTGGCAGGTCTTTTTTCAAATACAGCAGTAGCAGAAGATAAGGTAGGTTGACATATTCTGCACATATCACAATGATCTTATTTAAACATGGTAAAATTGCAAATAACATGGTCTAATGCCAAGTTAAAACTAGAATGTGTATTTGATCGTTGGATGCATCATAGTCAAGTTAATATTTCTTGGACTTCACATGTATAGGTCAGACGCATTTTAAGGTGCTTGTTCTGAAACGAAGTGATCCACAAAATGGAATCAGTTGATATATTATTGTGACTAGTTTTGCATTTTAAAATCAACCAACGAGATTAGAGAAAACTGCCAAAGGCCACTTTGCACCAATTGAATCACATTAACATATGATGCCAAATACGTAGTAATATTCTCAGGACCAAGAATTAGTCTGCTGATGTACACAGATTTCTAACTTAGAGAATTGTATTCTTCTCACACAGTCAAATTATATATTTCTGGGAATTCAAGGTTCCATTTGTTACATTTCAAGTGTGTTCAAAATTGGGTTTGGAATGCCTAGGAACGAAGGAAGCTTTGTGGTTCTGTTCTTGTTCCTTCTCCAACGCATGACTTTTCACCTGTGAATACATGCTTATCTGGAGTTCAATGTGTAGTTTTTGTCCAAATAGTTTGGACTTCCTCTAGGCATTCAAGGAGAGTTATAATTCTATCATTTGAAAAGCTGAATATTTTCTTCCTTGCTATGTAACATTTTCAGGTGGTGAACGTGTATGCGGATCCATCAGCCCCATTAAAGACTTTAGACGAACTTTTCAGGTATTGTTACATTCTGCCCTATGAACAAGTAGTCTAATGGCCCATTTTGTTCCACCAAAACAACACATGCGCTAAAAACTATTGGATTTCAGTGCCATCCCAGAGGACAATAGAAGGAAAGAATACGCAGAAGCAGTTGCAAGAGCTAAAGCAGAAGAAGAAGCTATAAAAGCTGCTGAGCAAGCCCAAGAAGCAGCCGAGGCTAAGAAGCTGCTCGAAGAAGAAGTGAAAAAGTTGGCAGAGCAAGAAGCACGAGCTGCTAGTTTAGCTGAGGAAGCTAAAGAGAAGGCAGATAAAGCAGGAACCTCATTGGATAGCTTATTAAATAGAGCTAAAGACATAGGCTCAGGAATTTCCTGGGACCAAATTGGATCACAGCTTTCCAGTGCAGTAAAATCATCTAATATTGAGCTCCCCAAAGTCCAGGTTGCTACTGTGAGAGGACAAGCAAAGGCCCAGAATTTACCTGCACAAAAAGCTGTGACCAAACAAAGTACTCCGAAGCAAAGATCTAGACCAAAAGCAAAACCAACACCTGCAGAGGAAAAACCTATCAGTAAAGAGTCGAAGAAGGAAGTAAGGAACATATTGGGTGGTCTGTTCAAGCAAGAAACTATCTATGTTGACGATGTTTGATGATTGCTATGATTTTTCTGGTCCAACTATCCAAAGTAGCAATACTTCTGGTGCATTATGTTCTTGAATCCTGGTTTCTTGTATATGTATGGTTCCAAGTTCTGGTTTCCTGTAATTCCAGTGATGTATCTGTCATCTAAAGATATGTTTCATGCTGTATATGTATTACATCTTCCCCTCCTTTCTTTAGCCGAAGTTTATTGGTTGAAAACTGAATGAGAGATTCAGGAAATCAAAGTATTACATAGATTAAATTTTTTATTTTGTAATAAACTAGTCACTAGCTTACTACATCAATTCTAAGCATAGCTAATTCCCGAGAAAAGGAGCAATTCTTCGTTTACACGAGTGCTCGATCTTAGGAGTTGCCTTGCTTTGTGTTGAATTTTGATGTTGTGGCAAACTTGAAGCTTCTTACACACTACACAAACACCTTTCAGGGACAGTTTTAAGTGAATTTGTCGATTAACAGTCTTATACAGAAGGTAGAGCAAATGAGCAATACCCGGGATGTATACCTCTCCACAATTGCCAACACATTTGCTTGTAGTTTTAAATGATAAGCTTCAAAGCCTTAAGAAACCATTTAACAACCTTTTTTTTTTTTTTTTTTTTTTTTTTTTTTTTTTTTTTTTAAATGCAAACTCTAAATTTACCTTTTTAACACAGATTTCCCTACTGATTCATTGATTTTGTAGACAGTTTATGAACACTTAACACCATTTAAAAAATCAATGAGGTTGCTAAGAGCAAGCAACGTTACCAAAAAGAAAGGGTAATTTTATTTCTAAAGCTATCTTAATGTTCAGTGTATCATTCACTAACATCATGGTCGTGTCAAATATTTGAAGGTCATAAACTAAATTTTAAGATTGGATACATTAATAACAATACTACCCCATTTCAGAATATAACTGACATAGTTTGACTTTTTGCGCTATTTATAATACTAAATTATCACGTAAAATGTTGTCAAATAAGTATTAATACAAAGTATAAAGATTCATAATATTAACTTCTTCATAATTTTTAAATATTTACTTATAAATACTTGTACATTAATGCTCAAATCAGTGCATTGAGTGTACCAAATTTAAATGTGTCAGTTATCTTATTACAAAAGACGTACTAATTATAACGTGACCGTACAACTGTGGGAGATCAGTATCACACATCGATCCAAGAGTCCTTTGTATCATTATTGGTGGGCATTTCTCATGCATTTCAATCCTTGTGCATCACGAGAATTAATATTCAGTTAGCCTAAAATGCAAACGAGTACAAATGTACTTATGCTAAAGGCAGGCCAACGTAATACATAAACATTGGGCAAGATCCAAGAAACTCCTTGGTTTTTTGGAGGCAGTCTGGGACACTAATGTATAGAGTCCACTAGGACTCTAACACCGCGTTGGTATTAAATTGTGTTTAGATGGTATCATCTAAATACGAGCAAGGAATTATACTGATACCAACAAAATATTTTTACATTCGTTGGTATTACTGAATAAGTATTTTGGTATATAGATGATACCATTTAAACACAATTTAATACCAACGCCGTGTTATTAAAGTCCTAGTGGACTCTATACATTAGTGGCGTAGACTTTCCCGATTTTTTGCTCACATGATCATTGTTGCCAAATAAGGTGTTTAAAAGACTTAAAACTAAGTTCATAAGTCAAGAAAAACGAGCAGCTCCCTTGTACATTTGTATCAAAACCTTCCACTTTTAAGTTTTAAAGGAAAATAACTCTTTAGCCTTCACATGCATTGTCCTTTTTTTTTTTTCCTCACCAAATTCATAAGCAACATACAGTATATGATATATCATGCATGATAAAACCCTTTAATTATTCTTTAATCACCTTTTTTTTTTTGGACATAATTTAATCACCTAATTAAGTTATACTGTATATTACTTCATTTATATGTATATTTTTTTGGTCTTGATGTTTGTTTTTCAAATTCCAAATTTAAAATGTTAGCCCAACTCCAACAAAAATTCACATTATTATCTGATAAAAATATCAACACCCTATACAAACCACTTATTTTGATAAGTTGTTTCCTCTTCTTGTTCTATAATTTCATACCTAATCGCCAAATCGATCAATCTCCACAATGTTCATTTAGATTAGAACAAGCCATTTATTCATATCATCAACACCATACAAATGATCCTACAAATATTAGTCACATTGTAATAGGGATAGCAAGCACGGTCGATTTAGTGAAATTTAGAAAACCATACATTGAGTCTTGGTGGCAACCTAATGTAATGAAGGGATACCTCTATCTTGACCGCGAACCTACACAATATCTACGGCCTACTTCATCTATTCCATATCGAGTTTCTGAAAACACGTCGAAGTATGAACCCTCAACAAACATCCAATGCTTTTCTTTGACCATAAGCTGAATCCATTTTTTTTTATCTCTCTACAATTGAGAGTCTCTCTCACTAGAAGTGAGGTTTCGTTTAGTTGCACTAGGGTTTGCCTGTTCATCTTCTTCTCAATCCGCATGCAAATTCTGTTGCTTTCCTTTTTAGGCTGCCTAGGTGGGAGGTTTATCTCCAGGTTTCTTGTGTGTGTGGATTAATTATCTTTCTTTTTCAACATCCAAGAGGATCAGCTTCTTGGGCTTAACTCTTTGCCTCGTTTCCCAGAAAAGTTATCAACCTTTTTTTTTAACTTTTGGCTATTCCAATAACGCTGGTTTAGATCCTCTCGTTTTCCCAGCAAATCATCTTAGAGCAGTAAATGCTCATCCTCTAATGGTGCAGTTCATTTATTTCTAGAGTCGGCTACCCTTTTAGGAGCCTATTTCTCTTCAGTTTTCTTGCTTCCCATGCTTGGAAATTTCCACATTCCAAGAGCTCAAGTTGGCTTATAAAAGAGACGATTTGTTATCCCAGTCTTTCAACTTCTCCCCTATCTTTTTTCTTCGTTATTCCTGTCTTTTCAAAGTTATTCTCTAAGTCCTTTCTTTTCCAATATTCCTTTCTTCTTCAGTCAGTTTTCTTAACTCTGATTTGATATATCATGAGCACTAACAGAAACTCACCAAACCCTCATAATGATCACCAATCTAGGAATATGCGAGGGGGACCTCTTATTCCTCCTCCTGAGAATTTCGATCTCAGGAATGTCGCTATAAATTTCAACTCCTGTGTTATTGGTTTGTTCATTGGTCCTCACCCTCCTTCCGAACACTTTGTTCAACACATTGTAACTTCTCGGTGGATAAGAAGGGGAGAAATAAGGATTCATAGGTCGGGTCCGTACTTTTTATTCGAGTGCTTGAACAACCAGGATCTAAAGAATTTGGTTCTTGCAAATACAACTATTATTGATGGTAGGATAATTAACTTCAGGAGGTATCAAATAGACTTTGTACCTCAACATATGAACTTTACGCTCGCACGAGTGTGGGTAAGGGTTTATGGTTTACCCCTAGCCTATCTTACTTCTAGTTGGGCTAGACAAATTTTAAGGCACGTGGGTTACATTGAAGAATTGGAGCACGAAGGAGAGGAGCTTCCAATTCATGCTGAGCTGAGAGCTCAGGTTCTGATTGATCTTTCCATTCCCCTAATACCGGGGTGTTTTATATCTTTGGAAGGAAATAAAGTAATTTGGGTGTACCTTAGGTATGAAGGTATTTTCAAGTTCTGTAAATCATGTGGTTGTGCAGGGCATGCCACATCTCGATGCTCACTCCATGCAGTGGTCGCAAGGAGGAGGGTCAGACGTAGGCCGAATGAGGTTGAAGAAGATGGGTTACGAGTGCTTAATGGACCGGCGGAGTATCCATTCTACTCGAATCTTATCCGTGGGCTTTCGGATTGGTACAGATTTCGCAATACGGGGCTTGATCTCCGGCCAAACGAAAACCCAGAGGAGCCTGCTCCGTATAGGAGAGGTCAAAGGGTGGAGAGAGGCTTTGAAGAGGGTCATCCCTATGAAGACTCATTTTCAACTCAAGATAGTGATGAGAGTGAGCAATTTCACTCTGGAAGGGATGATTGGTTAAATGAAGACTCGGAGCTAATTGAACGAGAAATGGAACCTGTTGGGCCGGATCTTGTTTGTCTCCGGGTCGTCGTTTGGGTCTTAGTGGTGATCCATACGCAGAATTTACTCAACAGAGAGTTTCTCATCTATCTCCGATGGTGAATCAAGAGGAGCACAGAAGTGTAGGTGGGGAGGCGTACAGACAAAATGCTGATCAGTTAGGGGTTTCACGAAGGGAAGGCGTAGTAACTTCAAGCATGGCTGTTGGTGTTAAGGTTTCAGAGACTCTAAAGGAGGAGCAGCTAGGGCCTCTCCCGACGAGGCCATTCTTTGGGGGCTCAACGTTTGAAGTGGGCGAGCCATCATCAGCAAGACAGGAGTATAGACAAAGGGGGGGGGGGGCTGGAACGTTGTTCCACACACTGGGGATTTCAGAATGGGCTTCGTCCCCATAAGTTTTGAAAGTAATCAGGAGGTGTGTTATGGACAGGGGGGAGTACGGGCTTCGGCAATGTTTTCTTCTTGGGCTAGTCATGCTCATGGTTGGCTAGAGAGTCCTTCGATAATGGCTACGAGAAGAGTAGAGGAAGTTGAGCAACAAGTTGATGATGAGTATGAGAAAATCATCGAAGCAAGCACAATCTTGTCTTTGGGAATCCAGAATGCTAGGAGATTGGAGATCCAGGAATTGTGTGGCAATGCAAGAGCTTCATCGGCGCCTTTTCTACGGTTGTCAACAACGGACTTAGCGGGGCTTCCGAATCTCCCCACCACGGAGTTTGATCCCCCTAATACGCCGGTATCTCACTTTAGCTCTTTTAATTTTTTACAGAGTTGTTTAACTATGATGACAGTGCAACCACCAAGAAGAGAATTCGAGAGGAAGTTGGTCACAAGCTGCATTCATGTGATGGAGATTCGGTTAGGTACAATGAATCGGATTATGAGTGGGTGGAAAGAAAGAGGCTCAAAAGGTTGCATAGGTGGTCCGAAAAGGGAGGATTTTCGATCTGGCTGAGAGATGAGAAAGGAGGGTGTAGGTTCGCTTCGAAGGAAATTTCGGATCCTGACATGGCAAGAGAGTTCGGGGTAGACATAGATGTAGATCTGCGTATGAGGGGTAGAAACAAAAGGCCCCAAGAACTTTCTTCTTCTTCTTCTGAGGCTTCTAAAAGGCAGAAAAGCGAAGAAGTGACTTCGGCTTTGAAGGATGTCAGGGATGATATGGATATTGATCTGCAATTACCTATTTTTGACTCGATTAAGCTTACAACGGAGGGTGAGGAGGCTGCTCTTATCCAGCCCCCAACAGGTTTATGAATGTTGTGGCCTGGAATTGTAGGGGCCTTAATGACCCACATACCCTTGCAATTCCTTATCTTGTGTGGCTTTATCGTACAAAAGTGCCTAAGTTTTTATTTGTATCGGAAACAAAAATGGATGTTGATTCGGCTTCTATTAGGTTAGGTATCTTAGGCCCTACTACCACTTTTGAGTGGAATTCGGATGGTAGTAGTGGCGGTCTATTAGTTTTAGTATGGTCTAATGAAGTTGTTGATTGCTTGTTCTCTTCTAAAAAATTTATCTTGTGTAAGATGAATGAATCTAATGGTAGTTCGAAATATATCTTGTTTGTTTATGGTGAACCTCAAGTTGAAAATAGAAGGATAGTATGGGAACAATTGCAATGGTTTTTAGAAGAGTTTAAAAATGTTCTTGTAATAGGAGATTTTAACCAAGTTGAAAGTGGAAGCGACAAACTAGGGGGTTCAACTAGAATTAGAGGCATGGATGCCTTCCTGGATTGGAGGTTCAGTGGCAATGTGACAGAAGTTCTTTTCTCGGGTCCGAGGTTTACCTGGACCAATAAAAGGGAGGGTGACGAGTTGATTCTAGAAAGGTTGGATCGGGCCTATGTAACAGAGGAATGGATTGATCACTCTCCGGATGGGAAAATTATTCATGAACCAATAGTGTGTTCCGACCACGCGGCTATCACTTATCTTGATCAACCTACAGCAATGGTCTCTAATAGACCTTATCAGATCGAGAATTGGTGTCTTACGTTCCCAGAAATCAAGGAAATAGTGGGGCAAACGTGGAAGGAGGAGTTTTCAGGGTCTCCAATGTTCCAGCTCTCAAGGAAGTTAGAAAGGCTAAGGTCTAAGCTCCAATACTGGTGTTTGGAACATAAGCAAGTTTGAGGGATAAACTGGAGGAAGCTTACAAAGGATCTTAGAAACTCTGGGATGAAAATCACCTCAATTCAAGAAGGAGAGGGGTATATTCGGCAGATAAACCACCTTATCTCGGAAAGTCAACTGAGTTTTAGTTTTTAGAATCAAAGAATGAAAGCGAATTGGATCAAAGGTGGGGATTGTCCGACGCCAACTATGTACAGGAGAGTAAAGCAAAGGCAGTCACATAATCTAATCCTAACTTTAAGAAATGAGGAGGAAGCATGGATGGAGGGTCAGGGTGAGGTGGAAGAGGTAATTTTATCTTCAATCAAGAATATCTACAATCCAGTATTACCTGAGAATCATGGGGAATACATAGATCTTCTTCTTCGATAGCTTGATATTCCCATTCTCTCGGAAGAGGATAGAACTTGGCTTGATAGGGATTTCTCGGAGGGTGAGATTAAAAAATTGATGTTTGATATGCATGGCTCGAAGTCGCCTGGGCCGGATGGGTTTACAGTTGATTTTTTTAAAACTTACTGGAATGAGGTAGGGCGCCTGGTAGTAGATAGCGTAATGCAATTCCTGAAGACATGAAATATGCTCAAAGAATGGAATCAATCTCTACTGGTGTTTATTCCTAAGGTTAAGGTTCCGCAACTTGCGAGCCATTTCAGACCCATTAGCCTATGCAATACTGCGTATAAATGTATTTCCAAGTGTTTGGTGAACAGGTTAAAGATAGTTCTGCCAGGTCTTATTACGGAAAACCAGCATGCCTTCATCCCTGGTAGGTATATGGAAGACAATATCCTTTTAAGTCATGAGCTGATGCATCTAATAAACTCGAAGAAAAGGTCTAATTTTACAGCGGTAAAGATCGATATGTCTAAGGCATATGACAGAGTGGATTGGCTTTTCTCCTAAAGGTATTACAAAGTCAGGGCTTCTCTAGCCACTGGATAAGGATGATCTCACAATGCATATCGACGGTTATTTTCAAGGCAATTATAAACAGGAAAATGACTGATCATTTTGCCCCTAAGTGTGGGGCTGAGACAGGGGGACCCGCTATCACCGTATCTTTTCATTCAGTGCATGGATATCCTGTCAATAATGTTGAACTTGGCTGAGGATACCAAGCAAATCCAAGGCCTAAAGGTATCCCGAAGGTCCTCTTCCATCTCTCATCTATTCTTTGCAGATGATGTCATGCTTTTCTTCAAGGCAAATAAGGAGTCATGTATGTGTATCTCAGATATACTTTATAGGTTTGGTAAAGCCTCTGGCCAGCAGCTTAACCTTCAAAAATCAGTCATTAAGTTCTCGCCAGAGATTGATACGGAGATAAAAATGAGTATGAAACATATTCTTTCGATGCCGGAAACAGCTAGCATGGGGATTCATCTGGGGGATCCAAGGGAAAAAGAGTTCATACTTCCAATTCTTGGTGGATAATGTTTCGGAGAAAATTATGGCATGGGCTTCTTTAAGGCTTTCTCAACCGGCAAAAATGATTCTTATCAATACGGTGTTGGTAAGTATGTCGGCACATGTTATGAAATGCCTGAAACTCCCTCAAAGTGTTGCAAGCAAGATTGATGCTTTGATTACTCATTTTTTGTGGGCGGGAAAAGGGGCTAAAGGGATACATTGGGTGAGTAGAAGTATCATCCAACTTCCTAAGAGTATGGGAGGTTTGGGAATTAGAGGTAGTTCAATTACCAATGATGCTCTACTTTTCAAGCAAGCAACAAGGATGCACCTTAATCCCCAGCTTTTACTCTCAAGAGTGCACAAGAGTTTCCATCCATGTGGCATTAGTGGAATCACTGGTCAGCTGTTTAGAAGAAGGAACTCGTCAATGGGAAGAATAAGTCTTCAGTAGGCCATCCAAGCTTTTAGGAAAGGTTTTTCTTGGAAGGTGGGAAATGGTAATAATATCAAGGCTATCAGTATGCCATGGGTTGATGGTAACATTCCAATAGTGAATTCAAGCCAAACCCTTAGAGCTGCGGTAAATTGGGAAGTGAAAGATTTCATCAACAGGGAGAATAACACCTGGAATGCAGGTAGAATAAGGGAGTGTTTCGACTGGGAAAGTGCAAAAAGAATTCTGTCAATGGAGCTCCCTCGGTCTTCGGAGGAGGATGACTTCCTTTACTGGAAATATCATCCATCAGGGAGGTATACTGTTAAAACTGGTTACTATTATCTATCAAAGGAAGGGGAGGTAGAGAGATCAGAATTCTTGGAAAGGGATCAAGAATTTGTGAAGCTAGTATGGAGAATGATCATTCAACCTAAATGGAAGGTTTTCCTTTGGAAGCTTTTTCATGATGGTATTGCGGTTAAGCTTAACCTGGTTAGAAGGGGAATAAGAGTAGAAGCTGTCTGTGCCCATTGTGGGGTAGAACTGGAAGATAGCCAACACCTCTTCAGATTCTGCATTCTGGCAAATGAAGTTTGGGAGAACAGCCCCCTAACTATTTTCCCTGACTCTACTGGATTCAACTCTTTGAAAGGATGGATCCAGCACTATATCCCGCTTTTTAACAACGAGGATGGTAAGAACAGCAAACGATGTGCTTTGTTCATTGCAACATTATGGGGGCTATGGAAAACTAGAAACGCAAGATGCTTCAAAGATACAACGGGATCGATAAGTGTAGTAAAGGAATTCACTGATCTAGCCATGGAAGATCATGACGCGTATACACATAAGACAAGATCAATACATGAGTTGGGGGCCACTGAAACGGATGATCCGGTCATTCCCCCAGGGTTAAACTATGTGCATCTGGGAAAGGAACACAACGACTTCGATAAGTTCATTGTGGAAGTCGATGGCTCCTGGGATAAAAACACGAGGAGAGAAGGGATAGGATGGGCTGTTAAAGAGAATCACAACGGTTTTGACCTCGATAGAGGAGGAAAACATGGAGCAACAACGTCTGTTTTACAATGTGAAGCCTGGGCTTGCCTGGAAGCTATGACGTGGGCTCGTGAGAAAGGGATACATGGCATTCTTATTCTATCGGACTCTATGGGTCTCCTGAACAACTTGCAGGATAAATCTGGTAAGGATATCTCGATTGTATGGTTATTAAAGGAGATTAGGAAAATAGGGGCCTCGTTTCAAAGGTGCACAATCTTAAAAGGCCAGCGAGATCAGGTAGGAAAGGCTAATGACATAGCTAGGAACTGCCGGATTAACCTTGTTAACTTGTTGTAGGTTTTGTTTTATGTTTTTCATCATTTGCTATTGTCAAAAAAAAAAAAAAAACAAAAAAACAAACATCCAATGAAGAGTACTATACATATGGTTAGAGTTGTCGCGGAGGCTTTTAGGGAAGCACGCGATCAAGGAGTTAGATGGTTCGTTATGATAGATGATGATACCGTACTTTTCTTAGAAGATTTGGTAGATGTTTTGCAAAAATATCATCATAAGAAGTACTTTTACATAGGGGAGAATTCAGAGTCTTTGTTGTTAAATTTTGAGAACTCGTTCGAGATGGCCTTTGGTGGAGCTGGTTATGCCATAAGTTACCCTCTTGCTCAGGCATTGACGAAGAATTTGGATGTTTGTATTAAGAGGTACCCGGCTTTGTATGGGAGTGATCATCTTATGCAGTCTTGTGTCGCCGATTTGGGAGTTTCTCTAACTCACGAAAAGGGTTTCATCAGGTAACTTAACAAAAAATCATTAAAAAAATTCTATGTTTCTTTTAACTTTTAACAATTTAGCTTTTGCACTATCTATATGCATACCAATTATAAGCAATTAAGCTTATTATATTTGCGAGTAATGGTAACAATGTTACATTGATGAACCCCATAAACGGCAGGCCAACATTTGACCATATAATACAAATAGTCTAAACTTGTATGTTATTAACATGATGATTTAATCGTTGACATCCATGACGTACATTGATCTACACAACGACATATTGGGATTTTTATCATCACATCCACAAGCTCCAATAGTTTCTCTTCACCACCTCGACGTGGTTGAACCTCTCTTCCTGGGCATGGATCGCTCCAAGGCATTAAACCACCTAATGAAAGCGGCTAAGGCGGATCAATCAAGACTTGTACAACAAACGATCTGCTATGACAAGAAGAAAAACTGGTCATTTTCTATAGCATGGGGTTACACAACTCAAATCTACGAGAAAATCATACTCCCGAGTGTATTAGAAATGCCCCTTGAGACGTTTATTCCTTGGAGAAAACCTCCTAAACATCCATACTTGTTTAACTGTCGATGGCTCTCAAGAAACTCTTGTGACGTACCACATGTTTTTTTCTTCGAATCTGATCTGTTGAGATAATTGATAAGAAAAATGAAATTGTCACGAGTTACACACGAAGAACAACAAGAAATTTGCCACCTTGTTCACAACCATCAACAAAAAACGAAAGTAATTTTCTTCCTAGTGAAATTATCAAGATTATAGTTATTTCTCCTACTACCAAACATGTTGCTCAGGTAAATGAAACTTATCCCAAATGATTAGCAATACATGTTCATAAGATTGAATTTTTGTCGAACTAATTACTTAATTAATTTGACCAATTCCTAATTTATCAACAGGATGGAAGTAGACGAGAGTGACATTTTAGATCAAATTGAGAAGAATGTAACCACGATCAAGTATAGAACTTGCGCGGATAATGAAATATTGGGTTATGATTGATGTTTATAATTATGTGACATTATATGTACAAGATTCAATTTTCTTCCTAAATGTAGTGGATTTATTTTTAGATAAATTTGCTTTTGTTCAATGAAAATTTTCTCAATACCTTACTCATTGTAATTGTGTTATTTTATGATACCTTTTTTTTTGTCCATTCACACATTTGCTTGTTCTTTTCTTATGTATTATTGCAGTATCGGACTCCATAATTCTTTTTTTAAAAAATACTCCATATATCTTTAAAATTTATACATAGTATGTTCTTTATAATTTAAGTATAATGAAAATACAATTATTGTAACAAAAAGAATATGAACAAATTATCTTCATATTCATATATTCATTATACCACGGTGGATTTCATATTTAAATGGATATTGTTTCATCTGAAACCTCATAAAATAACACAAAATGGTTGTAAAAAAAATAGAAATAAATTAAACTTTACATTTTCCGTTAACCAGTCTCGAGACCAACAAGTATTAAGTTACAAGTCTTACCATCTTAGCTATTTATTTATTGTGTTTTTCTATCAAACAAAATTATAGTTAACTTGGATAAGATAATTAGTGTTTACAAATCTTTTTTAAGTCATAAAATTTTAAGATGATTATCAAAATACTAAGAAAAAACAGTCAAACGTGAAAAACAAACTAAACCAGTACAAACTGACCACGCATTAGTTATCTTTATAAGGTGAAAAATGAATACTCAATACTTAAATTTTGTTTTTTCAAGACGTATAAACAAAATTGAGCTGCAGCAGCACTACAATGAGAGCAAACTCTAACTTACCAAGAGTGCAAGCTCTACATTTTTTTTGTCTCAAATTACTTGCTAAAGTAACACTTGCAGATCTACGGGTTTAGGAGTCAAAAAAATTTAGGAAAATTCTCCAAAATGAATATCAGCATTGTTAATCCCACCTCAAATTCATCTCATGTCCCTTCAATTTTCCAAAACCCATCTTTTTTACCCAGATTTTCATGGTTAACCCCCAAAATTCCCTCAAAAAATCACCCAAAAATTCACTCAATAGTTGCTTCCTCAGTTAACAGCAGCAGCAACAACAATCAAAACACAACCACAAGCAGGAAAGATAATCGGTGGTCTCTTTATGGAATGACGGCTTTAGTCACCGGCGGCACGCGTGGAATTGGGTTTGTCACTCTCTCTAAATTCATTCAGCCCTTTTGTAATTACAATTCCAAAATTTAAAAAGATGTGATTTTTATGTGAAATGTGGTATTTGTTTTCTTATGAATTAACTTAAACGGTATCTGGGATTTTGTTTAGGCATGCAATTGTTGAAGAATTGGTGGGTTTTGGAGCAATTGTGCATACTTGTGCTAGAAATGAAGTGGAGCTTTATAATTGCTTGAAAACTTGGCAAAATCAAGGGTTTAATGTTAGTGGGTCAGTTTGTGATATTTCTTCTTGGGAGCAAAGGGAGAAGCTTATGGATTCTGTTTCTTCTGTTTTTAATGGCAAGCTTAACATTCTTGTCAGTCAATGTCTAACTTTTATCTTATCTAGTATAAATTTGGTTAATTTGGAGTAGTGTTTTATATGTATGATTGATTGATAGTTCATTGCAACATTTGAGGGCTCAAATGCTTTGTGTTGTGTTGGTTGATTTTCAGAAAATATTAGTTTGTCACAGTGATAAACAAAATTTTGTTTATTAAATGGCATTTTCATAAATAAATCATGTGACTTTGACTTGCTTATAGGCCAATATCATGTGATAATGATGGTGTAATGCTTGTGTATATTTCTTTTCTAAGAGGTGTAGAAAATTATATCGAAATTGGAGAAGTTCGTGGTATTGGAGCTTCTCCTTCCCCAAATGTAGGTGTCAGAGGAAAATGATATTAGTTTGATTACTTTGATATTTGAGCGATTTTCTTTCAGCTCGGTTATCTTTAACTGTAGAGGGTTCAGTGTTTGTTACTCCGTAGTTTGTTACAATACAGAACCTTGTTACATGAGTAAATTACATATCCATGTAGAGATTTGACTGGAGGAGAAAAATGTATAAATATGGCAAACTAGAATCTACTATAACTACCCATCTACTGTAAGTGGGAGCTTCTGTGAAATGACAATCATCAGATGCTTTGTTCTTTCCACTTATTTATGCTAATCTGAAGTTGCTTTTAAAGCATGATTTTGATGAAATTTATCCAAGAGTATTCATTGGCCAAAATAAGACAAAGGAAAGACCAAAAGAATGAGGAAGCATCTTTTCATGTATTAGGTGGAACAGATAGGCTAGGGACATAGAGAGGGGAGGGTGGAGTGGCTGTAAGCGAAACTTGGTGATGTTCTTACCTCACATCTATAAGGTAGTTTTGCTGGGTGAATCTACCTCAATTTTTCTCCTGCTTTTATAACTCCTCCCGTGCTTTATCAGTTGTCTTGGATGTTTCTGTATATCAAAAATGATTGGGTAATAGTATAAGAACGGATATTATGAATTCTTTTTTTTTTTTTTCTTTCTGCAAAGTGAGAAATAGTAGACTATGAGTACATTACCAGTTCGATTAGGTCCTTGGAAATTGTTGTGCTTCTGACCTATCTCTTATCTTTTTGTTTAAGAGATTGTTTGGACGCTGAATGAATGAGCAATCAACCTTCTGTTTGTCCCGAATCAAGAATTATTTACATTGTGTATTTTTTTTTTTTTTCTTTTTTCTGATTGGTCTTCCTCTCAGATGACACTGAAAATAGCTTGTTGCTGATTACTTGTGTTTGCAGGTCAACAATGTTGGCACAAATATACGGAAACCAATTGTTTGCTTAACTCCTCAAGAATATTCAACATTGATGACTACAAATTTTGAGTCTGCTTTCCATTTGAGCCAGCTGGGTCATCCTCTCCTAAAAGCTTCTGGGTGTGGCAGTGTTATATTTGTCTCTTCTGTCTCTGGTTTTGTTTCCTTGAAATCAATGGCTCTTCAAGGAGCAACTAAAGGTGATCTAGTGATCATTGTTTTTTGTGACCTGTTATGTAACTCCTTAATAAGTACATGTCAATAAGTCTATGCATTTGAACTATTTTGGTTTGTAGGAGCAATTAATCAGCTGACTCGAAATTTGGCCTGTGAATGGGCAAAAGACAATATAAGGAGCAATGCTGTTGCACCTTGGTACATCAAAACCACTATGGTAGAAAAGGTAGTTATAACTTTCTTGGTTACTGTATATACTCTTGTGCTATTGCTTCATTCTGAAACCAATGTTATTACCAGTGAGCCTTAGCATTCTGGCTGATAATGTTAAGTGTTGTTGTTCGTTTTAATCATCGCTTCGTAAAATCAAAATCCAAATGTAGAGAATTTTTAATTAGAATTGTTGTCTATCATATATGAGAGATATAATTTCCTCTTGCAATTGTATTATGCAAAAACAGGGTTTGTGTCGCAAAACAATTAAATTCAAATGCTTGCTATGAGCCTATGACCTGCCAGTTAATGGATGGCGAGTAGGGTTAATGAGCTATTTAGTAGTAAGGGATTAGTTTAACATTTATTCTGCTTTATATTTTAATTATTTCAGGTTTTAAGTAACGAAGAGTATCTCAAAGAAGTTTATTCCTGTACACCACTTTGTCGTCTTGGAGATCCAACAGAAGTCTCATCTTTGGTTGCATTCCTCTGCCTCCCTGCATCTGCTTACATTACCGGTCAAATTATTTGTGTTGATGGCGGAATGTCTATCAATGGTTTCTATCCCAGAATTGATTTCCAATAGCTAGTAAGCTCACTTCCTCTGTTAAATTATGTGCAATTGGTCTTTACCTTATTTATGTCTGCTTGTTAAATTAATATTAGCGTAGCTTGTCTGTTCACTGACTTCACTCTATTTCCTCTTCAACTACCATGCTGTCCCTTAACAAATGGAAACTTCTTTCTTTTGATTAAGTTTTTGGTGTCCACCTCATTTAATATTCCTCTTCTCTCTCTCTCTCTCTCTATTGGGGGGGGGGGTGTGGGTGTTGTAGGGTAGACAAGGCAGTAGGCTGGTGTTGAATTCTTAAGATAGTTTCAAAATAGAGATAAAATAAGTTCATCAGGAAGGAACCTATGATTTCTTCTTATTGTTTTCTGTTTTGAGGTTTTAAACAACGGCAATTTCATGAAATGCCACTCAGCACTTAAAAAATTCATGAACTGCCATCGTGTTGTCCAGAATTCACCAAATGCCACTGACAAGCAGTAAAATGTCATGTCATGCCATTAATGAGGTATGGCCGTTAAGTGCTCAGTTACTGGGAATTGACGTTTTTGCCCTTATTGTGTTTAATGGCGCCATTACTCCCTGAACTAACCCAATAACTTTAAAAATTAGAAGTTCAGGAGTCGAAGTCGCCATTCTGTCACCCTTCTCTGTTCTTCATGCATAGTCTTCATCGGTCAACCCTAGAATTCGATCAAGATCGAAGCTTTTTGTAATTCTGAACTTTGATCAAGGTGGTATTAGTATCACGAAGTAGTAACTGCAGTTGTATTTGGGAGAATTGAAGTTGTTATTCGCAAGGAGGGGCAGCAGAGGTAGTCAGTCGAAGTTTGAAAAGTGTTGTTACGCTCCCAAAACTAGCACGCAAGGTAACATTTTTTCCATTAATCTTCAAATAGAGTACCGATTTTGTCAATTTTTCCTGATATGCGAATTAGGGTTAGAGAAAGGTTGTTTGAGTTAAATGTTAGTGATGTTATGTTTAAAATCATGTTGTTTTACTGAATTATGGGTTTGATTTTGGCAAATGTGTTTAAAATCATGTTGTTTTACTGAATTATGGGTTTGATTGTGGCAAATGTGTTTAAAATCTTGTTGTTTTACTGAATTATGGGTTTGATTCGTTCAAATTAGATTTTGTGCAGAGTTAGAATATTATGTGGTTTAGCATGTGTGTGTGTGTGTGGATGTGAAGGAGATGCTGGTTTTGATGTCTTAATTAATGATACAGACCGGACTAGTTTATTGGATTTGTTTGAGTATATGTTCGAGGACTCTGTAAAGCAAAATGTGTGGCTCCCTCAGTACTTTGCTTTGCTTGTTAACAAACCTAGAACTAATAGGAAACTGGAGTTATGTGTTGATGGTGATATGTTGAAAATGTGGGAGTGGAATGTGGGTAAGGAAACAATAGATGTATGGTTGGAGGAAAGGGAAAGTCCTGGTTTGGTGTTTAAGGATGCTGAAGCTAGTTGGTATAGAAGGTTAAAACAGAAAGCTGAGAGGGATAGGTTAGAGAATGAAAAAAAGAAGAGGTTAGCCGAAGAAGAGGAAGCTCATAGGGAGCTAGATGAACAACCTTTCACTGTTGCTATAGAGATTCCTATAGAGATTCCTGATGTAGATGATGAGGACTCAGGAGTTGATTATGTTAGAGTGTTTCAAACTCGGATGAGGTTTTCCCAGGCCCATCCCAGCCACAACCACAGGCAGAACATGGTTCCTAGCCATCTAACTCCACCAAAACATCATCAAACCCTTCTCCTGCTAACCACCCCATAACTAAAAATGTTAGGAAGAAATAACACCTAAGAAAAGGAAAACAACAGCCCCACGACATGTACCACAACCCTCTTCAAACACAGCAACATCCCCACCACATACACCACAACACTCTCCAATCCAAGCAACATCTCCACTAGCAACACCACCACATTCTACAACCCAACCAACACCCCCACCCCAAACAGTACCATCATCTAGTGCAGCCCCTAGGAAGGGGTCTAGATCTAGACCCCTTGGTTTCAGAACAAAAAAGAGTGCTGGGAAAAAGACTGGTGAGGGAAGTCAAGAACACAGTGTGAGTAAAAGGAGATCAGGGAGAAATAGGAGGTCACCAGCTAGGGGTGAGACCAGTGATGATAATACTGAGGATGATAGATGGGATAGTGATGATGATGATTACATAGAATCTGGGAGTGAGCTAGATGATGATGTTGATCTTGCTGACTTCATAGAGGAAGAGGTTGATTGTTTATATGATGACAGAAGCAGTTTGAGGATTACCTTGATGGGAGTTCAACTATGGACAAGACTTATAAGAATGGCAAAGTCTGGACTCTCCAAGAATTTGGAGCCATTACACTAGAGCTCTGGTTGATCTTGTGGAGAAGAGTGACCCACTGAGTTATATTGCAAGATGTGCTATTGAGTCAATTGGAGAATTCATGCTTCTTCAATGATTGACAAAGTCAGGTGGGCAATCAAGACACTAACAGGGGAGCATGAACAACTGTGGCAGGCTGGAGAGTAACCCTGTTGTGAGTTCTGCTTGGCTGTGTAGACATATCCAATCAGATATTCAAAACTCAAAACAACCTGACATCTCAATGGAGTCTTTAAAGAGAATTTGTTTGGAAAGGTACAGAGTTTAAGTTAAAAAAGGCTCTCTTATAAGGTCAAGGCTATGACCAAAGAGATGCTATATGGTGGTTTTGGAGAGGCATACTCCCTGTGCTGAGATGGTCAAACAAACCAACCCAGGGAGTTATGCCTTAGTTACATGAACATAAGCATCTGCAAATGTGCAACCAAGATTTAAGGCTTGTTTTTTCTCATTTGTTGCCCAAGTTAGAGGCTTTTTGTCAGGCTGCAGACCTTTTATAGGCATTGATGGGGCCCATCTCAGTGGATATCATAAGGGCATCTTGTTAACAGCAGTTGGGATCGATGGGAACAATGAGATATTTGTCATTGCTTATGGCATTGTTGACACAGAGAGTTATGATAGTTGGGGGTATTTTATGAGGAATTTGAAATGTCTATTTCAAAAGGCTGCAGACCTTTTATAGGCATTGATGGGGCTGCAGACCTTTTATAGGCATTGATGGGGCCCATCTCAGTGGATATCATAAGGGCATCTTGTTAACAGCAGTTGGGATCGATGGGAACAATGAGATATTTGTCATTGCTTATGGCATTGTTGACACAGAGAGTTATGATAGTTGGGGGTATTTTATGAGGAATTTGAAATGTCTATTTCAAAAGGAGGGCTGCAACAGAGATGATTGGACCTTTATTTCTGATAGGATGAAGGTGAGCTACATATCACTGCAACTAAGATTATGTTTTAAAAATGACATGCACATTTTGTTTAATAAAGAGGTCTGACTGTACATGCAGGGGGTTTCATGACACATTCCCTAGAGCAAGCAGAAGGATATGCTGTCAACTGTAAGACTAATGGATTTGGTGGAACAACTTTTCACAAGCTCTTCTGGATTGCAGCAGATGCTTACAATCCATATGTCTTTAACAAAAGTATGGGGAAGATTCAAGGCCACAATGCAAAAGCTATCGAGTACTTGAACAATACCACTGATACATCACTGCGTTGTGATCACAATACAACCAATTTTGTTGAATCATTCAATTCCTGCACCAAGCCATAGAGGGATCTACCTGTTCTAAAATTGCTTGAAGGTAATTAAATGCTTTGTTGTCTACCAGCATCAATTTGACAATGCTTCCGTTGTGGTGCTGACCTTCAAATGGTTTCCACTTTTCGGGTATAAGGCAATGGTGCATGAATAGGATGGCTCCAAGGTTTGATAAAGCATCATCCCTGGGTGATTTGGACCTCACTAAGTATGCAACCAAGATCCTGCAGCAGAGATCTGATAAGTCCAGGTTATGCTATGCAATTCCTGTAGTGGTGATGAGTATGAGGTCAGGGACCAACATGTACATTTTCCTGTGAAGCTAGGGATTGGAACTTGTGGTTGTGGGAAGTGGCAGCATTTAGAGGCTTCAACCTAAAGATTTTGTATCTCCTTATTTCACAGGGAGGGCATACAAAAGCACTTATGCTGAGCATATGCTGCCACCTGCAGTGATAAGATCTCCAGGTAGACCAAAGAGAAAAAGAGGGCAAAATGAAGGAAGGAAAGGGAAGATGCATGCCACAGTTAAGTGCAGCTTATGCAAGGAGTTGGGCCACAACATGTTGACCTGTGCAGCAAAGAAAAAGAATGCAGCAACTGAAGCAAGCTCTTCAAACAACAACAAGAAAGCAAAGAAAGCTGCATGAACACCAAACCCCTCTCCTTTTGAGTTCCCAGCAGACTTGTTTATGAACTATAAGAGGACAGCGATTCAAGAGACGAGGGTATTCATCAATTTCAAATCTCACTCGTGATCGTAGTTCTACAGAATTAGAATTGTTATTTGATTCAATTTTCATTGTATTTATCGTTTCTGATCTCTTTTGTAGAAGTCGTATGACTTCTTATTAATGAATTGATCTTCCCTTCAAAAAAAAAAAAAAAAAAAAAAAAACCTGGCTTGGATTATCAGGAGCTTCGAGCTTGTTCTAATAAGTTGTATGTAATCATGTACTCTCTCGGAAGAATATTTATTGTCACATTATCCCGCCTCTTCATCTATTTCAATTTCACTCCGTTGAACCTCCTCTCTATATGAATAAGTTGTTTTCTTCATCTGAAATTCACTAACAATCTTATCTTATTAGCCATGAATTCTTATCTGAACTTGTTAGTCATATCTTATCTGATAATGGTGTTATTTACTTCATTATAAACGTTACATCATTCTACTACTCTAATCCATGTCATGTACGAAATATTGTATTAATTTATACTCCATATCATCGTTCATTGCAAAAATTCCCTCAAAAAATTCTCATTTTTCAGTCTTGTGTCCTTATTCACATGATTTTGTTTGACTTTAAGTTGATTAATACCTAATAAAACATGATACTATATTGATTGAGCTCGAATTGTTCATTGAGTAGATATTAATGATGGAAATAATGACATTGTCAAATAAGGTGGGATGAAAAATCCAAATTGACGCTCCCACAGCCACAAAGGCCTTATCATCTATAACCAGCCTGCCAAAAATGACTTGTCTATATTGATTGCAATCATGGCATCTTAGCATATAAGAACATATATTTGCTGAAGTGCTGGTAGTGTAGTGGTGAAGAATAAAAAAATTCAGACTGTAATTTAGCAGAATTGCAGAAGGGTGATCTGATGTCTGACTCCGGTAGCAGTTGCAGAAATAAACGATGGTCTCTTACTGGCATGACTGCTCTTGTTACCGGGGGCTCTAAAGGAATCGGGTATTCTTTCTGTTCCCTTTTCCTTCATTATTATCATAAACTTGCTGATTTTAAGTGTTCATACATGCATACTCAAGTTGGTATTATATTGAGAAAGATTTCTCTTTTGCTTATTTTGATTGCAGACATGCAGTTGTGGAAGAACTAGCAGGACTAGGGGCTAAGGTTCATACATGTGCTAGAAACGAGTCTGAACTCGAAGCTTGCAAACGTGATTGGGGGACCAAAGGCTTTCAAGTCAGTTGTTCTGTTTGTGATGTAACATCTCGATCCCAGAGAGAGAAGCTCATGGAAACTGTCTCCTCTGAGTTCAATGGCAAGCTTAATATCCTGGTTAGTATATATTCTTAGCTCTCATTTAGTCATTTGTGCAATGCTCCTGTATTTCTTACATTGAAACTTGAACGGAGCATAAGGACATGCTCCCATCCACCGCCTTCACCAACCCATTTCGAGACTGATCTAGCCTGGTCCATTGGGCCACATCTACTAGAAAAGGACATATTGACCTTTTGCTTTCTTTTTCATTGATTTGTTATAACTAGAAATTTTTGGGTTTAAGGCTTTGTTGTTGTTGTTATAACTAGAAATATGTTGTTTTTGGTAAAATCCTATGTAGGTGAGCAATGTTGGGACATGCCTAAATAAGCCAACAGAAGATTTCACAGCAGAAGATTATGCATCTATAATGTGCACCAACCTTGAATCAACTTACAATATATGCCAGCTTGCATATCCTCTTCTTAAGGCATCGGGTTTTGGCAGCATCATTCTCATGTCTTCTGTTGCTGGCGTTGTGGCTGTTGATGTTGGCTCACTTTACGGCACATCAAAAGGTATGAATCAGTCTCCATCACATTATATACAAGAAATAGTAATAGGCAATCATAAAGTTCTCAAATTATAGCAATTGGCCTTTTAAACATTTGATGAAAAGCAATGGCTAAGACAACTGATTATGAAAAGTTTAGCTGTTTCTTGTATTCATTACTTTTAATTTAGTTCAATACGAATTATATGAGTGTGAAGTAATGTTTATGTATTTTTTTTGACAGGAGCAATGAACCAATTAGCAAAGAATTTAGCATGTGAGTGGGCAAAGGATAATATCAGAATCAATTCTGTTGCACCTTGGTACATCCGTACCCCTCTTACCGAAGAGGTAATAACATAACATAATACTGTATTCCATTTACAGCATAAGATCCCGTACTCTCTCTATACAAATAATCATTTTTGGTTTATGTAGCCAACTCCACTTATGAGATTAAGGCTTTGATTGATTGATTGATCTGCATTTGTGATTTTTTTTTGGGGGGGGGGGGGAACGGGGGGCGGAGGCTGTAAGCCTTTAAATAGGAAAATGACCTCGTCTCCTACAATATTTGAAGGTTTACTTCAACTACTCGTTTTATTGTCGTAAAATTTTGGTGAATATGAATTTAAAGATATTAATGCTCAAAGTATAGCCTTAGATATCGTGGGTGCCTGATTGTGCGCCTATACTAACAAAATCTGAATACAAGTATTGGTTGTCATCCTTTTTTCTGAAAAGTTGCAGACCCTTAATGACAAAAAATATTTGGAAGGAGTAATAGGAAGAACTCCTCTTGGAAGAACAGGGGAGATGGAAGAGGTGTCTGCCTTAGTGGCATTTCTATGCATGCCTGCTGCTTCTTACATTACTGGCCAAACCATTTGTGTTGATGGAGGTTTTACTGTCAATGGCTACCACCAAACTTTTTACTAGACTAGATAACTTGGCTCGGATTCCTGAATTTTAAGTAGGGAATCGGTATCTTCAAGCCTTCAATAAGTTGTACCAAGTTATGTAGTCCCTCGGAACAAAATGATTGTCACATTATCTTGACTCTTCATCAATATCAATTTCGCTCTGAACCTCAATATAAATATGTTGTTTCTTTTCATCTAAATTTCACTAATTTTATCTTGTTAGCCATGAATTCTTAACTAAACTTATTAGTCCTATCATATCTGCAAATGGATATGTACTTTATAAATGTTACCGTGATCAATACATAGTTTCAATATCTTTCTTTTTCATATGTTGGAACTTCTTACGCTATTGCGTTGAAAACTTTAGCATAACAAGCGAACTAAATACTGTATTTTTTGGGTCAAAGGTTCATTTTAAAGCTACAGGGTTCATTCAAACTACTCTATGCTTTACTTCATATCATTTACTAATACACGGAATACAAAATATTGTACAAGTATTGTGCTATACAAGTATTATATTTCATTATAAATTATAATACTCGTATAAACTTTAACCATATTTTAAATTCTAAAAAAAAATATATATTTTAAATTGTACTCCCTCCGTCCCATAATATAGTTCTTGTTTTCCTATTTTGGAGACCCAAAATGTAGTTCATGTTTTCATTTTTGGATAGTATGTAAAGATCATTATACCTTTTTTTTCATTATTCATTATACTTCTTACATTACCCTTAAATTTTGCACATACCTAGTACTTTTTTCAACTTTCTCTCTCTAACTTTTGACTATAATTGTACTTTTCACTTTTATTAATATATTTCATCCACTTTCGCCTCTTATTTCTTAAATACCGTGAAAAATCACAAATATAAGGGACGGAGGGAGTACATTGCTAAATAAATTCCCTCGAAAAATTTGGTTTCGCCTTTTCTTTGATCAGTACTTTGTACTTGTTTAACATTTATACTTATACTACAAATTTTATTTTTTTTAATTAAAAAAATAGGGGTCAAGTGAATATTATTTATTTTATTCCCAGCTTTAGGAATCGTACACTCATAGCTAGGTGAGGAAATTCCATTATTTATTTCTTCTAACAACACTTCTTCTAAAAAGTAACAACCTTTTAATTTAATTAACCCAAGCAATCCAATCATAGCTTAAAATTTCACTTCATATAACCCTATTATTGGATTAAAATATGTGATTAAAGTTTACCAAACGTAACAACTAAGGATCTACTTTGTAACTTACATTATACGAAGTACAAGTATATACTTCGTATCATTTTATTAATACTGCTTGACTATAGTTTATTCATAACATTTTAGTAAACCTCTGTATATAAACCCATGTACAAGAAGTCGTTCAACTATATCTCACGTTTGCAACAAATGAGTTGACATTCACCAAAAAGAAAATTTTAATGAAAGTTTAATTTATCAATCAGGTGCCAAACTTTAACGACCAATTATTGGCCTAACCTTCAAGGAAATAAATATTTGAACCTTACCAAACACTTATTAAAAAAATTAAATTTGAAACTTGGGTTTGGGTTTACTTGTGATTGTGGTTCTAAAGTGTAAGTTTATGACAAGTATGTACTTAGAATCGCATATAGAATAAAAACTGGGTTTGTCGGGCTAACCCACTTATGGTCATAGCTTGTCATGACTTATCAACTTTTCAACAGCTTGACTCACAAAGGGAGTGTTGGGCATCCCCAAGGTTTCGGTTATCCAATTCAATCTATTGGTCACTTTAATTAAGTATTTGCATCCTTATATTACAGAATACTAGTTAGTTGACGGTGTCCAAGGTTGTGATATGAACCAGATCGTAAATTTGTATTTTGTAATGATCCCCGCTCACATTCTGCCAAGCAGGCCCGAAGCTTCAAACTGTGCCACGAAGATTTATGTTGAACCCAACCTTAGTGTAAACTTTGTTCAAATCCCATTATACATGATTCATCATGCAATAAATGAACTTTTAAACAGCAATCAGTTGGAAATTTGGAGATTTGAAATTTCCATGTTGTTACGGTGTATTATATCCTCAAATAATTAAGTAGATAGTGGAGTTTTGAAATTTCTTTATTGACATATTATAATTGACAATTTCACATGCATTGAATTTTATATCACGAGGAAATTAAGGTTCATTGTATATGTGTTTACATATTTCTTAGACTTCCTTCAAAATTCAATTTCTTTTTCATGGCTGAAATTTTTTGCAAATTAAACAAGGAACATTGACAGCTGAGCTAAAGAACTTTCTCAGCAAGAAAATAAATGAAAAGGTTTTTTTTTTGCAAATTAGTGCCTGATAAAAAATGATTTACAATATAACTAGTAGGAGTATCACCTAATTTAATACTACCTTCATTTGTTTTTAGTTGACACGTTTTGACTTTAGCACTATTCACACACTTTTTCTTCGACCGTGTTTTGTGTTTTATACGTACTCAAAAATATAGTAATGTGAGATCTTGTTAGATTTGTCACGATATATACTTTCATAATTTTTGCTTATCGGTAATTAAAGATATAAATGGTTGAAATTGTGCATTGGCAAACATGTCAACTAAAAAGAAACGGCGAAAGTATATTTTTGGAACAAATTTGTACAAGGAAAACTCTATTCCAGCACTAGTACTAGTGTCTAATGCAACATATACAAAGTAAAGCACGCTTGAAAGTTACGGTTTTATAAAGTAAGACCCTGTTCTTTTGAGCTTCTTGGCAAACAAAGCTGAGCAGAGCAGTACAAATTGAGTTAATGAGGAGAGTAGAGTAGCTCAAAAGAACAGGACCTAAGAGTAGTTATCATAGATTCATAGGTGTACATTCATTTTACCAAACTAACAAGAAATATCGACTTCTCTATACATATGTATGTATGTGTTTTATAGTTCCAATGTAACGTGCTCAGTGTATATTCAAGATTGATCTTCATTGCACTAATTTTCATTTATTTCAGTTAAAAACAAAAAATTTATTCTTGGAAATTTAATCTACCCGTGAAGTTAAACCGGCCACCGCTCTAATAGCTTATGTCGTCTGTAACATTGTAAGTGCGGCCGTGCGGCCGATGGTGGGCCCGGTGCATATCCACCGAATGACCTTGGTGTGCTGATACGAATAGCTCAAGCTGAATGCAAAGATTCACTTCTTTAAAGTTTGAACCATGTTTTCGATCCCATCGTGTTCATTTTTTCATACATGAATAATTATCGAGCTGCACATTGTACACCACGTACACAAGGTGCATATTCTTAATAGAATAATAGATCAAGCAAATCGATTTGTCTAATACTCGTAGTATTTTCTAATGTACAAATATAAGGTGCATATGAAATGTTTGATTACAAGTATTATAAAACGGAGAAAATAAAAATTATTATCAACGTATTTGTACGACACATACTTGAATTTAGGCCCTGACTTCAATTTTGGTACGTCCTAAGAAACAGAAATGGCAAAATTAACTCTTCGATATTAAAATAATTCCCTGTTTTTATGCTTTTTAAATCATGCCGAAATTTATAAAAATTAAAATCGGACATCATACTTAATATTGTAATTGAAAGTATCACTTTAGTGTGGCGTGGCTGCGCAAGAATCAAAACAACTCGACACGAGTCCTAATTTAAGTGCTTGTAAAATAACACCTATTCTTCACAAAATTAAAATTGAACACTTCTATTTATTTAAAGATATTATTATTATTGTATTACTCTTATGTTCCTACTCTGTTTTGCATAAACGCAACTAAAATTTCCTATTTTTCACTGTTGTGCTGTCCTCCATATTTCGGCTCCCCGCCCTCCAACGTTGTTTAATTGTTTTTTTTTTTTAAATTATTTTTTCTATATTTTAATATGTACTCCGTATTATGGAGTATGGTTGGTGTCACCAACTCATTTTGTGTTAAAAGTGAAACCATGACCTAATATGGTCATTTGGATTATGAATTACGAAGTATGAATTTATGATTGATAGTATAATTTCTTATATTGTTACATATTTGCATGCTTGATTTGGCTAGACTATAAATAATAATTTATATTGCATCAAAAAAAAAAAATTATATTTATGTTAACTAATAACCTTTTTTAGAAGTGTTGGATAGTAGGTTGTGTCTATCATTATTTTGAATTTTTGATGATTAAAATATAGTTATTGCTCATTTAATCATTAAGCGGACAAAAATTAACCTTGGATACATCTTACACTAGAATGTACTCGTATATAAATGTTTTCATAGACATCGCGGAAAAAAAAAAGTAAATAAATAAATTTGGGATGACTTTTGAATGGCCACAATAAAATTGTGACCATTGTATTAGATTAAATCACAGCCGCCTATCTATTTTGAATAATATGAACCGTCGATAAAGTTGAATATAGATTTTATTTTAGAAAACGTTGAAAAAAAAAAAACCCACTTAAAAATCAATCTTGTTCTAAACTTCTAACCCACTACCAATTCAGTTTTCAATAATTCACAAAGTAGTTTATTTTTAACTTTCCCTGCTATCGATTTGCTATCAATTCATTCTTTAATTCAATTCTTAATTGTGTGTGTTGCTTCAATCTAATTCTCATCCTATTTTATGTGTTTATAAAGGAGTCCCTCGTCTAGGGTTAGGTCGTCCCTCGACTAGGGTTTACAGTTTTTTTCCTTGCGATTCTTGTGTTTCTTTTGCCAATCTTGCTTAAAAATCCAGGTTTTCGCTTCACATCCATCCCTCTTCCTCTGCCTTTTATTTGATTGTGTTCATGGCGGAGGATTTACTTAGTGATTTTGAAAAAATAAAATTGAATGAGGAGGAGTCGAAGGTGATTGGTGATCAATCTGTAGAATTGGAGGATGAAGGAACGAAAAACCAAATTGCCTTATCGATGGTTGGGAAATTGTTAACATCAAAGCCTTTCAATGCAGAGGCGATGAAACGAACGTTGAAATCAGTGTGGAGACTACATGATAAAGTTGTCATCAAAACGGTCGAGATGAATCTTTTTGTATTTCAGTTCTTTAGAGAAAAGGATAAAGAGAAGGTCCTAGATGGTTGCCCTTGGTTTTTCGATGGGAAACTTCTTGTTCTCAAGGAAGTTAATGGTGAAGAACAACCATCTGAAGTTACATTTAATCACACACCCTTATGGATTCGACTTCTGGA